AAAAAAAAAAAAAAAAAAAAATTGTTTTAATCTAAATATAGCATAATGAATAAACCCTGAAAATTTCAGAAAAATATGAGGTGGTCGTGCAACTACTTCTGGATGATTTGGCATGGATTGACCCTATATATATTTCTATACTTTTATTATTTATTAAGAAGTAGATTTAGTCGAATTCATTTCTTTAAATACGTAAATAATTAATAATGGGTTTTATCATGAAAGGTGATGAGTTTTTAGATATTTTCTCAATATTTAAATGTATACTATGTGTTATTCATATTTGGTTTTGTTTTCAAGTGTTAAATTTATTTGATTTTTACTTTTGGAATGAATGAATTAAATAAAAGAATGAATCAGTTTTATTTGTCATTGGAATAATTTGTAAACTATCGTTAGTATGACATAAATTAAATAAATAAATATTATAAAAATTTGACCCTTTCCTCAATTTATGTAAAACAATTTTTTTTTTAATATTAAACATGAAACTTGTTTTAAACAATAGTAAATATTTTGTTACTAATAAAAATATTAATTAAATTAAGTAATATATTTTGCTTATAAGAAATATGGTTAGGTTTTTAACAGATATTTTATTACTACCACTAACTATTATTTTATCTTTTTGTTTTTTTCATTTATTGGGGATATATTATAAGTATAAGTAAATGTTTTTGGCTTATTACTGATTTGTTTTGCAAACATTTTCTCTGTTTTTCTTTACAACCTTCTCCTTCCCCAAATATTAAACACCACATATTATTTTACCTCCTTTAAATATTTTGAAAAATAAATAGGGCATATATACTTTTGATAGAAATATAAATAAGAGTATTTTGGGCTTTTTTTTTTTTTTTTTTTTTTAATTTAACCTTTTTGTTTAGTGGATGTAAGCTTGTATAAAGACGAAGCTCAACTTACAAAAAAAAAGAAAAGTATAACAGTTAAAAGAAAGCTTCCTTTAGATGATCAACAACCTGTTAAGAAATCATCCAGATTATCAAAAAAGAAACCAGCTTATGATTTTGGTCAATCATCATCAGAAAGTGATGAAGCTAGTAGTGATAGTGCTGAAGAGGATAATATAGTAAAAAAAAAATCTACTCCAAAAAAATTAGGAAAGAAACAACTAAATTCTAAGGAATCTGCTAAAAAATCTTGTGCAAATATTTCAAAAAAATCTATTTCATCTAAAAAATCACAAGCTCCAGTTAAACCTACTTATGTACTTGCATCTGTTTCTTCAGCTTTAAAAAAAAGGGAAATCACTGCAGCCAAGCAAAAAAATGATATTAATGAAAAAAAATCTTCAAAGAAAGTTGAACAAAAATCACCTGTAGTACCCCTTCCTGCCGAAAGATCTTCTAAAACAAGAAGTAAATATTATACACACAATTCTTTTATTTTATTCTAAATTTGACAATGGTATATCATCGGGTATTTTATAACTTTTTCTTATATAGTTTATATGTTAAAAAGTTCACTATTTACACTTCAATTTGGAAATTAATAATTAAAAAAAAAACTAATATTTTGCTGAATATTAACTTTTGCTTCAACTTAATTTTTTATTATTAGTGATATTATTTATGAAATTTTTTTAGATGCAGGAAATGCAGTATCTGCTAAAATAACAACTGCTGGTATTGGAGTTCTCAAAACTAATCCTCCAAAAGATCGTAAAGCAAAAAATAGAAAATGAAAATTTTCTGAATTGTTCTGTAAGTAACATGTCTTATTTTTTAAACAATTAATAAAGAGATATGTTTTAATCAATATTTTTGATTCCAAATTTTCGAGACTTAATTATTGTATTTTTACCATATCACTGTTTGTTTTGATGTGTTAATACACATTTTTGTTTAGTTTTTATATTAATTTTATAATGGTAAGTTAATTAATTCATTTTCACTTTTCTTATTTTTAATAAGTTTTTATTGACTTAATTTATTGAGTAATTAATATACCCTAAATAATAATAAAAAATTATTTTATAGTATAATAACTATTAGAAGATTTAAAATTTTTCTTATGAACTTCAATATCAAAATTAAATTAACATTTTATGTAAATATGTTAATAATTGTGACCAGTACTACTGTATAATAATTTTTCATTTCTATAAACCTTCTCAATGTCACTAAACAAAACTTGGCAAAAAGTAATTTTTTACATGTTAATACTAAATGTTGCTTAAGTAATGTATTTTTAAATAGTACATTGATGAAATTATTTTTTTAATGCATATTTCTCTAACTAGTTACTCTATTCTTTATTCATATTGAATAAAATATGTAGTTGTATTATTAATTTATTCTAAAAAATTATACAATGCCTTGTATAAATGTCAAGAAATCATATAAATATTTTGGTTATATAATATTTTCAGTCGATAAGAAAAAAATGCATTTGCATGTCTAAACAATAATTTTCTTTTAAATATATTTCAAATTATATGATTTTTAAAAACTTCATTATTTTACTGTCTTTGTGTACAAATTGTAATTTAACTAAAAATAATCTTTTCTATTTCAATTTTTTGAAACTAATTATTTATTTACAACTTATTGCGAGTCAAATTAAATTTAAATGTGAATAGTATTTTACAAATTAATTGATTTGCACATGATGTAAATAATATTAGTCAATATAATTGTTATGCACTCTGATATAACTATTAAATTAATTTCCTTTTTGTTTTATGGCTAATATATTGTATTCAAGTTTAATTTAGTAGTTAATAAAATATGAAAAAATGATGTATTGTAAATACAAATGGTTATGTCTCGTTATTAGAAGATATATAAATATTATTAAAAATCTCTTAATTGTATGGGTAAAAAATTTTGTTTTGTTTTTTAATGACTTTGTGTTGCTTATCTTATAATTTGTAAAAGTTTATTTCTTTTATTATTGTGAATAATTCTATGTATTGTATATAATTACTGATGACACACTTTCTGGTGTGATTGTCTACCTGATTAGATATTGTTTATAAAATTATTGATAGTATTTATTTAAACTTACCATTATAGGTATTTATTAAACAAACATTTGTTTACCAATAAATATTGATATGATAAACATCAACAAAATTAAAAAGTATTTTTGATCTGTTTAAAAGAAAATATTGTAAATAAGTTAATTATAGTTTTAATTTATGTAACATAATTCAAATTATTATATTCAGAATTTTAATTGTAAATATTATCAGTGTTAGTAAATAAATATATTACTTTTTCATCAAAGAATTAAGGTTAATTTTTGATATTTTAGGAATATTCCTAATTGTTAATGATACACGAGTACCTCTGGGTATTACACTATTTATTTTTATATCGCTTGAACAACTATTTATGTTTGATAATGATTTATCAACAACATCTTCTTTTAATTCATCAATTCCATGAAGGTACTCATTATACATTTTTTCTTGTAATATAAGAAGACTCCTCCTTTCTAATAATAAACTATACATTTTTTTAGTCATATTACTGGTCTGTCCTTCTATCTAAAAGTTGATATAAATTGATAATTACAATGTAAATTAGAATTTTTCAATATTAAATTTAATTACCTCATTTGCTGAATAGAAATTGAGAACTGTTTGAGAACCACAACTAATAGTAGTAATAGTAGGGTAAAATAAACTTCCATCTAAATGGGGCTGAAAAATCATTTAAATACTATTAATAAATAGTTTGTATGCAACAGTAACTAAGATAATAAAAATACCAAGTACTAGAATATTATTAAAATGAAAAGCATAAATAAAAAAAGTAAAGTTGAGGATTTTATTAGATCAATATAATTTAATATTCTACAGTGATTAAAATGCTATTGCAAAATAATTTAATGGTTTCTTGAAACAAATTCAGAAAAAACTTAACACATCCATAAAAAATGACATGACTTTCAACTTTGAAAACTAACCAAATTTTTCCAATAAAAATAAATGATCAGTGATGCATTCTTCACTTTCACTTGTTAATACATCTTTATGAGGAGGGGTTTTGGAATCACAATTGTGCAGGAAGTGTAGAGTACAAGAGGTAGACTCATTTCACATAACTTGCAAGTATGAAGCCTTATCCACATTAAGATCAAACTACTTAAATAAACCTTTTCCTGAAAAAGAAGATATCAAAAACCTAAGAATCGAAGAGATACTTAATTTCACCAGAAAGACAGGATTCTTTGGATATCCACAGAGAGTGACATGACAGTCCACCCTTTGTACAATGATAGGTATAATATAATAACACTTAGGTGTGTAAAACGAATCAAGACAATTCAGTATGAGGTGTGCACAATGGACCAACAGGTTTAAGTTCATGGGCATTATGTCCACCTCACTAATAACTAAAACTAATTCCTTCTATTCCTTATTATTTTTTTTTTAAAAAAAAGGTGGCCCTCTTTTACACGTTAGGAAAAAATAGTCCTTGGCTTTTCCAATATAGTCTTTTTATGTTTGTAATAGACATAAGTAGCATTTGACTTAAGTTTACAAGACAGATTTTTTGGATTGTCATCAAAAACTTAAAACAAAAAACTTGATATGATTCTGTCCCTCATAGTACCTTTAGTTTAATGTTAAAATTTTCAAAAAGAGTATGTTAAACGAGTTAAAAAATTGTTTTACATATTGCCACTGAAAATTTTATTTTGATACATGCATTATTCAAGTAGTTAGATTGATTTATTATATATACCAAATATTACATGATTATTGTTTTTAAAAACTAATGATGTATAAAAGACAAGCTGGTTTGAAGTCTTTCTTTTTTTAATTTTGATAATACAGGAAGCGACAAAAAGATGCACAATTTTTGAAAAGCTATAAAACAAACACTATTGAACCTAGAGACTAAATTTTTTTAATTTAAAAATATAGATTATACCAATATTTGCTGTTTATTTAACACTCCATCATTAATAGCTACAACCAATGGCAATTTACTAATCTAGTTTCCTTTACATGACTCTATATCAAAATCTCAAGTATTTAAATTATGCATATAAATTATCTCTCATCACTTATGAAAGATACTATCCATATAAAGTAAATTTTTTATAATTTTTCAAAGTTATGATGTTCTCATCTTTCCAATCATCGCATATAATTATAATGGTATGTTGTAATAACTAAAACAACACCAATTTTAGAATTTTTTTTTTAGGTCTAATACTGTTCTAAAAAAAATGTATTTCAGTAATTTAATAGCCATACCATTATTCCTTGACCAGGTAAATATTCGTTAACTAATATATGATTAGGCTGGTTGCTCCCAGGAAATACACCGAGGTTACTGATTTGCTTTAGAAATCCATTTAGCCACTAAAACATAAAAATGTTATATTTTTTACATGATAAGTAATTTAATAATTTATAAATTATTTTAAAGCTCACATTAGGAATATTTTCAGGTATTAGTCCCTTAACATGAGGTACACCACCCCAATTTTGAAGTCTTCTATTTCTTAATTGAGTCCATTTTGGTTTAGGGGCTTCATTTACTTTGTCAATGATATATTTTTCTTGTTCTTCCGAAACATAATTTGGAATGTAAAAAACATTATCACAAATCTATTCACAATTCAAAAAAAATAATTATGAATATCTAAAAAAAAATAGTTCCTACACAAAGTTATACTTACATTGGATAATTTATAATTATTTAAGTCAATTAATGAGGTCATTTTTTTTTGAGGTTTACATTTGCCATCAATACAGTTATAATACTATTTCAAATAAACAGATAAAATTTAGGTAAGGGTTACCATCGAAACATTAATGTCTGCTTAATAGTGAAATAACTCGCATTTAGATTATTTTGTTTTGAGTAACTTGAGGATTTATTTATATAATAATAACCATTTTAATTAGATAATGGATGTTTATAGATTTTGATCAATTATACCAGAAGTATAAGGAAAATAAACGATAATAAAATTTAATAACAGTTTTTAATTTAAACTCTTTAATACTTATTACGAAAAATCATTACAGAAATTGAATTCTTAACGAATTATAAATATCAAGGTGGATTCATAAATCCACAAGTGAAGGAAAATATTGAAAACTAACTATCGAATTGAATATAAATTATCAAACTATTCGATAGTTATCCAATCTATTCAAATATTTGATAGTTAATGGTAAAAATCAGTTATACAAACTACATAACTATGGTTATCAAATGCATGGGAGATGCCAAATTTGTCTGTATAACCGTGATCTATTTTGTGAAAATATTATCTATATGATAACATAAAATTGCTTGTTGTCAATTGGATTGTATAAATTAACAGAGATTATTATTAATCAAAATAATCTAATGACCTTTATACTATGTTTTTGCATAAAAGTAAAATATTATTAAGATGTTAGTTTATTCTGTGTCTGTGAAATTTTTGTGCTACTTGATGTATATTTTTATCTCTGATTGATCACTATTAAATTATAAATATTTAATTTTTAAATATAACAAGCTGTTAGTTTATATATGAACACATAATTCATTTAATAGTTTTAATTATTTTTTTTTAGTAGTTGAACTTATTTTAATGGGAATAATGATTATTGGGTTTCGTAAAGTAATTATTTCATGAATTTAGCTAAATAATACTTTTCAATTGGTTTTGTTTTTTATTTTATTTTTATAAATTTCCAAATAGATATCTATAAAGTTAACCAAAAGATATTTTTCATCTTCAATATCAAAAAATGTATTCATTATTAGCACTGCAAGGACTCCTATTGGGTCTTTTGGAGGTTCCTTAAAAACTTTATCTGCTACTAAACTTGGTGCAATTGCAATTCAGGTATTATATTAGCTCAAAATATTTTTTATATTAATTTTAAATCAAGTTTTTAGTGTTGAATTTGTTAATAGTTAAAATTATTATTATTTTAATTTAACTGCAGCATAAATATTGTGTCCTTTTAATAAGAAATAACAATGTATTTTAACATAAGTATTGTTGAACTTTAAATAAATGATACACATTTTCTTGTATACCTATTCTTAAGATTTTATTTTAAAAATGTCATCAGAGTTAATTGGAATTTGAATATCCCACTAACTAAGAAAATTCTAAGTGCTAAATGTGTATATAATATACATGTAAATTTTTGGGGCGGATAAGTTTCTTAATTGCTACTATTGCTACAGATCAACGATAAAATTTGACTTACAAATGTGTTTAATTGGAAAAAAAATATATATATATATGTATATTGACTTTTTTTTTCAATTTAACTTTTAAATGTAACTAATAATATAGTTTTGGTTATATAAAGGTATTTATTTTAATAATATAAAAATTTTAGGCTGCCGTTAACCGTTCAGGTCTTTCTAAAAATGATATTGAAGAAGTATTTATGGGTAATGTTTGCCAAGGTGGTGTAGGGCAAGCACCAGCTAGACAAGCTGCAATATTCGCAGGTATTTATTATTTTTAATTAATATTTAGCAATAACATAATTTTAAGCCAAATTTTAAGAATTACAAAATTAAAAAAAAATTTCAGAAAGGGTATCACTGTTTCTGACTTTTTTTGAATCAGTTCTAAGTTCTTATACTTTTAAAAATAACATATCTAACATTCACTTGCAATCCACAAAAAAATTTATTAATGTAAATATTTTATATTATATTTATAATGAAGAATAAATAAAAATTATCATGAGATTATTAAAACTATTTAGTCTTTAGTTTAACATAAACACATAAAAAAAATAAAAATATAATATCTATAGACTACACAGGAAGATTATACACTAGTCCTAGATAACAAAAGTATTTCATAATAACAGAGAAAATGTACTCAACTTCATTGAGTGAGATTTCCCGTCAATAAAAAGTTTTATTTTTAGTTAAATGATCAACAGGGCACATGACAAATTATATAATATTTTGCTTACATAATTATGAAATAATTAATAAAATAGTGTCATTAAAAACCTTGTAATTTGTCGAACAGCACATAATTTTATGTGTAGATCTTTAGATACCAAAAAACTAACTTGGCTAGTCCTCTTATATACATCACTAAAATTGTCATATAATGAGTAATTTTTATTGTAAAATGGTTCATTACTAACTTTAAAAAAATTTAACAATTTAATTTTCAGGTTTGCCTAAAACTACAATATGTACTACCATAAATAAAGTTTGTGCTTCAGGCATGAAGTCAATTATGTTAGGGTCCCTAAGTGTACTGTGTGGATATAAAAATGTAGTTCTTGCTGGTGGGATGGAGTCTATGTCCAATGTGCCATTTTACCTTGCAAGAGGTGACACAAAATATGGCGGTGTGAATTTATCGGTTGTTTTATATATTGAATTTGAATAAAAATTGTTTTTACGATTACTTTTTATTTTTTAAAGGATGGAATAGTTTTTGATGGTCTTACTGATGTTTATAATAAAATACACATGGGAAACTGTGCAGAAAATACTGCTAAACAAATGGGTATTAGTCGAGCTGAGCAAGATGATTTCGCTATGAGTAGTTATAAAAAAAGTGCAGAAGCTTGGAAACAAGGCGTTTTTTCAGAAGAAATTATTCACGTCAATGTACCACAAAAAAAAGGTTCTTATTTATCTATTATTTGAAATAAAAAATAGAATAATCAATTAATATTAAATTTGTATATAATATTTGTCTTGTATATGTATTTTCTTCTGGTTATCAATAAGAAGGTTGGTTTGATATCAGTCAATTTTAATGAAACTAATATTTACAGGGAAAAAATTAATTGTGGCAAATTTTTATTGTATTTTGTACTAAGGATATGGCAATTTTTGCTTCTATAAAAACTTCTATGTGGTCATCCATGCAAGAGTATAGTAGCAGGCATTATTTAACTTAAGAGCCACATTTAAATAACTAATGTGTCAAATTAGTCACTCAAGTGTGGTGTGAAATAGTGGACACGTGTCATCTGACATGTTGTATGACAAGATCATACCACATTTCATTTATATGTAAAAAATATTTATTAGTTAATAATTACTATAAATTTCCTTGTTATGACTTTTAATTTAAATTGAGTTTTGTATTTGCAATACATCAATATTCATCTTTTGAAAAAAAGTTAACTTTTCATCTAAGTAGTATGCACAGGTCAATTATAATTTTCCGGTTTTTCAAATTTGTATAGATTTTTTTCACTTATAAAAAATACTTGAATTTTTAATTTCTAAAAAATAATTGAATTATAACTATTTTTTAATTTAAATCAAAATAGTTAATTTAACTGTTAAATCTTAAACTTAAAGTCTTTAAATTTAACGAGTTTTATTATTTCTTGGGTAACATATCTTTATGTTATGTCTCAGTAATTTTTCAGTTACAATACAATTTAATAGTATTAATGAATAATTAGCTTATACTTATGACATTTAGTAATACTATTGTAGGGAGTTAAAAATTAGTTATATTAAACAAATACATATTTAATGTATAATGTCTTACAATACAATAAAATGAATAATTTTCATAAATTTATTATTAAAATTATAATTTAGGTAAGCCAGATGTTATTATAAGTGAAGATGAAGAATACAAAAGGGTTGACTTTGATAAATTCAAAAAACTCAATACAGTTTTTCAAGTAATTATAATTTGTTATAATGTTGTTACTTTTATTTTTAAATGATAATAAAACTAGAATCATTTTTAGAAAGATAATGGTACAGTTACTGCTGGTAACGCATCAACTATAAATGATGGAGCTGCAGCATTAGTATTAACTAATGAAGATATCATTAAACAATCAAACATAAAGCCATTAGCTAGAGTCATTGCTTTTGAAGATGGTGCCACAGATCCAATAGATTTCCCTATTGCTCCAGCAGTTGCTATACCAAAAGTAAGTTTATTCATACCCATTTAACTATACAAATGTATTCATAGTCATAGAATATAAAATATACTGTTTAGTTAATGAGTAAAAGTGGAGTATCTTTAAATGACATTGCTTTATGGGAAATCAATGAAGCATTCAGTGTAGTTGTTCTTGCTAACATATTAAAACTGAATATTGATCCATCAAGAGTGAATATTCATGGAGGTGCTGTCAGCTTAGGTCATCCAATTGGGTAATTATTAAAGATTAAATTCTTATTTACCTGCATCTAACTTCTTGTGTATTCAATGCCTATTTTAAAACTTACATAAGTGCTAAAAACCGGTTTTACATTATATACATCTTGATATACATATGTTTTTGTTTGATAATTACAAATTGTTTAACTTATTGACTCATAGATTTAATTAAATAAAATTGATGTAATACATTTAATATAGGATGTCTGGGGCTAGAATTGTTGTTCATTTGATTCATGCACTCAAGCCTGGGGAAAAAGGTATAGCTTCTATTTGTAATGGAGGTGGTGGAGCATCATCTATACTCATTGAACGTTTATAATTTGTAAGAATTAAAATAATAATTTTATAATTATAAAATTTGTTTTAATTTGTGGTATCAATATAATTATTATAAATGTCAATATATTTAACTAATAATTAGTTCAAAAATTACTTGAACCTATTAATATTATAATTATAATCATAATGATTTTTAACACTATGAATAGTATTATCAATTATATTGAGACATTTAAGTGCATCTATATCTTTCACTTTTACATCAGTAAATTTAATTAAACCTTTAATTTTGAATTTAACAGATGTGATATTCAAATTTTTCCATAAATTCTTCAGCCAAATTTCATTTTCTGAGTATTCCTAAATGAACAAAATATACTTAATGTTAAATATTTAATATATATTAATTAAACAAATATATATTGAGTGTTCCATAATAATTTTCTTATTTGAATATCTAGGATATATTCAAATAAGTAAATCACAATGAACTCGCGTATACAGAGTAGAATAGATAAGTTGACACATTTTTTATTTCTACCTATCACTTATTTTAAAGTGAAGAGAATGTTAACTAATAATTTTTAAGAGTTCTGCTCTTTAAAATACAATTTATGTAAAATAAAATGTATAACCTTAAAAAATTTATACAATTATATTGATGTTCTATGTAAAAATGGTTTTGAAATATTTACTTACTAAAGGAATCTGACAGTATATATGAATAATTCCATTTTTAAAAGTAAAAAGTAAACAAGGTATCCTATTGTATTGTTCAGCAACTTCATCAAGATGGAATCGATTATCATCAAAATAAAAATTATCACAGTCGATTTTTCCAACAATGTATTTTTCATTATATAGTTTCTCTAAATTCTTTTTAAGAATTTTTCTGAAAAAAATTGCAGTTTAAAATAACATACTGTAGTGAGATTTATTTATTTAACTGAACAACTTTTTTTCATTTTTCATAATTTTTTGTATTTTTCTCTCAATTGAAAAAAATTTTTTGTTTGCATCTATTTGATTTTTTAATGGCATATAAGTTTTGGAATCTCCTTTTGTTTTGAATTTTAAATTATTTATTTCATCCATTACAATTTTCAACTAAAAAAATTTTGTTTAAGCTATCATATTTACTAAAATTAAAACTTATAATTTTTATTTACCTCATTTGATGCTATTTCTTCACTTTTCAACATAATATTAATTTTTTTTTCAATTTCAATTATTTTATTTAATAAAGCTATTCCATATGACTGTACATTCAAACATAAATATCCAGTTACACCCAACAAAGTACATTCATTATTTGTTATTTTACATTGAACTAAGCAGAAATCTATCAAATCTAATGTATTTTCAACATGCGTACCACAACAAGCTTCCCTAGAAAGATATGACTGATCCTTAAATATGTCTATCACATATACTTCACCATCTGGATAAACTTCTCCAGGAATAACTGTTACATTGAGTTTGTTTAAATCATTTGACATTATAGTAGTTCTTTTAATAGCCATAGAGGATTTAATAACATCGATAACTTTTTTTTCAATAATTAATGCATCTATAATAATTAAAATTCAACAATTTATATATTATTATCTTTTAGATGTAATTTAAATCAACTGTACCTTTTTCTGTAAATTTTTGACCAAATAATGCAAACTTGAACAACATTAAATCTTTTTTAACCCTACTTGATGTTTGACAAGTAACTACTAGATATGAAGTGAGAATAGAATTTAATATATGAACAGAAGAATGAGAACGCATTAAACCTAATCGATGATCTACATCAATGACAACATATAATTCTTTTTCACTTAAAAAGTATAGAAAAATGAAAAGTTAAAAAAAAAGTACTTTAAAAAGTTTATTGTATAATTACAAAATATAGTTAATTAGAATATTTTTATTACTTTAACAAAATTGGCCATTTATCTGATTCAATATGATGCAATATGACACCATTTTCTTGAACTTTATTAACATTTTTAACAACAAAATTTGTCCCATTCTTAGTTCTAATTATACCAATATCACTTTCTTGACCACCAGATTCGCAGTAAAAATTTGTTTTTTCTAATACTAAAGAGACGTTTTTACCATACTTATGAATATTAGAATCATTAATAACATTTCCATTAGTATCTAAGATGGCTATAAGTTTGGATGTTATTGTTGGTATAATATAAGAATGATCTGCATGACGAAAAATATCATACTTAAAATGATCTTTGGTTGCAGGAAAATTATTTATTAAGTCATTATTTTTACTAAGATGGTAAACTTGATTCTTTGTTTTTGATCGTAAAGCATTAAGTTGACAATTAAATTCATTCCAATTAATAGGAAGACCTGCCATGAAACATTTTAATCATAAAAATATTTCTAACAATAAAACAATAAATTATCTACCACGAATCTGTACTTGAGAAGCAGAAGGATCTAAGTTAATTTCTATCAAATTTTACTTTTTGTATAACTGTTTATCTGTCTTCATTGTAATTGTATAATAGATAATTAGAGTGATATTGATGAAATAATTAAGCAATTTTAGTAAAACGATGGTTTTTACTTCTGCTGAAAAGTAACTAAAATATTTAGATCATTCTGCTTCTCAGCTATAAAGTGTTTATACCTAAAGTTTTAGATAATTCTTTTATAGTTTGAATATCCAAACCAAATGCATCATATAAAGTGAATGCTGGGATTTCCTTTATTTTACTACTATGTTTGATTAAATATTTACAAGCCAGTATAAAACCAGTACACTCCTCATATGGATCAAATTTGATTAAAATTGGCCAATGCTCAACAACATTATTCCACTCTTTGAAAATTGATTTTCTTAAATTATCAAATATAGTATATTCATATTTTAAGAGATGTTTTACCTGTAATAACATTTACCAAAAAATGTATATATTTATTTATAAATCATTAGATTTAAATAATAATTATAATAACAAAAAAAAAAAATATAAAAAACCCCAGTACAGGGGGGTCGCGGCACAGTGGTGACGTGGCATAGTTGGATCAAGTATAATGATATCTGACAGTGATTAAAATCACTATAAAAAAAAAACGCTTCGATGCAAATCTTTAGATAGTGTTTAATTTTAAAAAATTGGTGGATTATTCCAAAAGCTTCATAAACTGCTAGTTCCTTATTAATATCCTGATTAAGATAAAGTATGTCGAATGAAAAAGGGATTATTAAAAAATAGTATTTCCCATAAAAAAATTATATTGATCAATACACTTTTCAATAAGTTATAGCATTATAAAGTTAAAAATGTAAAAAATAAAATTGAGAATTTTCACACAATAATAGCATTTGGTAGCCATTTTCACCGTGAAGACAAAATAAAGTCCGAAATTTTTTTTTTCCATGATAAAGTATATTACATTAGCTTTAATTTAAGATATATATAAAAGTGTCAGACCTTCCGGAACACTTTCAAAAGTTAAGTTGAAAAAGTTCTACTTTCTATATGCATTTTTATGTTTTGAATCCCCCCTGTATTAAGGGAAATAGTCCGATTTAAAAAAAAAGTATGTCGAATGAAAGATCTATATAAATACTACTTCTCATAAAAAAAATTGTAATGATCCATACATCTTTCAAAAAGTTATAGCATTATAAAGTTAAAAATGTAAAATACAAAATCGAAAATTTTCACACAAAAGTAGCATTTGGTAGCCTATTTCACCCTGAAGATAAAATAAAGTCCGAAGTTTTTTTTTTTCATGATAAAGTATATTACATTAGCTTTAATTTAAGATATATATAAAAGTGTCAGACTTTCCAGAACACTTTCAAAAGTTAAGTTGAAAAAATTAATTTTTTGTAAAAAAGTTGTCATTTTAAATCCCCCCTTGTGGGCAGGTAAAAAGTCAGATTTATAAAAAAAATATACCAAATGATAGGTAATGGCATCATGCATCTATAAAAAAAAGAATTATATTGATATGTTTATTTTTAAACGGCAGTTTAATTTAGTAAAAAAAATTGAAAAAATTTCGAAAATTAGCCATTTTTAAATTTGTAATTTTTTCGGAGGTTTCCCCCATTTACGGGGAACGAGGGAAATTTTTTCAATTTTTAAGGGTAATGTCTTCGACTAGATACGATTTGTGATCTTTAGACGTATCGTTGAAAGAAATCTGTTCGGTGAGAGCTGAGAAAAAGTGGTAACAGACACAAAAAAAAAAAAAAACACATCTTAGTAAAACCAATACCTTCTCAGCTTTGCATCGAAGCTAAAATATTAGTAAAACATGAGAAGTGGTATAACCTGACCATTTTGTTAAATTTCCTGATATATTTTTAAGAAAAATTAACAATTGGGTAACTTCAATAGTAAATGAACAGTTATGTGATTTTTTCATATTTTAAAGCTCTTTAATCTATTAATTTATACTTTAATGTTACACTAATAAAGTTAGTAAATATTTTCCTGGAATATTCTCTAAAATAATAATGTAAAGTTATTTATAATAAACTAACACAAACATTTTCATTCATTATTTTATGTTGAAAATTGGAATTATCCAGTTAGTAATACTGTATGAAAAATGTTTTATTAATTGTTTATAATGTTTTTATTGTTCACTTAAGTTTAATTATAGTATTTCAAAGATTCAATATTTTTATTTGTATTGGGCCCATGTATTAGTTAACCAGGACTTACTCTTAAACTATTTTACGTATAAAAACAGTAGCACAGTGGGGTCGTGGCATACTTGGAACAAGTATAGATGATATTTGACAGTGATTAAAATCACTATCATAAGAAACGCTTCGATGCAAATCTTTAGATAGTGCATAATTTTAAGAAATTGGTAGATTATTTCAAAATCAAAAATAATTCTTATTCCCTTAATTTTATCCCGATTTGTAATTTGATATATAATTATAATATATGAATAAATAATAATTAAATTTAGTATGAAATTGATATTCAATAATTTAATATTGTAATTTTTACAGAGATATTATAAAAATAATAAAGTAGTTGTATATTCATATACTTTTAACGCGTATAAAAATTTAAAGGGATTGATGCAATAATTTTTAATAAAAACATTTTGGTACTTATGAATTAATACACTAGAACTTTCATCAGAAACAAAAATATACTTTTCTAAATCAACTTTTTACAATGTTTTCAAATGTGCAGTTAGACTTTTTCTATCACTTCTAAGTTTTAATATTATTACTTATTATTAAAAAAATAAGTATTAAAATATAAAAAAATAATAAAAAAAAAAAAATTGTTTTAAATTAATACTGATTTTGATTATTAATATGTTAAAAATAAGGAAAATAACATATTTAACCTATTTTTTTAATCCTTTAAAGTTGATTTTTGTGAAAGTTTATAATAAAAATAAATTAATTTATTACCATAACTTTTAGCTCATATTGTTCATCAAAATCAGTTCAGCGAGAGCTGAGATTGAGCGTTGACAGACACAAAAAAACACATCATAGTAAAATTAATACCTTCTCAGCTTCGCATCGAATCTAATAAGCTTGAAAGCTAAATAAGAGTTTTTAAAACAAAATACCTATGGGTTTATTCATATACTATTAGGATTATCATATAGAATGCATTAGCCTTATATGAAATTTCTCTTTAGATATGAGTATAAAAATTTAAGCTTTAACTTTGATAAAAATTATAAGTAAAAAAGGTTATACCTTTTGTAAATTTTGTTTCAGTTCTGGATATGTTTGTCCCAGATTTTCTACTACTTCATCAACAATTTTTAAAATAAGACTAAGTGCAGGTTGAACATTGAAACATGTTTCAGTCATTATAAAAGACTTGCGTATAATTCTTCTTAATTTGTGACTAGGTTAACATAAGATTGTTTTAAAATGATTTTTAATAGAAATTAATTCTTCAAATTCAAAATAATAAGTAAATATACTTATGACTAGGAAGCACATTATCTGCTAATGAAACAGTTATCATACGACAATGATCAGCTAAAATATAATGATTTAAGTCAAATGATTTTGAGTAATTTAAAATATTATTTTCCTAAAAACAAATTATTATTAAATAAATAATAAAACTTAATCACTTGTATTAATATTATTTAAAATTAAAAATTATTTAACTTATAATGCTTAACACAGAGTATAGTATGTGTTTAGCGCTAAGATTAATATTTTGTTCCCGAAATACATATATGTGATTTCTTAATGATTTTTGAGTTAGATATATTTTAGTTTTAAATTAATATTTTTAATTTAAAGTTATTGTTGAATTTATTAATTCCAATACTAATATTTTTTACTTACTTTAGAAATAAGATCTAATATAGATGAAAATAGATCAGTTTCATAAGTAGATTTTTTCTCTTGTAATACCATAACTAAACGTTCAAGTCCCATACCAGTATCTATGAAACATTTAGGAAGTCTTCTTAAAAAACCATCTTTTTCTCTGTAAAAAGATAATTTAAATTTTAGTCAAAATTAAAAATAAACTTATAATGTATAAACTACCGAGAATACTGAATAAAAACTATGTTCCATAACTCAATGAGATTTTTTCCACCTGATGGAGGATAATCTATGTGAATTTCTGTACAAGGGCCACAAGGTCCATAATCACCCATCTCCCAGAAATTTTCATTTCCATTATTCATGATAATATGGTCATCTTGTATTCTAAAATAATAAGTTTATTACCATTATATAAAAATATATATTTATAAGATGATTTTTTTTGTTACCTATAACTACTTATTATTCTTGAATTAGCTATATAATACTTTTTAAATTCACTCCTTATGTCTTGTAATAGTGTCAACTTTGTGTTTTCAAATGGGAATATATATTTTGAATTTAATAATAAGTATTGAAGTATTTTTAATAGTAAATGGACTTTGAATTTTTAATATTAATTCATTTGTTTATTGTACATAACACTTTAAAGTTTTAAGTTTTTGAGTTAAAATACATAAGGGATTGCAAATATAAGTAACTAATTAGGTTTTTACTTTTCGCTATTAACAGATACACAGCATTTATTTACAATTATGACATCATCAACAGATATGCTTAAAGTATGGTAATATCATGTAATGATTAAAGTATGACTATACCTTACATTATAAGGCAAAATGTTGTGAGTTAACATTTATATATATACACCAACTTGCAAAAAAGAAAGCAAATCTGTCAATAGTCATAAATGACAATAAACATTGCATATCTATGAATAGAAATACCAGAAAAAACAATTAACTACCTGTATTTGTAATCCCTCATATATCATGTATGTATTATAACTCAAAATATTTAAAACTTAAAAGTGTTATGTATTATAAACTGATGAAGTTATATTAAAAATTCAAACATCATATACTATTAAGAAGCCTTAAACATTTTATTAAATTCAAAATATATATTTCTATTTGAAAAAATAAAATCAAGGTATTAAGGATAAACTTAAAAATATTGCATAGCTAAGTAATCAAGAATATGTAACTAAAGGTATAAAAAAAAATTATTTTTATTCTGTGAAGAATTGAGTGAAATATAATAAAAAAATCACCCTGTATATCGAAATTATTTTTATTTTGCAAGTAATTGAGTGAGTTATGATAAAAAAATCAACCTGTATATGAATATTAATTACTACCCTATTTTCTTCCACGTTTCTAATGATTCATAATCAGGTTCCATATTTAGTTGTTGGTCACCATTAAACACTGTGACATATAAATTATCTGGTGACATACAATATGGATATGATGTTAACAAATTCCATGCAAGTCTACATGCTTTAGCCTACATTATGAACAAAGTTAACACAAAGAATTATTTACATTATGTTATATTCACCTTATCATATTGGCCAAATGACCAGTTTCCAAGCATTTCAAAAAATGTATGATGAATTCCATCAGTGCCCACAGTACTCAAATCATTATGTTTGCCACCAACTCTAATGCATTTTTGACTATTAGCCACACAAGTAGCATTTATAGATTTTTTACCAAGAAAGACATTTTTAAACTAAAAACAAAAATCCATAAATTATTTATAAATCAGTTTAACAAGCATAACAAATAATTTTTACTTGGCACATTCCAGCGTTAACAAACGATAAAGAAGGATCATTGTAGGGTAATACTGGACTAGATTTAATAAAATCATGATTATTTTCTTTGACAAAATAATCGATAAAATGTTTTCGTATTTCATAAGAAGTTAAACAATGTTTACAACGTTTACCAATTAAAACAATACCAGAATTGAGTCTTGCAATAATCATTTCAAAAAAGTATGCAGATTAATTTCATTTTAACATACACACAATAAATACAGCTACATAACCGACTTTATCTGTTGATAAGCGATATCATGATATCTAATACACTATCACACATTGATTAGTTAATTCATCTCGTAGGTCAATTCATTGCGTGAAGAACAATTTATGGCTGAACTATAATTTTATTTTCGCTTTATTACAATTTTATTGTTTAATTAAAATAGTTAGAAGGCTATAGTCATTATTAGTATTTAATAGTACATGTTTTAAAAATGAATACCAAAGTTTTCATTTAGAATAACTTTATTTATAGTCAGCATTGAGTGAATTTCTTTACAAAAAAATGTAATGAATTATTCCTCAAATTACTTTTCATATGTGTTAAACAAAGACCAGTATTAAATTTTTTGTTAGAATTATACATTTATTATTATTTATATACATACATATATATATATATATCATCTAAATAATAGCAATAGATCTTAGAATGAAATTAATATTCAATAATTTAAAATTGTAAATTTTACAAAGAAATTATAAAGTGTTTTATACTTCGTTACTACTATGAAAACGTATATAAAAATTGAAGTACTTGATATATAACTTTTTAAAAAACAATTTGGCTAAAACAGTGCTACAAGAAATATTATTCAGTAAAAAAAGTTTTTCTAAACCAATCTTTGGTGACTTTTATCCACATTTTTTGAAGCTGGAGTATTTCCTGAACATTTTCAAAATTTATGTTAAGACAGTTAAATATTTGTGCAAAAGTTGCTATTTTAAATTCCCCCCTATGGGTTGGTAAAGGGTCAGATTTTCAAATAATTTATGTCAAATGAAAAGGAAATATCTAAGATAATAATTCAAAAGAATTATTTTATTTCGTTCATTTTTAAAAAAGTTATGATAGTTTTAAAAAAAGTCGAAATTTACCAAAAATTTATTCAGTTTTAAAAATCAACGTTTTTTTTGGGAATATCTCTTATTTAAGGGCATTGAGAGAAATTTTAAAGTCCATGTAGTTGCCAGTTAGTACTGTTCCACCTGTATACTTTTAAAAGAATATAATTTTTGTACTATTATTATGGATAACTTTTAACTGGCAATCATATCTATTGATAAATAAGGAAACCAATAAACAAATACAGAAATAAAATATTACTATATATAATACAAAAATGGTGATATTTTATAACTGATATTAACGACATTTACACAAATATTTATTTATTTAGCTCCATTTTGAGTAAGAAAATTTATTGAGGACCTATATGTAATTTTTCCATAGTAAAATAAGAATTATGTAACAATACATTTTTGTATGGAATATAAATTTTGTTGACTTTCATTAATAAGATTAATAAGATAATAAAAATGTTCAAAGTTAAGATAAATAATAAATAATTCAATAATTTAAATATAAGTTTTTATTTTTTTTAATATAATAAATAATATAAAATTTTCATCTACAATAAACAAAAACAAAACATTAATAAATAAATATTTTTGCATAATATGAATGGCAAGTATAATTATTTGTATTATAATAAAACTTTACGTAATTCATTATTATGAAATAAAAATAAATAAAACAAAGAACTAAATAATACTAAACATTTAAAATAAAATTTTTTCTATTTTAAATATTCTAAAATAAGTTAAAAATCTAAACAATTTGTGTTTAATGATCTAAAATTCTTAGATTACCAGATACAATCTTGTTTTCTAATGTAGCATTGGATGGGATATCAATTCGATCACCATGATTTGCAATAATAATAACAGTTCCCTAAAAGAAAAAATCACCAAGTATAAATTTTTTTTTTTTTAATTCAACGTTTTATTTAAAAATTAACTTAAATAATAAAATATATACTTCTGAATTAGCATTAATTAAAAAAAAATTATGTATGTAATGACAGTTTTAACTAAACTTTTTTATGAAGAAAATTACAAAAAATAATTTTTTTTCTTTTAATTATAATACTTTTAAAATATTAAATTAATAATAAATACTGAACAAAACAATTTTTATTTATATTTAACTAAAAAAAATTGCATATTAATTCTTTGGCTCATAACTAATAGCTGATATGATACAAATAGTGCATTTTGGAATGTGTCATGTGCCAAAATATTAAGATTCTTTTATAATGCAAAGACTTTCTTTTACAATAAAAAAATGTCGAATTACATAAGCCATCAAATTTTAAAATTTATTTTAACTTTCTGAAAAAATGTCTAAAATTGAAATATTAGAATTTGGAATGAAACCACAGAATTGGTAAAAAAAATCACTATTAATTGTAAATAATTAGTTTTATTTAATTTAAATGTTTTGTAGTTAGAATACTACTTTTAGATAACAACGTTTGGCGGCAAAATTTGCCTTATCTTAAAAAATATTTTAAAATAAAAGTACATATTATTTAAAAAAAAAAAAAATTTAGGGGAGACAAAGAATTATTGCAAGTTATAAGACAGCTTACTGTTTTAATTTTTGTTTCTATTATTTAAAACAAGATCAATATGAAAACAATTTTTGTTACTAATTCATACTTTTAATGACACATTGCGACCAAAAGTAACATCTCCAGATACTGTAAGATGGTCTAACTCCAAAATATCAGGAATTGAAGCAAATCGTGACAAGAAATCTTTCACCTTAGCAAAATCTTTATCACCGAGTTTCACTAATGGAGTGGTTGGAAACATTCTTAAAGGACTCATGGACAGTGTACCATTACGCATGTGGTACAAATTACTCATGACTAACATAAGATCTGATGTTTTCTTTACTGGTAAGAATCGACTTCGAGGAACATTAATACCTGGAAGATATAGTTATTATTAATTAAATGACAACAAAATATTTACATTTTAAAAATAAATATTTGTTGAAAATATTATAACATAACAAGCACTTATAAATACTTGATCAAACTTTCTTATAAGCAAGTTTTAAATTAATATTAAATAAAATTAGTTGAATGAGGATATAATTATTTTTAAGTTAACTTGGAAATTTTTTTTTTAAGTGAGTATAAAATTCAAAACATAGTCAATTAATTTGTAATTCAAGTTTAAAATAGATAACTAATACATTTTTAAGATTGACTAAAAATACATTTTTGACACATTTAATATAAACAATAAAATAAGCTCATAAAAAGTGACATTTGAAACATACCAAGCCCACCATTGAATGATTTCATTGCAGCTCCTACAGCCGTTTCAAGTTGAATTATATTTAAATTATTATCTAAAGTTTTGTTATTAACAATTATTTCTAAATTCATGCTTTGTTCATTTAAAACTTTATCTATAGCACTTAATTTTATCCACAAGTTGTTAGTATTGAAAAACTTGAACTTTTTTACAGATTTAAATTCTTCAAGATGTTCTTTTGGTACTTGAGCAATTTCTAAAAGTCTCAACTTGTTTTCATATTGAATTAGTGTACCACCTTTAACATCAGCTTTTGTCTTATTTGTTACTTCCATCACAAACTCTGGAGAGTTAATATCTTTGCTTAATAACATGTTTAAAATATTCAGATCAACAGTTGCACCCAAATTATCAATATTGGAGATAAAACAATAATCTCTCCCCTAAAATAGAATATCAGATGGAAAAAAAAAATATATATATATGTATAACAGAAGTGGTCAAATGGAAAGGGGATTAGATATACTCTAGTGTCATTTTTGTACAACTTTCATATCTTATATTTTGGCTACCTAATTAAAAGAAAGCAATGTATGTATATTAATTAGTGAATAATAATAACCTGATATAGTTAATACAAATAAAAAGCTCTGAGCTATAAGATTATAGTGCACACAAAACTTTATATCATAAAGATTTTCCATCCCCTCCTATGGCAAAATCATTTGACCCCACTGTTATATAATAAAACTATAAATATTACATAGTTACTGAAAAATAATAATTATAATTAACTTACGCTATTGATAAACTTCTGTAATAATCCTGAATTTTTAAAGCTGTCATAGAAATCACCATGACCAGGTGGATACCATCTAGGTTAAATGAAAAAATAAATTTATTATTAAGAAAATGTACCTAAAATAATAGCAGATTATTTAAAAACTAACGATTCAATGTTTTCTTCAATATTACAGTTGTGAGCAATTGGATGTAATGATTCTTTAGAAATCCTTGGAAAACAACTTTGGTTAAATGTATAGATTTCTACTTGAAGTCCTTTATATTTACGAATAATTTTTTCAGTATCTTTATCAGTGTTAAAAGAGTTCATTAAAACCAAAGGTACATTTACACTATACTTTTTATTTAAATGCTAAATAAAAAAATATATGGTAAAATAAAGAAGGCACAATTGTTGTTTCAGTCAAAATGATTTTTACCTCGATTTGCTGAACTGTTAAATCTAGAAATGTAAGATCATTTCTAACTTGTATTATCGATTTGGGTCCACGACATCCCATGGACGTTCCAAGACCACCATTTAACTTAACTACAACAAGTTTATCCAGCTTCTTTTTAATGTCATCAGTGCTTGGTTTAGGGAGTGTCTCATAATCTCGAATCTATATCAAATAATATTCTGTGTACAAATAAATAAATAAAAGTTATAGGGAAAGGCGGATTAAGATATTTTGAGAAGTATACAAATTATACCTAGTTTCGATTTAAAAAATTAACGTATACCTGTAAAAACAACAATACAAATATTTACTTATACGCTAGTATATTTTTAATAAAAAAAATGCACTATCCCTCTCGTTTTGTATATTTAACATGTAATTATTACTATTTTTATCAACATCCCTATTTTACAACATAAAAACTATATTAATAGTTTATGAGGTATCTGCTATTTGGAAATAGCGTGCACCCAATATTTTTTTACGAAATCACCACTGATAATAAGGTACATTAAATCAATAAATCAAAACAGATTTGGACAGGGTTTCAAATGACCGATATATTCAGAAAATTTTGATAACGGATTGAAACTCAAACAATGAAAACAATTTACCGGACGCGATTTAACGGCAGAGCGGTAGGTATGATTGCCCTCGTTGGCTATATATAAATACATTATTAAGCTCTGATAACACAAGCTGGATCTACTCCTGGATTTAACAACATTAATAAACTTTGTAATTTTACGTTCTGTTTGTAATTAAATATTTTCTTTAAAACATAATTAGAAAACGAGCTTTAGGGAATACTGTCTTCCCGGAGGTTTAATTCAGCTGGCCTAAATTCATCGTCCAGTCACAAATCTAATCAAAAATAATCTGTGCTGGTAACAGTCAAATGTTAGCCTTTAGTCTAAGCTTTTCGATAAAATAAAGCTGATTGGACTAAGGATTACTCTTATAATAGTATCTTAACATAGAGAGCTTGGGATATGCTTAGGACCATCCACAAAGGAGGATAATGGCTTTACTCCTCCATGATTAATATTTTGTAATTTCATTCATTAATTTTCCAATATGTGGGGTTATTACTGAAAACTCTCGAAATGACATACAATTTTTAAAAATATCCAGTAGACATAATTATCTCCCTCCATTTTTGTTTGCTTTGGGAAAAATTTAGTTGTGTTGACAGTATACGAATACGATTACTAAAAAAACATCTAAAAAAGTCGTTTTGGATTAATCAAAAGTGTATTAAATATGTATATTATGATGTTTTACAGTTTTAATAAACGTAAGACTTTTGAAAATTGTTCAAAATGTAAAACACGACAATGCTTAAACCCCTCATTGTTTTTACGTAAATAATTAATTTCTCAAAACATAAATGTATAGTTAAAAAAAAAATTATCATAACTTAATTAACATTTTCTAAGCTTAGCATAGAATCTTGAACTTTTTGTTCAACACCATTTCATAAATTACAAGCGAATTAATCAATCAGTTTTGTGGCGTGGTTTATGAAGGACCAATGTCAAAAACAGAAAATATTTATAATTTTAAGTTAAATAGTTTTTTTGATCAAAAGAAACTCGAACCATATTGTCAGCATATGTAGGTTTTCTGCAATAGCCATTTGAAAATTAAAGAACAAAATATTTATTTTTGACATTAGCCTTCCTTGCACCAAATTACAGAACTATTTGTTATTAATAATATACATACTTCTGTAGAACAGGTGAGAAATTATAATAGATTAAAATAATTACGTGAGTATATTTTTATTTTGATTGGGGAAGATATTAAAAATAAAAAATAATAAAGTTTATTTTATATTACGAAACCCAGTTATAATCTCTATAGCAAATATCGTGATTTCGATACAACTGAAGAAATAAAGATTTCTTTTAAATCATATCGTTAATTAAATTATTTAATTAATTATATTTATGTTAAATAAGAACAAATATTTCATCGTTCAACTTGTAAAACCTCTTGCATGCAAAATATAGATTATTAACATTTTGATATTATTAAATTCAGAAACTAGGTACCTAAAGGTAGATAAAAATTTTCACATCAAGCGACATATAGGAGTAATTACTACAAAATCTTTGGAGGGGCTCATTATTATTATATCAGTTAATTTTTCTGAAATTTGCTCCTACAAAACAACAATTTAATAATTAGTTAAAACTTATCTACTGTACAGAAAATTAACCATACGATATAATAAGTACTATGCAAGTATACTTCTTAAAACAAGATATTATTAAATATACATTATATTAATATTACAATATAAATTAGATACAATATTAATAATTATTAATAATGTATCTAAAACAAAAACCTTCAAGAATATAATTACTATGACCTTTAAAATAAACACGTATTTAATTTATTATTTATTAACTAAGTAAATATATATTAATTGTAGTTAATCAATAACTTCAGTTAATATTATATAATAATAAGTATATTTCCCATGTTTAAGTTTAAATTTGATAAAAATACGAAAAATTTTACATCATACAAAGTTTAATAAATATAATCAATGAATAATAAGAGACAAAATTATTAAATAATAACTATAGAAGGTGTTATTCAATTATATTTACAAATTAAAAATGTAGGTGTATTATTATTATTTTAAATCAAACAAATTGTATTATATTTGACTATCGTTCTTTTTGTTTCTAGGTCCTTGTACGCATTCATAAAAAAACGTGTACAAAAGACAACAAAATATCGCACTTAATGACTTATGATAATACTTTAAGGCAATACCAAATGTATTTTACTATTTTGACTAAAAAATAGATAACAATACTGTTATAATATTAATAATTAATATACATGAAGATAACATGCAACATGTTTTATTATTTAAATATTTATGGATTATAATAGGCTTGATAAATTTGTATTATCTACAAAGGTATAAAATTAATAAATATTACATTTCCTACTTAACATAATTTTTAATAGACTTAAATGATAATTTTAAAAATCTAAAAAACCTTGCAATTAAAAATAAATTTAGATGATTCAATGGCTAAGATTGAGTGGATATAACAGTAAAAAATTATATTGAGTTGCTTAATCATTTTCGATAATACTATTATTTTGTGTAATATAAAAAAGCGCTATAAATTTAATTACATGTGTTCTATGTAGAGAAAAAAAAATCTGAACAGTTCTTTTACTATATTAATTAAGAGCTTGAATTATTTGATATTAATACTACAATATTTATTTTTTCCTACAATATTAATATTTTCCATTAGAGAATATAAGAAAGCACTCGCGAATAAAAAATAATCGTTTCTTCTAAACTGTATAAATAATAAATATATCATTAAAAATTCCTGATAAAAGTTAACCAATATTTATAAAATATAATATACTATTTACTAAATAATTTAAACTTTTCGTGCAATAAATATACAAAAATAATTAAAGAAAATATATTAATAAAAATTACATGTAATATGATTACATTTAGAAAGTTTTATTAACCTAAATAGTTGTCTTAACATCAAACAATGTATTAACAGGGGCATAGCGAAGTCTTTGTTTAAAGGGACATCCAAGTTGTTTTAACCGATCAACTGATTTATAAATATTCGATTTGGTCGACCGTAATATTAAAAAGTGTCTTGTACACTGACAGAGGTAATTTTAAGGAAGAAGCTACCCTACTAATTCTTATTAGTTACGACCCTATTTAAAAATATTCGATAAAAAATTTAATAATTTCTCATTATCTCCAGAATAGCCAATTTAAAATTATGCGATTCACATAAATTATCAAAAACTTTTTTATTATTATTAGAAGAAAATAATTAATAGTTTTTTATTTTATTTTTGATAACTTAGTTAAATACCTAAAAGTCTAAAATTAGAACCTTAAATACTTTTGTTCTTTAGGTTTACTATTTTAAAAACTGACTATAGTATAATGCGCGGCGTACTTGCCATATGCATTATTAATTAGAACATAATTTACGTAACATGATTTAGCTAATCTCATAGTTCATTAACTCAGCAAAAAATATATATCGTTTATTTGATCTTGAAATATTATGCAAAACATAATATATTTTAGATTAATCAACAAAGTCTTGTATACAGATATTTTTAGAGTTTAAGATAAAAATACACTGAAATTTTATCAATAGTTAAACTTAATAAGGAATTTTTGCTAGATGAAATTATGAGTTTGTTTTACTTAACGATTACGGTTTTTTTTTTTTTTTTTTNTTTTTTTTTTTTTTTTTTTTTTATAAATTTTACTCAATTAAAACAATATTTATGAAATGTTTTATTTAATAACTATTTGAAGATTCTATAGATCTGTAATTTAATTGTATAATAAGATTTGACTTTAACCTCTATGTCAAATTAAAGTTTATATTCAACACATATGTCAAAACTATACTCCATCAATAATGAACAAATACAAATTTTAAAAAGTTACACTTTTTTTTTTATAATGAAATACGTTAAGGTTTTATCTGAAAAATATGGACCTTAAACGGGTCAATATTCGATTAATTAAGGTTATCATAATTAAAAGAAGAAAACAAACGCCAATACTCACTGCATCAGCAGGTAATTTTTCAATACGATCCCAATCAACAGAAGGTCCAGATTCTTCTAAAAACCGTTGAAATAATCGTGTAAATGCATTAAACTGAGATTTAGCTAAATCTTTTTTATCTTGTGGTACGGTAGACAGCAAAGTTTCGATTTCTTTTTCTAATTGAACAAGAGAATCTCTTTGGGTGACTTCTTTAAATTCTCTCAAATCAGTGGAAGGAACTCTCGTGTGACCTTTGATCTATTTATTGAAAACAAAACTTAGATTTTAGAATAACAATAAGCAAAATGAAAATAGTATTATGTACAATAAAAAAAGAAAATTCTACGTCCTACTTAAAATTCATACCAACGACTACAGACGTATTAAAAAAAAAAATTTTCAAATAAAATTTTGTACATTACAGTTTGAATATTTTTAATTGATAACTTATTTTTTGAATTGTGTTCAGTATTAAAATAACACTATTATATAGAAGAAGAAAATACATTTTTTAAAACGAATTTATTTATTTATATAAATTAATGTAGACAATTGTTTTAGTAATGAAAATTTAGGTAGTATTTTATTTTATTAATGTGAAGTTTGGAGAGGTGAAAAAATAGCATTACGTTGGTGAAAAATGACCAACTCTATATCTAATGATTTTTCTAATTTTTTTTTTTATTTTATTTTAAAAATAACCAATTATACAAGTACATATATTAATTATATTACTAGAACCTCAAAAATAAAACATATTATACATTTTAACAATATTTTATTTTTTTAAACAGCTTCATAGTTTAAAAAAGACTAATATAATTCACATAAAGCCTATGTAATTTTCAACTATTTAATGGTAAAAATTTTAAATGGACATAATTATTCAACGGATACTATGTATAACAGTAAAGTTTAACAATACAAAATGTTTCACACAGCATTTTTATAATAACTGTCAGTGCAATTCCATTTTTATTTAAAAATATTTAAGTTTAGTTTTTAAGTTAAGTTATTATTTTAAAATCATATCAATACTAAGAATATAGCTATGAGGAAATAATTGAATTAATTAGTAATATATTCAACTAAAAATTCGTCTCAATCATTCATTAAAATGTGAAGAAAACCATTCTAATGGAAATAAAATTGTTCCATGGATAAGTAGTACATTATATACCTTATGTGGCGTAGCATTACTGGTAATGTTTATTCCCGAATATCCGTAATTTATTTCTTCGGCCATTTTTCTAAAATCGCGCACTTAAAATTTGTGTAACAAGTACGAATTCCTCCTTATAAGTACACGGAAACCGTCAAACGAACATCCGTCAACTTGAACATAACAAACATAAACTGGCCTTCCCGCACTTATGAAACCAGTTTTTACAAACAGCTAACTTATAGATATGCGCACACATTACGTATGGACGTCCGTCTATAATATATGTATGTGAGCGTATTATTATATTTATATACGCACATGTACAGTGATAATGTCATTATCTAATCTTCAGCATACTACACTAAAATGCGAAGTTTCTCGATCAGATTTTCATAGACAATCCTCATTACGAGGAGAAATTGCACTAAATATAACCGTAGTTTAATATAACTCTATTGATTAGATTAATTATACGTAAATGTTTAGTGTCATTTTAAATTATAATAACTCTAAAATTCAAATAAATTTATGCGAATAAGTCACAACAATGTTTTTGATTAACATAGTTTTATAATGCATCACGTCTTTCAAAGACATAAAAAAGTTCAAACGCTTATTAAAAAAATGAATTTCCTCTAGGAGTTATTAAATTTTTTTTAAATTAAAAAAAAAAAAAATAATCTTCATTGATAATAAGTTTAATATACATAATTCAGTCATTATACTAAGGAATGCGAATCAAATTGTTTTATTAAATTCAATTAATTATATCAATAAGGATATGATTTATCAAAACATTATCTTTTAAAATAAGTCTAGCAGATCACATTATTTGGCAGTGGAGTATAAAATAAGGTCAAACGAATTGATTAATAATTACATTAATGTGCAACCAAATTACTATTATTAATTATAATTATTATATATTAATAAATAGTACAAGACAACTAATTTAAACCAAAAATAAATGAAAATGACAATAATGATAATTAAGATAACAAGATTTCACTTGGGAAATTTAAATATAAATAACTCGTATAACACTCATGAGAAGTTGAATTTATCAAAATTAGTTATTTTGAAAATTGTTAGTAAATTTTTTTCATAAAAAAAAAAAAGGGTGTATTTAAGGAGGACGTCAGGGGAATGAGACTTCTCTTGAACAAGTGCTGATCATTTTATTAACCTTATTTATTTTTTTAACATATATTTTCTAATTATAAATGACTAAGAAAAATTAACTTTATAAATTTGCTAAATAATTTTGATAAATATATTTGTACGCCAGTTCTCACAAGTTTAGTGAGTACCTTTTTCGATAACATATAAATAACATGATACAAAACATATATATATATATATAACAATAAACATGATTAAATGTATCAACAAATTTATATTGTAAACATATTTAAAAGAAATCGACTGAATGTAACTTAATAAAAATATGCTTAATAAACTAAACATAATATATAAAAATAACAAATATCATATCTAAAAAAAGATAGTTAACTACTAAAACAATCAATACTTATAAGACAACAATAACAAATATTAATTATGAATTGAATAGAAAATTATATCGTCATAAAAATTCATATTTTACTAATTAAGCTTCATAATAAATATATGCGCAGAAATGTGTCAATGGCCATATTAAAACTATTCGCGTGGACATAAAAAAAAATTAAATTAATAGATTGATTTGATTTTTTTATCATAACTCAGCAATGCAACTTGGTCTAGTGAAAATTTCAATCCTTAAGTCGTAAAACGCTGGCGTCAGTAATCGTTTTTCTCGAAATCTGTTGAAATTTGAAAACGCCCGCGAGTGAGTGTCAAAAATTTTCGACCTTCGGCAATAATTTTCCCAAAGTCTAGTGACCGAGTACTTTTGTTGAAAAAAAAAATTTTGAAAATGCAAGCACGCTAAGTAATTTTTCCTGAAAAGCGTTTATTTTCTTATTCTTTTATATATAAATTAATTTTATTTAGTTTTCTTACATATATCATTATGCACCTTTTGTTGTTGGAAGCCCATTATTCTAACTACGGTTACAAATAAAAAATTGATGGATATATAATAGTATACCGGGGTCTACTTCTACTTCGCTGACGATTTTGAATAGTTCGGTTTATTGTTATGATGATTATTAAAAATAATTTATTTTAACATTAAAAAATGTTTAAAACTGCGTTCTTTAATTATATATTTATGTTAATATTAATAGGCACATAAAAGTAGTTTGACTACCTAGCCCCCTCCCCCTCATTAATATAGTGTCAATTTTAAGGATTCAAGCACCTTGCTCAAGAAATATTTTAGCACTATGTAAAAATGTATGATTTTTTTTTTGAGATGATCAGTCAAAAAACTAACATTTGTACTCATAAAAATATGGCATAACGATAGTAGAGAGATTACGGAAAGGAAAAATTCAATTGTTTCCTTGGTTTAAAAATCCAGCTAATATAAAATATGACTTACATAATAGGGTTAAAATACTTATTAAATATCGAGTGTAATCGATAGTTAGCAGTGGCGTGATTAAGGATTTTTAGGATGTATATACATAAGACAATTATTTATTATTTCCTCTAAACGAAAAAATTGTATCATCATCATGTAATATTTTTATCATAGGGGATATGACATCCATATCCCTTCCCCCTAATAACGCTGGTGTATTTTAGCACTCACTTCCATGACGTCTCCATTTCGATTCAAGCATCAAAAATATTTTAGATTTTAAGTGTATAATGATCCCTATTCGGCTTGAAATTTTTGTAAATATGTCTACAATTAATCTAAAGGATACAAGGGGAGCTTAAGTCTATAAAACAAAATTGAAAAACGAAATTTTTAACGATAAATTATTATGAAGATGAAAATATAAATTATTAAAATTTTCGTTATATTTAAAATAGCAAAATATTTATAAATACGATTTTTCTTTGGCAGTAGTGTTACTAATAGGTAACTTACAGTGGGGTACTTAACAATTTTTCTAAGAGGGTGTCACAATATAGTAAAATATGAATTTTTATGACGATATAATTTTCTAATCAAATTATAATTAATATTTGTTATTATTGTCTTATAAGAATTGATTGCTTTAGTAGTTAACTATCTTTTTTTAAATATGATATTTGTTATTTTTATATATTATGTTTAGTTTATTAAGCATATTTTTATTAAGTTACATTCAGTCGATTTCTTTTAAATATGTTTACAATATAAATTTGTTGATACATTTAATCATGTTTATTGTTATATATATATATATGATTCGTATCATGTTATTTATATGTTATCGAAAAAGGTACTCACTAAACTTGTGAGAACTGGCGTACAAATATATTTATCACAATTATTTAGCAAATTTATAAAGTTAATTTTTCTTAGTCATATATAACTAGAAAATATATGTTAAAAAACCCAGCACAGGGGAGTCGCGGCACAGTGGTGACGTGGCATAGTTGGATCAAGTATAATGATATCTGACAGTGTTAAAATCACTATAAAAAAAAAACGCTTCGATGCAAATCTTTAGATAGTGTTTAATTTAAAAAAATTGATGGATTATTCCAAAAGCTACATGATCTTCTATTTTCTTATTAATATTCTGAATGAAAATGGGATTATTAAAAAATATTATTTCTCATAAAAAACTTGTGTTGAACCATACACTTTTCAATAAGTTATAGCATTATAAAGTTAAAAATGTAAAAAATAAAATCAAGAATTTTCACACGAAAATAGCATTTGGTAGCCATTTTCACAACGAAGACAAATCCAGAGGTCAAATTTTTTTTTTTTCATAATAAAGTATAATATTACATTATCTTTAATTTAAGATATATATAAAAGTGTCAAACCTTCCGGAACATTTTCAAAAGTTAATTTTTGTGAAAAAGTTGTCATTTTAAATCCCCCCCTGTGGGCTGGTTAAGTGTCAAATTTGCATAAAAATTACACCAAATGATAGGTAAAGACATCAAGCATCTATAAAAAAAAGAATTATATTAATATGTTCATTTTTGAAAAAGTTACAGCAGTTTTTAGTAAAAAAAAATTGAAAAAATGTCGAAAATTAGTGATTTTAAAATTTGTAATTTTTTTGGAGGTTTCCCCCATTTACGGGAAATTTTTTTCAATTTTTGAGGGTAATGTTTTCGACTAGATATGATTTGGGTTCTTTTGACGTATCGTTGAAAGAAATCCGTTCAGTGAGAGCTGAGAAAAAGTGGTAACAGACACACAAAAAAAAAAAAACACATCATAGTAAAACCAATTTCTCAGCTTCTCATTGAAGCTAAAACAAATAAGGTTAAAAAAAAAATGATCAGCACTTGTTCAAGAGAAGTGTCATTCCTCTGACGTCCTCCTTAAATACATCAGTGGTGGGGATTGGGATTGAATTCATGATCAAGTCCTAGTGTCATAATTTTTTTAGGAAAAAAATTTACTAACAATTTTCAAAATAACTAATTTTGATAAATTCAACTTCTCATGAGTGTTATACGAGTTATTTATATTTAAATTTCCCAAGTGAAATCTTGTTATCTTAATTATCATTTTCATTTATTTTTGATTTAAATTAGTTGTCCTGTACTATTTACTAATACATAGTAATTATAATTAATAATAATAATTTGGTTGCACATTAATGTAATTATTAATCAATTCGTTTGACCTTATTTTATACTCCACTGCCAAATAATGTGATCTGCTAGACTTATTTTAAAAGTTAATTTTTTGACAAATTATATCCTTATTGATATAATAAATTGAATTATGTATATTAAACTTTTTATCAATGAAGATTAATTTTTTTTTTTTAATTTTAAAAATAAATATCCTACTTTTAGTTTTATATTCTACTATATATGAAATAGGTTTTGACCACTATTAGTGATATTGAGTAAGGGATGATATAGCATCCCAGCCAATCTATGCCTCAACACTACAAAAATGTCTTGATTTGATAAGAGCTTGTGTATTGTGTTATTATTGGCTAATATAAAATTTCAATTGCTAGTAAAATCTCTTCTATGTAAATTATAAAGAAATTTTTAAAGTATTATAAAAAATTAAAATTTTTATATTGAGTGTACACTCAATAAAATATTTCTAAAGCCTTCTAAAACCTTTTGTTAAGTAAAAGAATAATTTTCTCTAGCAAAAAAAAAAAAAAATGTTAAGCCTTTGCTACTAATCTTACTTATTCAACAACTTAAAATATAGATAAATATAAAAAAATAAATTATAGATAACATATACATTTTTACCAATGTTTTATCAAGTTCATAAGCTAAAACGCCTCCAAAACCTCAGAGTCTATCTTTTCATCACTTCTTAGGTTAGCTGCCCAAGATAACCTTTTATTCTTATAAACAATTTTATTTATTTGATATATCATTATACATATTAAATTTTATAAGATTTAGAAGCTTTATATGAGTAAGTCCATTTTTACTAAATAATTTCTGAATGCAGGATTAGAAAGGTACTTGATCTAACAGTTTCCTGTACTATGTAATCAATTTTAAACAGAATTTCAAAAAAAGTGGGAGTCTTGCATCAAAAATATATAATTTGTAACCATTGCTCCAATTAATATTTTTATAAGTTTAATAAAAGTAAAATAATAATATGAAATAATTATAATGTGAGGTAATTTATACCATAGTAATAAGCTCAAAATATTATATTCGAATAGCAAATACTGGGTAATAATTAGTTTTAATTTACTTCAAGATGCTCTTTATTAATAAAACTTTAAGTTTCAAAATTTTTCAAGATACATATTATGAAATGTTTATTATAAATAATTGTTGCATTTTTAAAGTCAAATACAGCTAGGATTTTATTTTGAAGTTTTAAAAATTTTATTCTCTTCTTACAATACTTTAACTTTAATGGATTTAATTCTAATTTGTTTTTATTAAGATATTTATCCGAATTCCAACTTTAAAAACAATTAGATTTAAGGTATTATTGTTTAAAATAATTTTTTTCAATTATCGATATGGGAATTTTGTGAATATCAGATATTATTAAAACACCTAGAGATTTTTTTAATTTTTGTATGTTAACCAAATTGGTTTTTACCTGGGTTAATAGAAAGATGTATATTCAAATTGGTATCTATTTGCATAACTAAAAAGGGGGTACTAATTTATCATATATATATAATTATAGAGTTTCTCAGCTCATATATTAATTATGTTACCTTTTTTTTGTAATTCTATATAAAATTAATTGCATAGTAGAAGGAACTGTTGGATCAAGCAACTAGAATATAATATAATAATACAAATGCACTTGTTTTACTCATATTGATCTTTTAGAATGTAAATTACATAATATTAACACTGAGATACCAAATAAACAAATAGTTAAAATAATTGAAAAAATATTTCATATGTAATACTTTATATATATAGGTATCATTTGACAATTTGCCATAAGAAAAATATGTGGATTTGTTAAAAATTGTGGGAAACTCTGTATAAGTAATGTATATTTATTTTCATATCAACTATGTTCAAATTGAATAAAAAATAGGATTGATGAATATGTTTATATAAATGTAAAGAGAAACCATAAATATACGTAGAGCTTGAATTTATACAAAAATATAATATAATCTTTAAAATTATTTTTTAAGTAGATCACATAACACATATAATACATAAATTATAATCCTCACATTTGTTAAAAGATAAATTACCTCTTGTGTATCCGCTGATAGCAAATTTGCCGACATTTTCCAGCAAAAAATAAAGTATAATCGCCTAATGTTAAAATATTCCGAGCTGGAATAATTCTAAATATTAAACAAGCTTAATGTAAATATAAAATAATATTTTACAAAACAATTTTAGATTTGGAAGCACAGATAAAACCCGATGTAGAGTTGTTATATGTTTATCTCTTTTGTTAATCGGTAACAAGAACTAATGTAATTGACCGTTTTAACTATCTTCTTGTTTTTGGAAATAGATATCTCTTAGATAATATAGATATAGATAGGATATCAATTCTTATCAGTTCGGAAATTTTCATAGATATTATGGATCTAAAAAAGTAAATTGATGTAAAAGATGTACAAAATTATTTGTAATTTAAATGTTTAAATATAAAATATAAACTATTAGCAATTATTTTTATAACAATTATTCGTATTAATAAAACATGAACAATAATTATTATTTTAATAAAACTGAAATAATTGTAGTTTTTGGTCAATCATAATCTAGATCAGACTATATGAAAATGTATATATATTTTTTCATGAAGTCTGTAGATAGTCAAAAGGCGGTCTGCGTGTTAAATATGGTCTGCGGATAAAAAATCAATAGCCTAACAAAAATTTTATATTTAATAATAAATTGAATGACAGATTTTATTACTTAAATCTGAATAGTCCCCCAAATAAAAAATGAATTTTTATTGTTATTATATGTTATGTATTTCAATGTTTTTCCGATGGTAAACAATTAATTGTAGTAATAGTGCAAGAGTTCGTATTATTGTCATAGAATAGACGTTTTTTTTTACATTAAATGTTATTTAAATAAATTCAATATACTAAACATAGATGTATAATATAATATAATATTATAAATATCAGTATAATGTGACATGTACTAAGAGTGTATAGATATTATATTATTCATATATAGTGTTCAGTAAGTAAGGAAACAGGTTTCTATGAAAAATTACTTATATAATTACATAAAAAAATTTAGGAAGGGTATATGACATATGATGAGATCCTCTAAACATTTTATTGAAATTGGGCCTATGGAAGTAGGAACGTAAACAAATTTCAAAGTTCCTTTAAATTTTAGTATATTTATTGGTATTATAATTAAAAATGTATTTTTACATTGAGTATTAACAATAATTATTGCATCGAAATCTGAAGACCTTAATTATATTATATCTGTATCGTCTCTATTATATTATCAAAATTTTATTATTTTAATATATTACTATAATATCAAGAAATTGACAATAACATTAAAAAAATTATTCACTAAAATCTTGAAAGCACAGATTTATAGGTAAAATTTGGGGTGTTTGGTAAAGGATTAATTCCCCCCACTTTTATCAAAACCACTCCATATTATAAAAATTACACGTTAATTTATATAAAAAAAATTTTAAAGAGGAAGAAATTAAGTTAAATCCTCCAGACATTTTATTTTAAATGCACAAGATAATTAAAATAAACTCATCATTTCAACTTTAAATTATGATTATAATATTGTTATAATTTTAGCAGGGTTTTAATTTTTTAAGAGGAATTGTATCCGGAACAAGTTCCGTTTAAAAAGAAATTTTCCCAACATTGTACCTAATAACTAGATTGAATATTATAACTCAAAACAATTCTTTCTTCTTATAAAAATGTAAAAACATTCACTAAAATTTTGACATATATTTCTAATAGATAAAAATTTTAATTGTAACAGTTTTGATTCACCTTGTGGTGTATAAACTAAAAAAACGGTAGCACAGTGGGGTCGAGGCACAGTATAGACGTGGCATAGATGAGATAAGTATAGATGATATCTGACAGTGATTAAAATCACTATCATAAGAAACGCTTCGATGCAAATCTGTAGATAGTGTTTCCTTTAGAGAAATTGGTGAAATATTTTAAAAGCAACATGAACTCTTATTTCTTTAATTATATCCTGATTAGTAGTTCTTTGATTTTAAAATATAATATATGAATAAATACTAATTATAGTTTTTAAATTTAGTATGAAATTGTGAGGCCAGCTATGATGTATGGTTAATAGTGTTGGGCGGTTGATAAGAAAGTAGAGCAGAGAATAAGTGTAGCAGAGATGAGAATGCTTAGTTGGATGAGTGGAGTGACTAGAGAAGATAGGATAAGGAACGAGCATATAAGAGGAAGTATAGGTGTTGCGTCAATCGTGGATAAGATGACAGAAAATAGACTTAGATTGTTTAGTCATGGTATGAGGAAAGAAGAATCGAAAGCTGTAAGAACAGTTATAGAAATGAATGTTGAAGGAAGAAGAGATAGAGGAAGACCAAAAAAGAGATGGAGGGATGCTATTGAATGCGATTTGAGGACAGCTGATGTGAGCGTAGAAGATGTGGGAGATCGTGTCAAGTGGAAGCTTAGGATAAGGGTGGCCGACCCCAAGTAGTTGGGATTAAGGCAAAGAAAAAGAAAAATATTACCAGAAATTCCGGTGGCAATTGACATAATATGATTGTTGTTTCGGAATGTACAATTTAGCGTTTAGTTGGGTTTAAATAATATAGCGTCAAATCAATTACCTACTCTATCGGTTGTATCTCAATATACACTACACTTTAATGATACAATAAATAAATAAACTCACACATACACACATATGCATTTATAACATTGTGTCTAATGTAAGTATAACATGATAAAAAGTAACCGTAAAATGAAAAAAATGGAATATAAATTTTATTACTCATATTAAATGTAATGTAACTCGAAAAATATTTGTTTAAATGAAAAAATATAAGATTATATTTTTATTTATAATTGTCTTTTAAACAACTTTTGTGCGAAACTTTTTTTTGTAAGTTAAATATTTTTTTTTGAGAAAATTAAGAAAGCTCATATTTTTGAACTTTTGCGAGGATTTAAAAAAAAAGCTCAATTCCAATCTTGAGGACTATTAGTATGTCATTATACATATTTTAATTCAACTTTTAAAAAAACAAAATTTTTTCCGCAATTTTTCCTTTGTTGACAGGCCTAGATGTCAATTTTAAACTTGTAATTGAGCTAAAAGTTATGGTAATATATTCAATTTATTTTACTATAAACTTTCATAAATCTTTATCAAAAATTTTTCATCAACTTTAAAGAACCAAAAAAATAGGTTAAAATTGAAAATTTGGACTGATTATTTTTAACATATTAAAAATCAAATCAGTAATAATTTGAAAACAAATTTTTTTTTCTTTTAATTATTATTTTATATATATAATTAGTAATAATATAAAAAATTAGAAGTGATAGAAATAGTCTACTTGCAGATTTGAAAACAACGCGAAAATTTGATTTAGAAAAGTATATTTTTGCTTCTGATGAAAGTTCCTTGTAGTCCAGTGCATTTTTTTATAGTAACAAACAGTTTTTATTGAAAATTATTGTATCAAGCCCTTTAAATTTTTATACACGTAAAAGTAAAGCAAAATATAACTTCTTTATTATTTTTATAATTTCTCCGTTTAAATTACAATATTAAATATCAATTTCATACTAAATTTAATAATTATAATTAGTATATATTCATATATTATATTTTAAAATCAAAGAACTACTAATCATGATATAATTAAAGAAATAAGAGTTGATGTTGCTTTTGGAATAATCCACCAATTGCCTAATTAAAACAAAAAAAAAAAAAGTTTGTTGGGAATTTTTTCTGCTATTCTGCAAAATTACTCCTTCGTTGACTAGAATGAATCATTAAATAGAAAATTTTATGAGAATTAAAACAATGTTATTTTTAAGATTAATATGCAGTCAGAAAGTTTTATAATTATTATTTATTGTAAATTTATCAGAAAAACTCATTATTTTTTGCATTTTTATCGTAATAGAACACTTAAATAGAAATCATAGTAATCATTTCTAAGTAATTTTTGATATTTAAAAAGATTCTACTATTGAAATATCCAGAACTGAATTAATTTTAATGATTTACTTTAACTAAAAAAAAAAAAGTTAATATTTTGAATCCCTCTTGTGGGCAGGTAAAGGGTTAGATTTATAAAAAAAACCAAATGATAGATAAAGACATGCATCTAAATAAAAAAAAATATACTGATTTGGTCATTTTTGATAAAGTTATAACAATTAACAAAGTTATAAGTTTTATACACTGGACTACAAGGAACTTCCATCAGAAACAAAAATATACTATTCTAAATCAACTTTTCGCGATGTTTTAAAATGTGCAATTAGACTTTTTCTATAACTTCTAAGTTTTAATATTATTAAAAAATAGTTTTTACATATAAAAAAAAATAATTAAGAACAAAAAAAATTGTTTTAAATTAATACTGATTTGATATAATATTTAATATTAATTTGATTATTAATAAGTTAAAAATAAGGAAAATGACATATTTAACCTATTTTGTTAATCGTTTAAAGTTGATTGTTGTAAATGTTTATAATAAAAAAAAAAAATTTATTTTACCATAACTTTTAGCTCAATTGGTAAGTTTGACATTGACATAATTAAATAGAAAATTTTATGACAATTAAAAAAATTGTATCGTTAAGATCAATATGCAGTCAGAAAGTTTTATAATTACTATTTATTGTAAATTTATCAGAAAAGCTCAATATTTTTTTGCATTTTTATGGTAATAGATAACTTAAATAGAAGTAATAGTAATAATTTCCTAGGAACTTTTGTTGTTTGTTGAAAAGATTCTATAATTGAAATATTGAGAACTTAATTAATTTTAATGATTTACTTTAACTAAATGTACCAATCAAAACAAAGTTGTTAAAAAGATTTACTCAATTGAGTGTATTATAAAATTTGATTATATTTGTAAAAATCAATTGTTAATTCAGGAGAAAAAACAATCATTTTTTTTAGAAATGATTTATATAGCAACATGTTACAAAAAAAAATTGTAATATTATAGTCTAGTAGTAGCACACACAAATAGAGTAAAAAAATTATTAAATTACAAAGTAAAATGATTTAATTTTGTAGTTGAAACCTATCATATCAAACTTCATTCGTTAATAAATATTTTGAAAACATTAGAAATTAATGATTTTAATTGTCTTTATGGAGACGATGTAATAACTAACTGTTTAATTGATAAATTAGAATTTTTTTTTCAATTTTTGAGAGTAATATCTTCAACTAGATACGAATTGTAGTAATTTGACGTATTGTTGAAAAAAGTAGGTCAAGTTAGAGCAGAGAAAATAAATGATAGTCACAAAAAAATATCTTCTCGGCTTTGCATCGAAGCGAAAACTTAAAATATAGTAAAATAATTTTAATACGAATAAGAAATTTCTTCTTGCAAGGGGCGACTAAAGTGATGGGATCCTTGATCTTTATTGAAGTTATTGAATCTAAATGTGATAAAAATCAAACGAGTTAAAATTTATACTAACTTAAAAAGAATTAAGAAAAAATGCAAAAAATTCATTGCCATATGCGGGTTGGAACCTCGTACCCCAAGCGTGTAAAACATAAATTTTACCAACTCGGCAACCGTACGTTGCTTCCGGCGGTTGAAAAATTGGCTATTTAAGCTAGTTCAAATTTCAAAGTTATTTTTCTCGACTTAAAAGAAACAAACATATTTAAATAAGTTTAACTATCTATACTATATCAATTTTAATTTATATAATATTTATGAAAATCTGTACTCCCCTTGTCAGGTATTTTAAAATAAAATAAAATACAAAACCCAGAATTTTAACACAAAAATAGCATATTTTTGCATACGGTAGTCATTTTTACCATGAAGACAAATCCAGAGGTCAAATTTTTTTTTTTCACATTAAAGTATATTACATAAGCTTTAATTTAAGATATATTTAAAAGTGTCAGTATTTCCGGAATACTTTCAAAAATTAAATTGAAAATATCGTAGTAACAATACGCATGTTTAAAGTTTTGACCCCCCTTGTTAAAGGGGTATGATCCGATTTACAAAAAAAGCGTGCCAGATGAAAGGGGTATATCAATATTTATTATAAAAAAATAATAATATAGATCCATACATTTTTCCAAAAGTTATATAAAATATAAATTAAATAATATAACATATAAAATCGAGATTTTTTTCACGGAAATCGTACGTTTTTCTTTAACTTTGATGTCCGTTTTCACCACGAAGACAAGTCCAGAGGTCAAATTTTTTTTTTTCAAATTAAAGTATATTACATAAGCTTTAATTTAAGATATATATAAAAGTGTCAGTCTTTCCGGAACATTTTCAAAAGTTAAGTTGAAAAAGTTCTACTTTCTATACGCATTTTAAAAGGTTTGCACCCCCCCTGTATAAAGGGAAATGGTCCGATTTTAAAAAAAAGTATGTCGAATGAAAGAAGTATATATAAAGTATTTATCATTAAAGAATAAAGTTGATTCATGCATTTTTTAAAAAGTTATAGCAACATAATGTTAAAAAATGTAAAATATAATATCAAGAATTTTTTCACAAAAATAGCATATTTTTGCATACGGTAGTCATTTTCACCATGAAGACAAGTCCAGAGGTCAAATTTTTTTTTTTCAAATTAAAGTATATTACATTAGCTTTAATTTAAGGTATATATAAAATTGTCAGTCTTTCCGGAACATTTTCAAAAGTTAAGTTGAAAAAGTTAATTTTTTGTAAAAAAGTTACCATTTTGAAACCCCATCCTTTGGGCTGTTAAAGGGTCAAATGTTCACAAAAATATATAAAATGATAGGTAATTATCTAAGGTATCTATAAAAAAAAAAATTATATTGATTCGGTCATTTTTAAAAAAGTTATGGCAATTTTAAGTAAAAAAAATTGAAAAAATATCGAAAATTAGCGATTTTTAAATTTGTAATTTTTTGGGGGATTTCCCCCGTTTACGGGGAACGAGGGAATTTTTTTCAATTTTTGAGGGTAATGTCTTCGACTAGATACGATTTGTGATCTTTTGACATATTGTTCATCAAAATCGGTCCAGCGAGAGCTGAGATTGAGCGTTCACAGACACAAAAAAAAAAAATAAAAAATAAAAAAAAAAACACATCATAGTAAAATTAATACCTTCTCAGCTTCGCATCGAAGCTAAAATCGATTTTTTTTTTCATTACACTGCATGTGTATGTAGTGTATTTATTTATATTGTAGTATTTTATTAATAGAGAAAATTAGACATGTATTCAAGATTTTTCAAAGAAAGACGGAAACATTTTTGAACTATCAATATTTTTTTGTTATTTAATACTCAAAGACTCATAATTATTTTTATATATCATTTATTTAATATTTTATGGAAAATTGTAAATCTGATGAAGCTTATTTCCTATCCCATCCTTTGGTCTAAATATGGAAAAATTTTAAGGTTTTTTTTTTCGGCTCCTTAGTCCTCTGATTGCACATTAAAATAATATANTTTAAGGTTTTTTTTTTCGGCTCCTTAGTCCTCTGATTGCACATTAAAATAATATAATTATATTCTAGTTAGAAATATAAAAATTAAATTTTAATAAAAATAAATTAAAATTAAATATTTTTAGGTGTAGGTATAATTCTAAATAAATTTGTTTAATTACATCAATAAGTTGCAAATAAAATAATACTATTATGAAGTAATACAGTTTTTAATTTTGTAAATCAAGTATATATATAAATTTAAATATTGTATAATATTGGTAGTAAATTTATCATAAATAATATGTAAACAATATTTTCTATGTATTGAATTTATATCAGTTTATTCCTCAATTGCATCTAAATATAATCAATTTTTTAATGAATTTTAATAACAACCTATTTTCTAAATCTGAAATGATTTGTTAGAAGTTAAGCTTTTGATGCTAATGCATTTAAATCTATCATGCATTTTTTGAAACTCTGTTTTTCTTGTTCATTTGTCAAAGATTTCAAAACATTTTCAATAATCCAATTGACCATGTGTCTTTGTTGAACCGTACGTTTTAAATTTGCAAGTTCCAGTTGATAATCTAAACGTTTTTTAACCTATAATTCAGATTGATTAATAATTATTATTATAATGTTAAAACATTTTTATGACTTGTTATAGCTTCTTATATTTAAAAATATAAAAAGTTGTTCAAGTAAAATTAGATGGAATATATTTTAAAAATTATATATTTACTAATTATCAATAAACAAAACTCAAAGTTTTTTAAATTATTGACAAGTTCAAACTAGTCAATAAAAGTCACTTCCAAGAACTATTGTTTGTGTTAGAGAACACGAGAAAATCAACACATAGTATCATGAAATAAAATACAATAATTTTGTTCAAAAAACATGTATATTACATGTAGTGAATAGTATTTCTGCCTTTTTGGTTTGAAAAAATATAAATTTTTTTAACTTCATAATTGCATTACCTGATTGTATACTTGCTGAGCTCTTTCACGGTAAATTGTTTCTAATTGTAAAGCAACATTTTCACGTTTGGCTTCAAAAATATATTTTTGAGCTTCTGTTCTCCAAACTTCTTTTTTCTGTATTTCGATAGTTTCTGATAAATTGTCTAATTCACTTTGGCGACCAGCATTGCAAGATGCTTCATATTCCTAGACGATACTAATACTATTAAAAGAATGATAGCACAGAGGGGTCGCGGCATAAAATAAATGTGGGACAGTTGAGACAAGTATAGATGATATCTTACAGTGATTAAAATCACTATCATAAGAAATGCTTAGATGCAAATCTGTAGATAGTGTTTAATACTATGAAATTGGTGTATAATTACAAAAACATCAACTCTAAATTCCTTAATTATATCTTGATTAGTAGCTCTTAGATTTAAAAGTATAATTTATGAATAATCATTTTTATAGCAATTAAATATGGTATAAAATTAATATTTAATAATTTAATATTGTAATTTTTATGGAAAAATAACAAAAAATAATTAAGTAGTATATTTTGTTACTTCTATGACAAACATATATAAAAATTAAAGGTTTTGTTGCAATACTGCATATAGATTTTTTTTTTACTTATGAATAAATAGAAGGAACTTTAATCAGAATCAAAAATATACTTTTTTAAATCAAATTTTTGCACTGTTTTCAAATCTGAAATTAGTCTATTTCTATCAATTTTAAGTTTTGTTATTATAATTAATTATTAAAAATGAGTAAATACAAATAAAAAAATGATTAAAAACAAGAAAAAAATTATTTTTAAATTCTTACTGATTTTTACTTTTAGTATGTTAAAAATAATCATTTCAAAATATCATTTTTAACCTATTTTATTGGTCCTTTAAAGTAGATTTTATGAAAGTTAATAATAAAAAAAAGTTAAATTTGTAACCATAACTTTTAGCTCAACTTGTAAGTTTGAAATTGACATCATTAAATAGAAAATTTTATGAGAATAACACCAATTGTATTGTTAGGATTAATATGCAATCAGAAAATTTTATAATTATTATTTACAATAAATTTATTAGAAAAGCTAATTATTTTTTTGCATTATTATCGTAATAAATTATTTAAAAAGAAATCATTTCTAAATAAATTTTGTTATTTATAATTATAATAAAATTATTGTAAAATCAATAAGAAATTTCCTCTCATGAGGGGAGACTATAGTGATGGGTACCTTGATATTCATTGAAGTTATTGAAGCTAAATAAGATAAAAATCAAATAAGTTAAATATTTTATTTTAACTTAAAATCCTTTAAAAGTATTTTAAATTAAAAAAAAATACAAAACTGAGAATTATAACACTAAAATATCGTATTTTTGAAAGAAATTAATTTGGTGAGAACTGAGAAAAAGTGGTAACAGATTTGAAAAAAAAAACATAAACTAAAATTAATACTTTCTCAGCGTTGAATCGAAGCTAAACATACTATTATATAGAATATAAAAATATTTTATTCACACATACATCGATTTCTTTGTCAAGGTAAGAAGCAAATGAGTTGCCAAACTTTTTGTATGCAATGTAAAACAATCCAGCTGTAGCTAGTACATAGGGAAACTCATGTTCCACAACCCATATTTCTTTGCTTAATAAATATGTAGTAAGTCCGGCAGCAAATACATATGGTCCTAAAATAATATTTTATTAATAATAATCAAAATTAAAAGTTTATAATAAAAATTAAATGTAAAAGAAAATTTACATAATATATAATAAAATTTTATAAGAACATTATGTATACAAATAACATACCCAATAAAATGTAGAACCATTGATAAAATGAAATAATAATTCAACACTAATACTATGTGTTTTAGTTTATGGCCAAAGAAGACAATATTAAGGGTCATGTACAGAAACTTTTTATAATTTTTTGTTAACATTTTTATTTTAGTATTAAACATTAAATTTTTATTTACTATCACAAATATAATTATATATAATAATTTTTATGTTTAAAACTTATTATGATTAATTTTTAAACTAAACATTTGTAAGACTTGCAGTAAACATTCAATAACTCTATATTGATGTTTATAGATCTAATTACTGTACTAAAGGTATTTTTTGTCGTTAAGTATTATTTTATAAACATACTTATTTTTTTTTTATACATACACAGTATAAAAATACACACATGGGTACACCCAGAATTTTCTGGGTGTCTGTTAAAAAATGTGTTAAATGCAATATTGAAAATTTTATAATTGATTTGTTTTTTATTTTATTAGTATGTAATGTGTTACGTATTATACAATTGTTAAATAAGAATTCATACAGTGTCTTACGGTTAATTTTATGATGTTGTGTTTTATCATATATTATATTATGCTACCTATATCTCTACTCAAAATAGCTTATTATATTCAATACAACGTCTATTAAACATAAGTACTTATAATGTTTGAACATAATTTTATTTATGCTTTATTATGTTATAATAATATTGAAATATTACTCATTATTTTATAGTAACTAATTGTGTTGTAATTTATCTTTTGTCAATCCACAGTATAATCCTCTTTTAACATGCAATATAATTTATGGTAACATTTTGTAACTATAATTTTATATTAAAAATACCATAGAAATACCCATAAGTATTTGTGGAAAAACTATTAATAATTATTTTACACATACAATATGATCAGATTTTAGTTAGCTCGAAAACCAATGAGTAATGAAATTAAATATAATATAAATTTATATGAAGGATATTAAAAATATTTATAACAAAGTATATTTTCAATCAATTATCAGCAAAAACACTTTTTTTTTTTATAATTAGGCCATTATTATAATGGAAGTATAACATATACACTACATGTGATGTATCACATATTTATAAAACTCTTATATATCATATAATACATAAATAACTAGTCCAAAAATTATTCTTAATTTTGTTCCAATTCCACCAGGATTTTTGTAAGAAAATGGCTATTTTGAAATTTAAAATAAAATATACTTCTACTTTTATCTTATTAGATATAAATAATAATAAATAATGCTTTTAGCTTGGTCCAAAAAAGTAAACATGATTCAGAATAGAATTAACACAAAATATTGCTCAATAAGTTATAAAAGACGTCAGTATGTGGTAGGACACTCTGTATACAATATATACATATAATTTTACCTGTTACACCAGTTTTTTTGTAAAAAACTTCAAACCACTCTTCTGGTACAAACAAATACCTCGTCTTGCTAGGATGTTCTAATCTTACCATTCGAGGAAAGTTAACTAAGTCGCGTTCTGGACCATCATAAGGATTTGGTTGAGGTTTGCCATTTGGTTTAGGAAATCCAGGTACAATGATAGATTCATTGCTACTAGGAACTACTGGTTTAGTTTGCGTGCCTCGAATATTAACACTTAAGGGCACCACTCGGAAAAGTTCTAAACAAAATTATATTTCATTAAATAACATGCAATTGTCTACAAACAATGAAATTTACCAGAACGAAGAGCTAATCTTGAAAGCATTATGCTGAGTAAATAATTTATTATTAAAAAGTTACTAACGTTAAATTAATCAGAAGGGCCAGATTTTAAAATGCAACTCTAAAGAAAAAATTAAGTTTATGTCGGCGATTAAGCCAAGATGTAACCAGTCGAGTGATATTAAGGTCAAACAATATTGAAAGAAGAACAGCTGTTTATTTGAAACTTTGTTTTCTAGTTTATAAGACTGGAGGGATACCACATATAAGATAAAACATTTATCTTATCTGTCATAATACTACAGTGTTTAACATTTTATATTAAAACTAAAGAATACGATAATCATATTGAAACAGTGATGCCATCAATACGATCCGACAGTTAATGTGATACGGTTAATTTGTCCACCACAGATATGTCAAAAACGTGGATAAATACGCTAATTGGTTATAATATTAGAGTCAGGCACGGCACTAGCAATTTTTTCTAGGGGGGGCAGAGCGGGGCAAATATTTTTATTCCATGGGCTAAAGTGTTTCAGAAAGTACTCGGACCATTTAAATAAAATATAAATAAATAGTATGTACAAAGTTTTAAATAGTTAAAATTTGTTGAAGAATACTGTCAAATATTTCTATCTAATATAAGAAAATGTATAATAACAGACAAGTTTCTTTAATTTCACATACCTTAGTGACTGAATGATTAAGCTTCTTTAACTTATATTTTATAAATATAAATTAAAATAATTGTATTTAGTATTGAACAGATGAATTGATTTAACTCAAATTTAACCTTTGTTTCTTTATTTTCATCCAATAATTAGTACTCAATAAATGTAATAATAAATGAATAAAATATTTTTTCTCACTTTACAAATGAAAATATTAGAAATATATTAAAATATATTTGATTGAAATTTTAGGAAATAATTTTTCTCATTAGGCAATACTATCAGGTTTTTCTATAAAAAACTAAAAATGTTATTCTATCTGAATGTTGTTCATTCATCATGAAAATGTTATTAATTTCATTACTTCAATGACTATGATTAATAATACGTTCAATTAATTTTTGAATTTATTGAGTAGTAGCAAATATATCAAATAAACTAAATTTTGATATTTCACACTATACCTAATAATGCACCATGTTGTAAATGGTTGAAAATCTTGTACCAATACCAGCAAAAATAATATTTTTAAAATAAAAACTGGTGATAACCTACCAAATATTTAATAAGTAGATTTCAAATTTCCAATCAAATAAATTTTTAAATAGTTGGTGTTAAGTGTACACATTTAAGTACTAACTTTGTAAGATGTTATAATAATTCATAGGTCATTAAAATATAAATACTCTATGAAATCCTTTTTATATTAATTAGACATTTAAACAAAATGTATAATTAAAAATGTATGAAGTAAATTTATCTTATACAATATTATTATTTAATTAAAAATTTTTAAAATAATAAGTAAATTGAACACTGTTTTTTTACATCAAACATTTATTCAAGTTAATAATATTCTAAATAATATTCTACTCTAATTTAGAGTAGACAGACCATACCGCCAAAATGATATTTCGAATTATTTTGTTACACAGGACGTTCATTATTTCATTTTACTTTGTCTCGAGATTTGAGTTATTGCATTTAATTTTTAAAATGTTCTATGAAAACATTAATCTGCCTATACTATTAACTACCCGTGGTCAATAGACCAAAAAACTTGGTTACCAAACTCAAAAATATAGAAAGGAATGGGAATATCTGCCTGGGTTCAAAAATTGTTAAAAAAAATTATTTTACAAAAATCGTAATTTTTTATTAACTTTGATGTCAACTTTCACCACGAAGACAATTCCAGAGGTCAGATTTTTTTTTTTCAAATTAAATTATATTACATTATCTTTAATTTAAGATATATATAAAAGTGTCAGACATTCCGGACATTTCAAAAGTTAAGTTGAAAAAGTAAATATTTTGTGAAAAAGTTGTCATTTTAAATCCCCCCCTGTGGGCAGATAAAGGGTCAAATTTACAAAAAAAAATATACCAAATGATAGGTAAAGACTAGTGATGGGCATAATCGAGATATCTCGATTATGAAAATAATCGAGATATTTCGATTATTGAAATCATATCTATTATATAATCGAGATATTCTGATTTTTTAAATAATATTGATTATTCTATAATCGAGTGATTATTTCTAATGATTTCTCGTTTATTATAAAAACAATGATTTCTTGATCTTGAAATGTATATAATCGAATAAAAGTTATTTCGAATGATGTCCATGAAACGATGAAACGAGAGAATACTATTTTTAAGTTTTTATTTAGCATAAATTATAGTCGAATTATTATTAAATTGTTGACTTCGAGTCTTCTTATTTTCAACTCGTTCAATCGCTACTCATGACAACACCTTATCTGTCACATTTTTGGGAAGTATGTGACGATTAGAACAAAGTTTTGTCCTGAACTGGCTAAACTACTGAGTTCTGATTCTCTCACTAGTTGTGAATTTATGAAAAATCAATTAGGTGTGGAATCAGGTGTTTTAATTATGATGGTCAAGCCGGCTATTGCTACCTTATCTTATGTTTTTATTTTTAAATTTGTTATCGGTTTTTTTAAAATATAGGTAATAATTATTAAATAATAAAAATAACAACTTGTCTTTTATTTAAAGCACTTATTAATAATGCATTATTAATATATTATTGTTATTATTATTCCTAAATTATAGTTTAATATAATAATTATAAATAAACACCAACAAATAAAAAAAGCAAAATTAAATTAATAATTATTTACTATAGGTATATTTATTCATATTTCGAATAATTTTTCGATTCTCTCGATAAATAATAATAGTTGATTATTCTTATCATACGAGCAGACGATTTTAACTTCGAGTGATTTTTCGAGAGATTCACTCGATTATGAAAATGTCTCGATTACTAATCATTCGATTATCGAAATCATTCGATTATGCCCATCACTAGTAAAGACATCAAGCATCTATAATCAATTATATTATATGTTCATTTTTGAAAAAGTTACAGCAGTTTTTAGTAAAAAAAAATTGAAAAAATTTCGAAAATTAGTGATTTTTAAATTTGTAATTTTTTTGCAGGTTTCCCCCATTTACGGGGAATTTTTTTCAATTTTTGAGGGTAATGTTTTCGACTAGATATGATTTGTAATCTTTTGACGTATCGTTGAAAGAAATCCGTTCGGTGAGAGCTGAGAAAAAGTGGTAACAGACAAAAAAAACACATCACAGTAAAACCAATACCTTCTCAGCTTCGCATTGAAGCAAAAAAGTAAAAAAACTTTAATAAGTTTAATTCCTTATGTCTTATGAACTTTATTCTATGTCAATTAAACTATATAATGTTCATGAAAGTCAGTATATTCCCCCTGTAAGATATTTTAAAATAAAATAAAATACAAAACCCAGAATTTTTAACACAAAAATAGCATATGTTTGAATACGGTAACCATTTTCACCAAGAAAAAAATGTATATTTCGAATTTTTTTTTTTCATAGTAAAGTATATAATATAAGCTTTAATTTAAGATTAAAAAAAAACTATGAATATTTCCGGAACATTTTCAAAAGTTAAGTTGAAAAAGTTTTTGTAAAAAGTTATTATTTTAAATCCCCCCCTGTGTGCTTGATAAGTGTTAGATTGTCAAAAAATGATATCAAATTGAAGGGAAATATCTAAGATTTTAATATAAAAAAAAATTATGTTGATTTTTGAAAAAAATATGGAAGTTTTATGATAAAAAAAAAGAAAATTTAAAGATTTTAAAAATTATAATTCTTTTGGAGTTTTCCTCCATTTGCGGGGAACGAGGGAAATTTTTCAATTTTTAAGGGCAATGTCTTCAACTAGATAGGATTTGTGATCTTTTGACGTATCATTGAAAGAAATCGGTTCAGTGAGAGCTGAGATAAAGTGGTGACATAAAAAAAAAAAACACATCATGGTAAAATTATACCTTCTCGGCTTCGCATCAAAGCTAAAATGAATAAATTTAAAATAACTAATTAATATGTGTTTTTTTATCTGAACACAATATATCTTTAATACTGTTGATCACTTAACTCGAGTTAGGGATAGAATTTATGAATCTTTTAGGTGAATTGAGTCATTTGTATCACTAAATCTATTTTGACTTTGAAACATTTTATTTAAATTAGCAAATTTGGGCAATACTCTTGCTAAAAAATTAACAAAATGAGTGTATCATTTAAATTATTGTAAATATTGTCGCCATCATGATACATTCTCATAATTTATAAAAATTTTTTAAATATTTGAACTATCTTATTTTTTTTTTTTAACGGTCAGCTAAATCTAAGGGATTTTAAACTGTTTCACAAACAAACAGACAAACCAAGAACTTGTATTTTGGTTAATGATAAAGTTAAAGCCAGCTTGATACTTAATCTATTAAGTGCAGACTTGACTATTATCTAAGTAACACTAAGTGATAGTAAGAATATTATAGTAGCTTCAGAGTACCTACCATATGAGGTCAAAGAATCAGGTAGGGACCTAACTATGATTTTTAATTATTGCAAAAATGAAAAATTAGAACTCATCCTAGGTATGGATGCTAATGCTCACCACACTATTTGGGGGAGCAGTAACATCAACCAAAGAGAAGAGGTAATAATGTATCTATTACCGACTACAGACCTCAGTATACTGAACAGAGGTAGCGAACCTACATTTGTAATCCGGAACAGGCAGGAAGTCATTGATCTGACAGTTTGTTCATAAGGGTTTCTTCAAAAAATAAAAGAGTGGGAAGTGTCCTCCGAACCTTCTCTTTCTGATCACAGGCACTTACGATTCACTTTGGAAATTAACAAAGTTGAGACGGAGTACTATAAGAACCCAAAAAGAACAAACTGGGACAACTACAGGGCAAATCTTTCTCGTGACCTGAATAACTTACAGTTTAGATTGGGGTCGAGACAGAGTACTGAAAGTGCTGTAAATATACTACAATACGCCATTGTCTCGGCTTACAAAGATAACTATCCTTTTATAGAAAGGAAAGGTATAGGACAGGGTGTAGCTTGGTGGAATGCTAACTTATCTAAATTAAGAAACAGTTCACGTAAACTCCTGCATTTATCGTGTATTTGCTAGATAACGACACCTGGTGGGTACACCCTTCACCAACCGCCGGTACTGGAATCCGAATTCCCTGATGCAGTAGCCTTTACACCGTTCAAATCCATTTTCATGCATAAATAATTTTGAGGGGGCTGCCCTCATAGCCAATCCCTCCGGCCAGTGAGCGGCTAACTTCACTGGTTGCTTTGCTATTGTTCTCCGTTCTCACCCAAACGCTACCGCTTATTCGTCCATATAGGCTTATTTCACGGCTATCTTGTATATCTACAGGATTAATAAGCGTCTGGGCGGCTCGCTGTCCGCGACCGCTTATTCATCAGTCCAAACGAACTTATATGGTTTTAAAATTTTAACAGTATTCACATCTGCTGAATGGAATAGGTTATGTAATTAAAAGATTTAGAAATTATTCGTAATATAAAATATCAAAACATATAATATAAGAGATGTACAACGACTACGGGACACTTTACTCGATAGACGGCGAAACAACTAATACAACTTAAGATTTTAACAGTAACTTTTATTGTACCACACGTGACGACGGCGGATACAGAAAATTCACGTAGGACGTCAAAAACAAGATAGAGCGTTCACCGCCGGCGTTCGGTGGTCGACCGTGCTTCAGTGGATAGACTTTGCACCCTAACTAGATAGCGGGGGTACTCTAATCAGGCTGGGCTCACGATGTAATAAGGCGGCTGATGGAAAAGACGAGGTGACCGTGTATTTAACGTATCGCAAAATATACGGTACCGTGTCATGTGTTTCCAGAAGATCACTTGTTAGTAGCGTCAACCAAGTTAATTCCTGGACTGCTTGATTCAGTACCATGTATTCAGCCTCAGTAGTTGAGAGTGCTACTGATTTTTGCCTTTGTGAACACCATGCTACTATTCCATTAGTCATCATGAAAATGTATCCTGATGTTGATCGCCTAGTTGTTGTATCACCAGCATAGTCTGCATCACTATAACCATGTAACTTAAGTTTCACCCTAGAATGAAAAAATAAACCATAGTTATAGGTTCCTTTTAAATATTTTAAAATACGTTTCACCGTATTCCAATGTATTATCAGAGGCTTTTCTAAAAAGCGACTGATAAGATTTACAGCAAATGTTATATCAGGCCTTGTGATCTGACTTAGATATAACAAACTTTCTACTGCTTCTCTGTATGGAACTTCCCCTGCTTGTAATGATTCAGATAAATTATCAACAACATCAATATCGAATCTCTCCTGCAAAAAAATTTATAAGAGTATCCACAAGTTCATTGCAGAACATTAACTGGTAGAAGTAGAGAATTAGTAGAAGTATTGAAGAGGAGAAAAGTTAATATTTGTTGTGTACAGGAAACTAAGTGGGAAGAAGAGAAATCAAGGGAAATAGGTGAGGGTTATAAAATAATATACTCGTGTAAGTCTAGTACAAAAATGGCGTAGGGATAATAATGGACGAGAAGATGAAAAATAGAGTAGTAGAAGTAGCTAGGAAAAGTGACAGAATTATGGTCCTAAATTTGATATTCGAAGTAAAAGTGATAGAATGAGGCTGGAGAAAGAATACTGGATTTCGCAGTATCGTTTCATCTTGCTGTGGTTAATACTTCTTTTAGAAAGAGGGAAGAACATTATATAACTTATAATAGTGGGAGTAATAGATCGTAGATCAATTATTTTGTGTAGAGAGAGGGCGTAAAGTAAAGAAAAGATTGTAAAATTATCTCAGGCGAGAGTGTAACAACACAACATAGACTTATGGTGATGGATTACCATATCCATTAGTTGTGGTAAGAGTATAAATAAAAACAGAAAGAACACAGGAGAAAAATTGAGGATCCGATGGTGGAAGTTGAAAAGGGAAAATGAAAAAAATTTTTTAAACGCGGTAAGAGAGAGAACGGTGTGGAATGTCGAGTGAGACATAAATGATGTGTGGAATAGATTTGCTTATTGTGTAAAGAATACTGCAAAGGTGATTGTTGGTAAGAGTAGTTATAGAATGTCAGGAAACAAGGAAACCTAGTGGTGGGACGAGGACGTTCAAAAAATCATAGAAAGTAAGAAAAAAAAATTCAAAGTATGGCAGAAGAGTAAAAAAAAAGAAGACTGGATGGAGTACAAACGCTTATGCAAAAAAGGCAAGTGTGCAGTAAGTAAGGCGAAGTTTAAGAGGTATGATGAGTTGTATGTTTGGTTAGGAACAAAGAAAGGCGAGAAAGAAATCTATAGACTTGCAAAGATAAGAGAGAAAAAGTCTAAATATTATCATTATATAAGGTGTATAAAAAGTGTTGATAATAAGGTACTCTCGAGTGATGATGATGATGATGATGATGAAAAAAAGGTGGAAAGAGCATTTTGAAAAATTATTGAATAAGGAGTATCAAAAAGAGACGTTAGAGGATATCTCGAAAAATGGGGGAGTGGTAGGTTTAATTAGTAAGAAAGAGGTATGGGAGGCTGTGGAATCAATGAAAAAGAATAAAGCAGTGGGACCAGATGAAGCGCAAGAGAAGTATGGAAAATATTAGGGGGTATTGGCATAAGGTGGTTGAAGGAACTTTTAAATAAAATCTTATTAGAAGAGAAAATTCCAAATGAATGGAGGAATAGTATTGTGGTGCCGATATTTAAAGGTAAAGGAGACATACAGGAATGTGGAAATTATAGAGGCATGAAGCTTATGAGTCATAGTATGAAAATATGGGAAAAGGTAATAGATAAGAGAATAAGAAATGAGACATCGGTAACTAAAAACCAGTTTGGATTTATGCCTGATAAGTCAACAATGGAGCCAGTATATTGTGTGAGGCAACTTATAGATTTAACTTTTAATTTTTAGGGGAAAAAAAAGCTGTGTATGGTATTTATAGATTTGGAGAAAGCGTATGGCAGAGTACCGAAAGAGGTTTTAAAGTGGGCATTAATGAGAAAAAGTCCCGAAAAGGTACATTAATATAATAGAAGATATGTATGATGGCACTTGTACCAGGGTAAAAAGCGTAGGAGGAATATCAGAAGGTTTTCGGGTAAGAGTAGGAGTGCACCAAGATTGTGATTTAAGCCCTTACTTATTCTCTATAGTGATGGATGAAATTACTAGAGGAATACAAGGAAAGGTGCCGTGGTGCTTGTTGTTTGCTTATCATATAGTGTTAATAGGAGAAAATAGGGAGGAAATTAACCAAAGGCTAGAGGTGTGAAGATCAGCTCTTGAAGAAAAGGGTTTAAGAATAAGTAGAAGTAAGACAGAGTATATAGAGTACGAGTTTGATAAAGAAGATCATGAGGTATGTGAAATGAGGAGGTCAGTGACAATAGGCGAGTACGTGATTGGAGAGGTGGAGAGTTTTAAGTATTTAGGGTCAGTTGTTCAGAAGAGTGGTGGTATTGACGAGGATGTAAGACACAGAATTAAGTGCGGGTGGTTGAAGTGGAGAGAAGCATCTGGCGTCTTATGTGATAAGAAAATTCCAATGAGGCTGAAAGGTAAATTTTACAAGAGTGTTGTCATAACACAGTAAAATGAAACGAATAAAAAGAGTAGGAGGATGGTGTGGATGTGGTGCCTGCTGTCTAGGTATTCACGTGCGTGTTGTCGTACAGCAGTCACCGTGCTCGGCTGACACTCCGGGTTAGCTGTGGGTGTCGAAAGGCTGTTGTTATAGGAAGGGAGAATAAGAGTAACACCTAGGTATGAGGTTCAGACGAAGTGCAAGACACAAATACTTTGGGTATAGGAGAGGATAATGAAGTACGAGGTGCAGACGAAGTGCAAGACACAAGTACTCTGAAATGTCGAGGAAAAGAGTATATAGGTTTGAAAAGGAATAAACAAGGACTTTACTTTAAACAGTAAGCCAGACAGCGACAACCGAGTACTGAGACTGATGAATGACACAAGGCACTGGAGTCGACTGACCACGATGGTCAAGTCTATTGGGTTTTTATAATAATTACAACTATTGCCGATTTGGCAATAAATATTATTTGTTAATTCATCAGTCTCAGGCAGCGGATGTGCTGTCTGTAATTTATTAAAATAATTCTCACGATTATTTAAACGTGACACCATCACAGTGTAATAAGGCCAGTTATGATGTATGGTTCAGAGTGTTAGGCGGTTGATAAGAAAGTAGAGCAGAGAATGAGTGTAGCAGAGATGAGAATGCTTAGATGGATGAGTGGAGTGACTAGGAAAGATAGAATAAGGAACGAGGATATAAGAGGGAGTATAGGTGTAGCGTCAATTGTGGATAAGATGAGAGAAAATAAACTTAGATGGCTTCGTCATGTTATGAGAAGAGAAGAATCGGAAGCTGTAAGAACAGTTATTGAAATGAATGTTGAAGGAAGAAGAGGTATAGGAAAACCAAAAAAGAGATGGAGGGATGCTATTGAATGCGATATGAAGACAGCTGATGTGAGCGTAGCTGATGTGAAAAATCGTGTCAAGTGGAAGTTTGGGATTAAGGGTGGCCGACCCCAAGTAGTTGGGATTAAGGCGAGGAAGAAGAAGATTTATAAATTGTATGATATTTATTATGTCGGCTTAATTAATTTTTGGTACAAATTATTAAAGCACCACTTACAACATTATTGTTCGCACCGCATGCAAATCGTAGATAGCGCTTATTGTTTCCGTCTACTCATCTATCCTTTCTCTCCTGGTTGCTTGGTTGCATCGGTCGGTTATCAATGCCGACCGATAACTGTGTGATATGTATTTTTGTTTAGTAATAAGATTTAGTATCATGTTTCTCCTTGTTTACCAGACAGTTGGTTTTTTTTTTGTTGTAAGTCACACGGATGACGTTTTCTATTATTTTATTTAAAATTTTTATTTAAATAAACGGATTATGTTTGATACTTTCAATTGCGAATCATTAGATTAAAATATGTACCTATGAACATTGGCATATAATAATTGTACACAAAATTCTGATTGGTGAGTTTGGCAGTTACTGTTACATTTATGTAAATTATTAGCACATTATATTCATTATTGTTATTTTTATTATTGTTATACCACACGGATGTTTTGATTATAAAATTTGTCATTTTGTACTGAATTGTTTATTGTTATTTGTATAAACTTAATTCTATGTAAGCCAACAATCACAGTCTTTTTCCTATATAAATTTAAATACAAAGATCCTTTCTTATTAATCATCAGGTAAGCGAGATATTATTTCTCACCTTGGTATTACCAATTATAGTTATTCTTCTTCGTTCTATTTTTAGAGGAAATTGTTGTTAAGTCTGATATAATTTTTAAATTTTCTTATTACATTTTATTTAGATCTAAATATATATTGTAATTTATATTAACTTAATGGTTTGTGTACTGTAATAACTTTTAATTAAAAATTCAAAAATATATAAAACTGTTAAATAAAAATTTTGTGAAATTTTACTAAAAATATTTTTAAATGTTGTTTAATTAATTTAAAAGAATGATTGATTTATCATTGACTACAAAATTTCTCATTAAGTAATAATCTTAGAAATATTTTTTTTGGCTTTGTTCTTTACTATTTATCTCTCAATTTATAAATGGTTAAATACTGCAAGCGGGCTTTTTATTAATAATTCGGCCTGTAATAACAACGTGGTTTGCCACTTGCATAACGACTAGCTATNGGCCTGTAACAACAACGTGGTTTGCCACTTGCATAACGACTAGCTAGAGTAGCAAGGGTCGCCACCACCTAGGCGAGGTGTCACACCTATCAGATATGATTACCGGACCATAGGTGGAATTTAATTTTAAGTTAATTAAAAGTATAATCTAAGTTAATATGTCGTTATATGTATAAATTACTATAATGCCTCGTGGTTTATAGAACACAATTATGACAATCAAAGTTGTATGTGGTTGATATGTAAAACATACCGTAGCCCGTGTCTAGATTAAGGAATAGGAATGAAATACACGCGAGTAATTAAGTTACTCGCGCAATAAAATAAATATTACAGTTGAAATTAATAAGGAAATTTAATTTAATTGTTAAAAAAAGAAAATTAAGTTAAACATGGACAAAAATGCGAATGCATCAAAAACCATGTCTACAAATAAAGGCAATACAAATAAAATAAAATATTTAAACAAAACAAACAAATAATATTACAAACATCACGGACGGTATATGAACACATCCGTTAATGTTAATCGGAAGTTAATAAAGAACACTAGGAGCGGTCTGGACACTCGCTCCTTAGCGTTGGCTAGAAGAAAAGGGAAACACGTGCTCTCCACACATAAACAAATTTAAATTAATTTACAATAAAATAAAATGAAATAAAATAATTAATAAAATATATAGCTCATTACATAAATATAATATAAAAATGAAAACGATACCCGGTCTCCGAAGAGACCCATCCGATGGTCTGGATGCTTCGCCGAAAAGACCTGGCCGTTCGCCGTTGGCGGCTCACTCCATCATTGAAAAAAAGTGTCAATAAAACAACAAATGTGTGCACCCTAGCACGGTCAATGGCAGAAGAAAGAATAGAGAAGAGTCAACACCGATCTAACGGCAATTTCAAAACGATAACGGCCAGTCTTTTTGGAAGGGATCAATATTGATAAACAATTCGATTTTAATTCTATTCTCTTTTATCGCCTTATCTAGCGGTCAGCGGCAAAATAATGAGTGGTTGACACCGCTGTGTCAGAAAAATGTTCTTTCACGCGATAAAATAAATAATTAGACATAACAAAAATCATAAACGGTCCACCTTCGAATTTGTGACGTTACAATACTTTTTAGGTTCGTCCTTTTCCCTTATAAGTAAAACTTTTTTATAGAGGGTCCGAAAAAAAACAGATTATCGAGCGTCACGGTCGGCTGTAAAGTTTTGCCGTCACGGTCGGCATAATAATCGGCCAAGGTCGGCAACGGTCGCGTCAAGGTCAGCTGTATAGTATATTTAATATTATAATTTAGAACTATATTTTTGAAAATTAAAGTTGTATTATTTAAAATGTATTAAATAATTTAATTTCAAAAAATTATTTGTATTTTGCATAAAAATATTATTATTTGCCTTGCTCTGTAATTCCGTATTCCGTAATAGGCTCTGTAACTCCGAAGACAATAAATATGGACAATGATGACAAGTTCTGGTTACCGAAAAATAAATTCAAAACCGTAGATTCAATAAACAACAGTACTGACGCAGCTTCTGGTACAAAAGAACCGAGTCAAAGTAACCAAATAGTCATTCAAGGTGATGTTCATCTTCCTGTATCTTATACTGAACGTGCACGACAATATTAAATACGGAAACGTGAAAAAAAAATACTCCAAAATCACACAAATACTATATTAACGTTATCACCTGGTTCTATATCGAATGCTGAACGTGCACGACAATATCGTATACGGAACAGACATTTTAAGGCTTTGTGTAATCAACTTGATGACGTTGACAACGATTTGGTTGTTTATGATGAAATTGTGGATGTAGAGAATTTGGATGAGGATCAAATACTTGCAAACAATGATAACAGTTGCAGTAAAAATTAATTATTGTCTGATAATGATGAAAGTGTCTATGATGATAATTTGATTATGTCATACAGTAATTTTCGTAAATTTCAACGAACCCATAGAGAATTGGAAATAAAATTCACCAATAATCCATATGGTCATGCTTGTACTGTGTGTGATAGATTGTGGTACTTCAACGATTTAAGACTTGCCTCTCCATTGCATGAAATTATCTTGAATACTATCATACCAAATATTCTAAGGAAAAATATTTATTTGTGCAACACGTGTCGAGTCTAATTAAATAAAAATAAGATTCCCACAATAGCGACATACAATGGTTTTAAATATTCAACCATGACTGACAATTTACCATTATTAAACTTGGTTTCAGAAAGACTAATTTCTCCACGCCTTCCATTTATGCATATTAGGAGGTTGAGACATGTAAATGGCCAATATAGCATATATGGGCAAATTATCAACATATTAGTCTCTATTGATACCATAATAAAAAGCCTTCCTCGAAATTTAAATGATGACCATTGTATCAACGTTCATATAAAACGAAAAATGACACACAAATCAAGCTATTTGATTGGCATTGTTGAGAAACGTAAAATAAAAACTTGGCTCCAGTTTTTAATTCAATCTACGTTGTATCAAGTGTATGACATAACAATTGACCAATCATTTTTTGTTACAGATGAAATAATTTCTGAATATTCTTAAGATGATCTGAGTGAAAATATCCATATAGAGGAAAGCCTGACTGCGCAACAACAAACGCTCTCGTGGAATGATGAACTATATTTACGTATTGCACCAGGAGAAAAATCATTGCCTCAGAGTTTAATGGTCGACGAACATGCTGAAGAGCTTTCTTTTCCGGCTATTTATCTGGGCCAATTTCGCAATTTTCGTGACGGTGTTGAAGCGACACCATTTACGATAGCCTCCAGTGAATTAAGAAGATCCGATCGACGTGGTGTCACGCCTCAGCATTTGTTATACATGACAATGAAAATTATGCGACTGCGTGTTCGTGATTCACTCACAATTGCATTTGGACACATTGGTAAACATTGTTACAAACAATGAGAACAATAGAAACCCGTTTCCTGACTTACTGAACACTCTGTATGTTAAGAAATTCTAAATTGTTAAGCGCATAATTAATAACCTCTATATACATTAAATTTCATAAAATAAAATTACGAGTTTTACAAAAAATGTATAACACGAATAATAGGTCTTTGCGCCATTAAACAGCGTTTTACAAATTTCAGATTGACTATAAATATATTTATGATACATTCGTAAGTATTTAGTGAGTGTACGCACTAATTTAATAGGTTTACTCGCACTATAGTGAATATAAACTTTAATTAAATTTTATGTGAGTAATTCGACACCCAATTTTTTCTTTTCAACTTTTCAATCTAAAGTAAAATCTGCTTTATATTCCTAGAGAAAAAATGCATTTGCCCCATCTGACACTCGTTCAATAGCGAATTTTTTTAATTCAGAGATAAACATTTTTAATTTTCATTTTTTGCATATACGAGGTTTTACGCCTATTTTAATTTAAGGTTTATCATAAATAATGATGCTTTGGAAATTAAATTTTATTTAGTTATTTATATTTAAACCACATATTTATTGTTGTAATTTTGAAAACCTTTGATAATATGACATAATAATCATAGATAAACGATACGATTGTCAAGAACATATGTTATCTCACAATATGTGGTAACTTGTGTTCTCAACAATTTTAGTAAGCAATTTGTTTTTCACATAAATTGTTTAAAATAAAAAAATCAATAATATGTTATATGACTGTAAACCATAGTTTGAAAGTAGAACAGTATTATTTATGTTTTAAATATTTCAACCTAGTTTATTTGTGTTTAAATACATGAAATAAACATGGGTTGGAATTTCTACAAACTATTTTGTTGCTGCAATACTTCTGAAGAATCTACAAGACTTGACATAGTAATATTGTATTTTTAATTTTTAATGTAATTTAATAAATATTAATTTCATACAAAATAATAAGTAGGCAGTAGTTCGAGAACAACAAGCAGCAGCAGCTGAAAAACGTTTAAAAGAACAAGAAAGCCGGGGTGTTAAAAATCCAGAACGAATAAAACGTATTCAACGTGAACAACAAAAACGTAATGAAGAAGTTGCTAGACAATTGACAAATTCTGGAACAGGCTTAAAGGTTTAAAAACTTTATTATCTTGAAAAATATTTTTTTATATCGGGGATAAAAACTGACATGATTTTGGTTTTTAAAATTTTATAACTATATCTAAAAATTTTGTTGACCTATATCAAATTTTTTTCAAGAGTTTATAAGAGTAATAATTTTAAAAACTGAAAATATTATAAGTATTATATAAAATATTTTTTAACCTTAACCAAACTTAAAATTTTACCTTATAAAGTTTAAAACCACAATTAACTAATATTTTTTTTTTAAACTTTTTTAAATTCAATTAAGGTTTCAAATGTGGTTTTGTAATATTTTAGGTCTCTGCAATTATTTTTCAATGTGTACTATAAACATTCTATATAGATTAATATATTAAATTTAAGCAAAATTGTGAAAAATTGAAATTTTTTTTCGATTTCTAGGCCTGTCTCTTATAGAATATTTGCTAATAACTAGAGCCGTGTAAATTTCTAGCTGAATTCAGTATTATTCCCTAGTACTTTTTAAAAGGATTGGCAAAATCATTTTTTGATGATAAATAAAAATTTTCTCATAGCCAAAATCTAAAATGTCTATGCGTTATTATTTATTTACAATTTTTATTAATTCCATACAATGGCATGTAACAATGGTAAGACCTTCAACATTCAGTGTTCAAGGTCATATTTACAAAATATGGCGTTATATAAGAAAATCTTGAATAAATGAATACAGCTTAATTTCTTACTGAAAATGTTGCCCTCAAAAGGACTTTGAGCAAATAATATAAAAAATAAATGTTATCAAAAATTATACTTAAGACACCTAGACTGAAATGATCAAAGTGACAAAAAATTGATTCGGAGATAATTAAATTTAAAAATAGAAAAATACTATTATTTAATTGATGATATTAGTATTTAGATTAAAAATAATAGACCATGATATTTAATCCAGTCAATAAAGTAATTATTTTACTTTTTAATTTTGTCTCATTTTATTAAAATTTCAACTATAACAGCTTTGGGTGTCTCATTTATTATAAAATAAAATAAAAATATCTGCCCTTTTCCCAAAAAATTAAAAAAACACTCCTGATAAGGTTTGGTTCAAATGCTTTCATACAATGTCTAGTTATTATATTAAGTAATAACTACTTGACCATGGTTAATTATTCAGATATATCTAGAAAGATAAATTTGTCAAATTTATGTCTGTTATTAATATCTTGAGATTAATTATAATAATTAATTAATACACAAAAATATATTTTAGCGAAATGGTAATCTTAAATCAAAAAGACTTTTCTATTTTACGTTTTTCAGTGTAAATTAACTAAGTATTCAGTCCCTAAAATTGTTCAAAAATGAAATTAATGAATGTTTATAGTCAATTTCTACCAACTAAAATAAAAGTTGTAAAAGGCTATCTATCATGTGATTGTCTTTTTATCAGCAACTGATTTTTAATTATTTATAATTTTAATCAATTTCTAGACACATTTATTTGGTAACAGAATAAATTTGGCTATATCTTTCTAGTTATACATAAATAATTAACTTGGGTCAAATAGTTAATATGTGATATATCAATTTGTAATTTAAACTATTGAATCTCTCTGTATAATTACTATATATATATTTTTTTTTTGTTTTAGTGGCAGGTCAGCTAATATGAGTATGTTTTTTCTTATATGATTGTTATTATGTTACTATTTGTACTAATTTTGAAATAAATAATTATTATTTTTTATCAATAATGAAATTTACTTTTTTTATTAAGTTTAACAATTGATTTAATTTTAAAACTTAAATTTTTTTGCTTCTGCTACTGATAAATTTTGTATCTATATTTTGGTTGGGTAAATAACGTGTATATACATTCAATATACATGTATATAAGGTAAGGTAATTTTTAAAATTTATGTCGTAAAAATTAGAGTCTATAATAGTTTGAATGCTTATATAATAAGGTACACAAAGTTTCAAGTGAAGGAATAGATTAAAATTTAAAGCTAGAATTTAAGTCTAAAATTTAAAATCTGAATAATTTTAGGAAATCACACATTTTTAATTTTTTTTGAGTATATCACAATAATTTGAATTCACAAACTATGTAAATAGAAAACCCAGCACAGTAGGGTCGCGGAACAGTGGTAACGTGGCATAGTTGGATCAAGTATAATGATATCTGACAGTGATTAAAATCACTATAAAGAAAAACGCTTCGATGCAAATCTTTAGATAGTGTTTAATTAAAAAAAAAAAATTATCAAAAAAGTAGGTCAAGTGAGAGCTGAGAAAATAAATGATAGCTACAAAATACCACATAGTAAAATAATATTAATATGAATTTATTCTCGCGAGAGACGACTACAGTAATGGGATCCTTAATATTTATTGAAGTTATTGAATCTAAATGAGATAAAAATCAAATAAGTTAAACATTTTTTTCTAACTCAAAAAGAATTAAGAAAAAATGTAGTGCCACAGGTGTGAAAGACCCAAGTGTTACTGTCTCAGAAACCATACGTCGTATTCGTCACTAAATAAAAATAGAAATTTAGCTAGTTCAAATTTTAAAATAATTTTTTTCGACTTCAAAGAAACAAAACCCAGCACATATATAGTTGGATCAAGTATAATAATATCTGACAATGATTAAAATCACTATCAAAAATAAACGCTTCGATGCAAATCTTTAAATTGTGTTTACTTTAAAAAAAATTGGTGTATTATTCCAAAAGCTACAAGATCTGCTAGTTCATTATTAATATCCTAATTAAGATAAAGTATGTCGAATGAAAAAGGGATTATTAAAAAATATTATTTCTCATAAAAAAATAATGTTGATCCATACACTTTTCAATATGTCATAGCATTATAAAGTTAAAAATGTAAAAAATAAAATCGAGAATTTTCACACAATAATAGCATTTGGTAGCCATTTTCACCGTGAAGACAAAATAAAGTCCGAAATTTTTTTTTTTACATAATAAAGTAAATTACATTAGCTTTAATTTAATATATATAGAAAAGTGTCAGACTTTTCGGAACACTTTCAAAATTTAAGTTGAAAAAGTCAATTTTTTGTGAAAAATTTGTCATTTTGAATCCCCTCCTGTAGGCAGGTAAAAAGTCAGATTTATAAAAAAAATATACCAAATGATAGGTAAAGACATCATGCATCTACAAAAAAAAAGAATTATATTGATCCATACATTTTTCAAAAAGTTATAGCATTATAAAGTTGAATATATAAATGAATTTTTTTTACAAAAATCGTATTAAGTTTTGTTTTTTTATTAAGTTTGATACAGACTTTGAAGTCTGTAGAGACTTCTAGTAATTCTTTTTATTAAGTTAATAAAATATATTCTTTTTGTTAAATTAATAGATTTAGATGTTATCAGGCAATGCATTACATAAACAACAATTAATGTATTTTTATGTTATGCTTAAGTGTTTTCAGGACCTTGCTAATGGAAGCGAGACAGTAAGGTCAAATGCCCTAGGTGCAAAAAAAAAAAAATATGAATTAATTATTTTGCATAAGATGTTTTATTTTTTAATATATTGGGTGCCAATTATATGATTGCCCTAGGGCGTCAATGATTACATTTATAAATAAGTAATTTCAGAGCAAAAAAATGTTTTTCTTAATGACTAACAATTTACGCCAATATGTATGTGTAATAACAGGTTACGCAATACAAATATAAAATTTTAAAAAATAGACCAATAATGTTAAAAAATAATAAAATAATTAAGTATTCATTTTTAATTTGTTTTGAATGGTGTTCCTGGCATTTGAGTCATATTTGAGTTAATTTCTGAAAAATCTAATACAAGTTTTTGTGTAGATGGAATATGCTGTCTATATTTTACACCAGAAGCATTAAACATTTTTTTGGCTGCTATCATTTCCAACTTGTAGCTATATTTATCTGACAAATATACAACTTCTTTGATGCCCGATTGTATAATTATTTTTGCACATTCATTACAAGGAAATAATGCAACATATATGGTACAATCACGTACATCGGCTGAATTTTTGTTTAAAACGGCGTTCATCTCTGCATGACACACTATTAGAAAAGAATTAAAAGACAATGTATAAGTTCAAAATTGAAAACCACCACTATTATATCTATCTTTTAATTACCATAAAAATATTTATTGTCTATTTTAGAGCTACTACTTTTACCCCATGGAAAATCATCGTCATTGCATCCTATTGGCATTCCATTATAACCAGTTCCAACAATTTTTTTTTCAGGCGTAACAATGCATGCCCCAACTTGAGTCACAGGATCTTTACTGCGTTTGGCTGCTAGAAAAGCAGTAGCCATAAAAAAATCATCCCAACTTAAATAATCTTTTCGTTTTCTATTCATTAATAAAAGAATATATTAGAACATAATCTGAATAAATGTTTAAAGAAAAATATAATGAACAAAAATTTGAAACAATGCATTTAGAATTATAAAAAATGGATTTTTAGTGATTTTCTTAAACCTGTTAAATTTAAATGAATTACTTGATGAAAAAAATATTTAAGATAAAATAAAAACTTACCAAATTGTTCATACGTAAGTTTATTTATGAATATTACAGAATTTTATTTTATATTTTGTAGTTATTTAGAGTGGCCAAACACGTTCTGATAAATTCTATATCTTTTAATATAGTAACTATATTGTAGCATTTATTTAATTTTTATTCAATTTTTACATTTAGGTCTAAGTAATAAAAATTATAATATTTTTAAAGAAAACGGTAGCACAATAGAGTCGCAGCACAGTGTTGATGTCGCATTGTTGGCACAAATATAGATGACATTTGACTGTGATCATTATCATAAGAAATATTTCGATGCATATCTGTAGATGACAATACCATCAACTAGATTAAAATCAGGCTATTTTAATATATTAGTTATTGAAATCAGTCCATAAGAACTGAGAATTTTCATGGACAGATATAAAAAACATCGTAATTAAATCTCTTTGGAGAGAAACCCACATAGATAATAAAGATATAAAAAAACATCATGGTAAAACCAATATTTTCTCAAATTTGCATCGAAACTAAAATTTAGTGAAAATGAAATTTTGTTCAATGAAAAAGTCACATAATAAATATGTCATATTTAATTATTTAAAATACAAAAGAAATATGATTTTAACAGCCTTTTTCTTTGTCATTACAATTTGACACAACATAGATTCTTATATTACCGTTAAATACAAAACATTGCAACTCAAACAGCCTGATCCTCAAAATAAAAAAAAGTATTCTCTAATTATTTTGTTTATAATGTTTAAACTTAAGTTACTAACATTATATCCTAAAATTGTTTATGTTTATTTTTGAAACTTACAAATGTATGTTTAAAGTAAAAATTCTATCTTTAAAATTGTATCTATGGTTCAAACAATGGGTCGGTCAAAAATTTGTCACATTCCAGTAAAATCTGAAGTGACGTCTCTGTCCATCAACGTACGACATAATAAATGATGGCTGATCGAATATATGTTGGTTTCTGTTAACAGTAATAAACACATAAGTGTTTTTCTGCTGACGATTTGTTCACCAATTATACTGGACTAGCGTATGGTGATGGCAATAACACTTATGCGAAGAAACCGAATTAATATAATTCAGTAGGTGTGCACAATGTACCTATGGGTCTGAGTGCATGTGTCGTTATTGCCCACCTTTAATAACTAAAACTAAACTAAGCGTATGACGATGTAAAGTTATAAGTACCATAATCTTTACAAGATAGATTGTTTCCGTTGCTACAAGCATTAGAGCAAGCCACTTCGAGTATACTTAACTTTCCTAGGAGTTCGTTAACAAAAGCAATGAGCTCAACAAACATCAGAACAGCTATGTTAATATTTTGCTACATAATTATCTAAATCTAATAACAAAATTTACTTTGTAAGTGTCTATTGATATCCTACTTCTGATTTTTTAGAGATATAAATAAATAAAAGCAATACAAAACGTTAAATAACATATAATCTGTACTAACGTTGTGTTAAAGTACAAAATTATTTTTAAAAAAATATTATAATATATATTACTATTGAAGCCTTAGAGTATAAAAGTAAAAAATAATAATATTAATATTGCAAATTGTTACTATATAAAAAATTATATGATTTGTTGGAACATGCGGGACCACTGTGTATAGTTCAAAAATATAAAATAATATATCATTTTTTTTTCAATTTTTATAGAATTTTACTTCTTATAAATTAAAGGTCTATCAAAAAAAAATTGTTTGCTTCCATAGTAAAAACTATAGTTCTATACTTGATGCATAGGGTTAGCTTTAGCTACTGATGNCATATAATCTGTACTAACGTTGTGTTAAAGTACAAAATTATTTTTAAAAAAATATTATAATATATATTACTATTGAAGCCTTAGAGTATAAAAGTAAAAAATAATAATATTAATATTGCAAATTGTTACTATATAAAAAATTATATGATTTGTTGGAACATGCGGGACCACTGTGTATAGTTCAAAAATATAAAATAATATATCATTTTTTTTTCAATTTTTATAGAATTTTACTTCTTATAAATTAAAGGTCTATCAAAAAATTAAGTATTCTTATATGATTAACACAAAAAACATTGTGAAGCGTGAGATATGCTGTTTATTTTTATCTCTACCCAATTATAAACTGCACTACTTCTCCTGCCCTGATATAAAAATGCTAATTTCTTTTAAATAATATCTAAAATTAAATATTATATAACTTACTCATTAATTGTCTCATGAGGTTGCTCATTTTCATTAATTACTTTATGAGAATCATCTTCATTATTGCGATAACTGATACTTATAGAATTATTTGCTAATAAAGTATCACCATTAGATTCAACTAAATCCTTCAAATCTACAACATAGTAATAATATAATTACTAGAAAAAATATAATTTTAATAATAATTCAAGGTGAATATAGAAATCTGAAATAAAAAAAAAAAAAGCCAGGTCAGTGGATTCGCGGCACAGCGGGGACGTGGCATAGTTGGGACAAGTATACATGATTTCTGACAGTGATTAAAATTACTCTCATAAAAATCGCTTCGATGCAAATCGGTAGATAGTGTGTGTTTAATACTATGAAATTGGTGCATAATTACAAAAGCAACATCAACTCCTATTTTCTTAATTATATCCTAATTGCAAGATTTATAATTTAGTATTGTAATTATTACGGAGAAATTATAATTTATTTGTATATTTTGTTAAATTTATGACAAACGTGTATCAAAATTGTAAATATGAATTTATATAAAAAAAAATATTTTATGTTGGAATATTTAAATGATTTGCTGTTCATTAAAACTAACACTTTGATGATAAATAATTTTATCTAATTAATAGCTGCCACACAAAATACAATAGAAATCAAAATTTTTGACTATGCTCATTAGTTATACAGCCAATTACCACTCGACGACAACATGTATTGCATGACACCCATTTAATATAACTGTGATTTTCTATATAATTAAATATAATATAAACGTATGTTTGTCATATTAACTAAATTTTCTAGCAATAAACTTTTTAATTCGTCACTATATGTATTCGGGTTGAACTTTTTGTCGAAATGTGACTTATTCATTATAATGATAGCATAGTATATAACATAAACCCATTACGATTCGCAGTTACAGTACAATTGATTTGCATTAATTCACCAATAGCGCCATTAACAATAACGTCTTCTATACAGATATTTTTAACAACCTAAATTTTAAATTTTTAAATCACATAGTTTTTTGCCTTGGAAGTTTCTTTACAGCAGTTATATAAACTTTTTTCTCTGTCGTATCTATTAGATACAAAACTTGTAGTATTTAAACTATTTAATACTCTCGTATTCATATCATCCACCTCTTTATTTATTGCCTATACAAATTTGATGCATAACTTTAGTTTGAAAACTAATATCCAACGTGTTTTACAGACACCGTAGTGTACGTGTACGCATAGATAAAAAGGACTATTTAAACTAAATAAAAATTCAGTCGCTTTTCTTAACTTTGAGATGGAAAAAAAAGTTTAAATTTATATTTAATGTAAGTTAGATTCATGTAACTTTTATAAAAACTGGTGGACTTATTACTATGGCTAACCCTTGTAAGGTATTTTTGAACAAACAAAAAAAAAAATTTGAACACAAAAATATCATGTTTTTTAATAATGGCTGACCCATTTGTATATAAAAGATAGGAGGACAGCACAATTTTTTTGTTTTTAATTTATAGTATGTAACATAAGGATTAATTTAACATATATTTAAAAGACGCAGTATTTCTGGAACATTTTAAAAATTTAAGTTGAAAAAGTTGACTTTTGTACAAAAGTTGTTATTTTGAATCCTCCCTTGTGGGTAATTAAAGGGTCGAAATGTCGAAAAAATGATATCAAATAAAAGCGAAATACCTAAGGTATCTATTTAACAAAAAATTATTTTAATTTGTTAATTTTTGAAAAGTTATGGTAGTTTTAAGAAAAAAAAACGGTAGCACAATGGATTCGCGGCACAGTATGGACGTGGTATAGTTAAGTCATGTATCATGTAAGTATACATGATATATTTAAGTGATTAAAAACACTATCATAAAAATCACTTCGATGCAAATCTGTAGATAGTGTGTGTTTAATACTATGAAATTGGTGCATAATTACATAAATAATTTAGCATAAATAATGCTAATCCATACACTTTTCAATATGTCATAGCATTATAAAGTTAAAAATGTAAAAAATAAAATCGAGAATTTTCACACAATAATAGCATTTGGTAGCCATTTTCACCGTGAAGACAAAATAAAGTCCGAAATTTTTTTTTTTACATAATAAAGTAAATTACATTAGCTTTAATTTAATATATATAGAAAAGTGTCAGACTTTCCGGAACACTTTCAAAATTTAAGTTGAAAAAGTCAATTTTTTGTGAAAAATTTGTCATTTTGAATCCCCTCCTGTAGGCAGGTAAAAAGTCAGATTTATAAAAAAAATATACCAAATGATAGGTAAAGACATCATGCATCTACAAAAAAAAGAATTATATTGATCCATACATCTTTCAAAAAGTTATAGCATTATAAAGTTGAATATATAAATAAATTTTTTTTACAAAAATCGTATTTTTTTTATTAAGTTTAATGTCTGTTTTCACCATGAAGATAAAATAAAGTCCGAAATTTTTTTTTACCATTATAAAGTATATTACATTAGCTTTAATTTAAGATATATATAAAAGTGTCAGACTTTCCGGAACACTTTCAAAATTTAAGTTGAAAAAGTCAATTTTTTGTGAAAAAGTTGTCATTTTGAATCCCCCCCTGTAGGCAGGTAAAAAGTCAGATTTATAAAAAAAATATACCAAATGATAGGTAAAGACATCATGCATCTACAAAAAAAAGAATTATATTGATCCATACATTTTTCAAAAAGTTATAGCATTATAAAGTTGAATATATAAATAAGAATTTTTTTACAAAAATCGTATTTTTTTTATTAAGTTTAATGTCTGTTTTCACCATGAAGATAAAATAAAGTCCGAAATTTTTTTTTACCATTATAAAGTATATTACATTAGCTTTAATTTAAGATATATATAAAAGTGTCAGACCTTCCGGAACACTTTCAAAAGTTTAGTTGAAAAAGTTCTACTTTCCATATGCATTTTTTATATTTAAACCCCCCTCGTATATAGGAAAATGGTCCGATTTAAAAAAACAGTATGTCGAATGAAAGATGTATATAAATACTACTTCTAATAAAAAAATTATATTGATCCAAACATTTTTTAAAAAGTTATAGCACTTTAAAGTAAAAAAACCCAGCACAGGGGGGTCGCGGCACAGTGGTGACGTGGTATAGTTGGATCAAGTATAATGATATCTGACAGTGATTAAAATCACTATAAAAAAAAAACGCTTCGATGCAAATCTTTAGATAGTGTTTAATTTTAAAAAATTGGTGGATTATTCCAAAAGCTTCATAAACTGCTAGTTCCTTATTAATATCCTGATTAAGATAAAGTATGTCGAATGAAAAAGGGATTATTAAAAAATAGTATTTCCCATAAAAAAATTATATTGATCAATACACTTTTCAATAAGTTATAGCATTATAAAGTTAAAAATGTAAAAAATAAAATTGAGAATTTTCACACAATAATAGCATTTGGTAGCCATTTTCACCGTGAAGATAAAATAAAGTCCGAAATTTTTTTTTTCCATGATAAAGTATATTACATTAGCTTTAATTTAAGATATATATAAAAGTGTCAGACTTTCCGGAACACTTTCAAAATTTAAGTTGAAAAAGTCAATTTTTTGTGAAAAAGTTGTCATTTTGAATCCCCCCCTGTAGGCAGGTAAAAAGTCAGATTTATAAAAAAAATATACCAAATGATAGGTAAAGACATCATGCATCTACAAAAAAAAGAATTATATTGATCCATACATCTTTCGAGAAGTTATAGCATTATAAAGTTAAAAATATAAAAAAGAATTTTTTTACAAAAATCGTATTTTTTTTATTAAGTTTAATGTCTGTTTTCACCATGAAGATAAAATAAAGTCCGAAATTTTTTTTTACCATTATAAAGTATATTACATTAGCTTTAATTTAAGATATATATAAAAGTGTCAGACCTTCCGGAACACTTTCAAAAGTTACGTTGAAAAAGTTCTACTTTCTATATGCATTTTTATGTTTTGAATCCCCCCTGTATTTAGGGAAATGGTCCGATTTAAAAAAACAGTATGTCGAATGAAAGATCTATATAAATACTACTTCTCATAAAAAAATTGTAATGATTCATACATTTTTCAAAAAGTTATAGCATAATAAAGTTAAAAATGGAAAATACAAAATCGAAAATTTTCACACAAAAATAGCATTCGGTAGCCATTTTCACCATGAAGATAAGATAAAGTCCGAAATTTTTTTTTTTCATGATAAAGCATATTACATTAGCTTTAATTTAAGATATATATAAAAGTGTCAGACCTTCCGGAACATTTTCAAAATTTAAGTTAAAAAAATTAATTTTTTGTGAAAAAGTTGTCATTTTAAATCCCCCCTTGTGGGCAGGTTAAGGGTTAAATTTATGAAAAAAATATACCAAATAAAAGGTAATGATATTATGCATCTATATAAAAAAGAATTATATTGATATATTTATTTTTGAAAAAGTTATGGCACTTTTAAGTAAAAAAAATGTAAAAAATTTCAAAAATTAGCGATTTTTAAATTTGTAATTTTTTTGGAGGTTTCCCCCATTTACGAGGAACGAGGGCATTTTTTTCAATTTTTGAGGGTAATGTCTTCGACTAGATACAATTTGTGATCTTTTGACGTATCATTGAAAGAAATTGGTTCGGTGAGAGCTGAGAAAAAGTGGTAACAGACACAAAAAAAAAAAAATAAATAAACACATCTTAGTAAAACCAATATCTTCTCAGCTTCGCATCGAAGCTAAAAAGTATGTCAAATGAAAGAGGTATATAAATAGTATTTATCATAAAAAATTGTATTGATTACTATATTTTTTAAAAAGTTATATCATTATAAATTTAAAAATACAAAAAAGAATTTTTTTACAAAAATCTTATTTTTTTATTAACTTTTATGTTAATTTTCACTATGAAGACAAACTAAAGTCTGAAATTTTTCTTTTCCATAATAGAGTATATATAAAAAAAAAACACATCACGGTAAAATTAATACCTTCTCAGCTTCACATCGAAGCTAAAAAAGAATAACCATCTAAACATTTATTATGTTATATCGAGTTTTTGACCAATAAAGCAAAAAATTATACAATGTCCGTTGAAAGTTGCTAATTTTGAATTTTTTTTTAATAATGTATGATTATCATATAAATAAACATATATTATCATTCTAAATTATATACAATTAAAGTTCAATTAATAAACATTACATGATTACAAAATAAAAACATTTTGAAAACTTGTCTTTTGTGAGTAATTGTTAATATATGATTAATGTTAATAGTCATGTAATTTATTTATTGTTGATATGTTAAATTTTTTTTAAATTTGTTTCAAATGCCTATCAAAGCGCTTTATAACAGTGATTTTATTTATTACAGATATTAATCAATACTTATCTAAAAAATGACCGAACTCTACTTTGCTGGCTTTTGACTAAACTGAACTTTTATAATTTATCAAATATTACATTTTATATTACTTTTTATCACTTTTCATCAATAACAAAAGTACTTATTATTTTAAAATACAATTTATGGGAAAATGATAAGTTGAATTCCTTACAAAAAAAAAAAACTTCCAAATAAAATAAACATACTATAATATTCTTAATACAAGAAGAATTTAACTGTTTTAAATAAGTCAAATTCTTGGAAATTATTGACTGCTTCTTTTAGGGTTGAACATTTTGAGAGAAATCGAGTTAAGTTTATAGTTTTTGGTTTCAAACAATATCTAATGAGTTAATCCAGAAAACCATAATTCCACAATTAATATAATAACAAAATTAATACCAAATTTTTCTATTGATTTTAATAAATATAAATTTTGTAAAACTCAAAAGTCTATTGATCAGAAAATGTATATAAATGTAACCACCTCATCATTACCTACCTTTTTTAAAAGTATCTATATTTTCTGAGTTATATATATCATCTTTGGGACAACAAAAATCGTTCTTTCTTTTTGACATTTAAAATTATTGATTTATATGATTAAATTAATTTTGTAACTATAAAAAAAATCAAACATATCATGAAATTAGAAATGTAACATTTATATAATGTTTATGGAATTAAAATTGACATAATTTTATAGTTTTTCCATTGATCTTATGATCAATGAATTATTCATGAAAATAATGTTAAAGTATTACATAGATAGTACAATATTACAAAATATTACACACAATTTTACTTAAGTGTCGTACAAGAGTTATTATTCACACTAGTAGTATAACTATTATCAAAAGCAAGGCATTAATAAAAGAATTTATTATAATTGTACTTGAAATTAAAATAGTATATTTATTTGGTATTATACAATTATACTCATTAATATTAAAATATAAATATGCACCCTAATTTTATGATAATGTAATCTTACATATCAGGTGATATTGATAGTAAGTATTGATACAATAGAAAGTCTTTGTATCAGTAGTAAACATATTAAATTAAAATAAATTTTGAAAAAATTGTAAACTTTATTTCTGTTACTGTCCATATTAATACATTCTGTTGTTCTCTATGCTTTATAAAAATGGCTACACTTCATAGAATTTATATAACAGCTAATGGGTTATTATAACTAATTAATAGTCACGTTATGGGATTTATCTTTCTGAATGGATACTTTTAACTGGTAATAAGTTATTAAGTCTATTAAAAATTTTAATGTACTAAAAAAAAAATGTATATAGGTATGTTGAGAGGTCATCATTGCTTCCTCCTGAAAGGCCTTCAGGTTTTTGCAATCTATCAAACCTTCAACTCAGATTTTTGTGCCCACAAGATATAAATGAGGTAAAACACTTTTAAGCATAGCTCTTATAATTAATGCATTAAATTTAGACGAGTTGCAAATAAAACTTCACACAAATAACACTTTTTAACATCAGAGGAGGCAATAGGTAGATTGCATCCCTTTTCTGTATGCTTTTTTAAATAATGCAATAAAAAAGTATTTAGTGCTCTACATACAGTTTTTATCATAAAAATTCACATAACATTAAAAGTACTAAAAAATTTAATATATTAAAGATGTGGAATAGTTGGGACAATTATAGATATATCTAATAGTGATTAATACTGTCATAAAAACGCTTTGATGCGAATCTATTTAATTTCTATTTATGAATGACGATTTTTACAAGTTTTAAGATTTTATTTGATATAGGTTTGAAGGACTAAGTAATTCTGGAACATATTCACAATTCATTAAGTATAACTTTTCAAGTAGAAATTTTGTTGTTAGTTTACTTTGGTATTAGAGAATGCAAAAATTCCAGAATGTTATCAAAAGTTGAAATAGAAAATAATGTTGACATGCATAGGTTGTCTTGCTCAAACCCTTCCTGTACTTAAGTTTTCTATTGGAGTTTCATATATAGAAGGTAAAAAGAAGCTTAAGAAGCATTGTCTCTAATATGTCGTAGTACAATTTCATACAAATTCAACTTTTTAGTTGAATGCAGGAAAAATTTTCATTGTTGTTATTTTTGATGACTGCCTAATTTTGGAGTATTTTTCTAAATTTCTAAAATTGAGGGTTTTTGTTTAATTTTTGGCAATAAATGGTTCCACTACATTGATATTAGGTTTTTTTTGCATATAAATAATAAAAATCAATCTAATGAAAGCTAAGTATTTACATAGACTGATACAAAAAAAAAAACATATCATGGTAAAACCTTCTCAACTTTGCATCAAAGCTAAAATATATTTAATTTAAATGTATAATTAATATAAAGATAAAGAAAAGCCGGGTATGTGCATTCAGTTTAAATCTTGAGGCTGCTTGAATGTTTTTGATGACTGCAAATATATATATATATAATTAGTATTTTTATATTGTTTATAGTTATTTCAATATTAATTAATTTCATTGTAGGTAAATGCCTTATGTATGGACTGTTTTCCAGTAGAATACCCAAGATCTTGGTATGAAGATATTACATCAAATCCAAAATTTTATTCATTAGCAGCTATTCATAAATCTACTATTGTAGGCATAATAGTAGCAGAAATTAAGTTATATATAAAATTATCACCTAAGGTATTGTAGAATATATAACATTTTGTTTTATAATAAGTGAAAAAATTTAAACTTAATATTTAAACAAATCCTCTGAAACATAAATATAACATGTTAAGATCTGACCCCTGGCTTCTAGTTTTGAATTAATTTGTTTTCCTACCCCATATTTTCTTTCATATTCCATTAAAAATTCTACACAAGTAATAAACCAACAATTAAAATTTACAACATTTGTTATGATATACTTTATATTAATTTTACACTTAACCACAAAATATGCTTTAATAATTATTAAATTTTAAATAAAGTTGTTAGAATGTTTTTGTTGTTCTTTCATTAACTAATATGATAAAAAATATATTTTATTAAGTTATAAAAAATGTAAAAATATTCTATAGGGTTGATCATACTTAATTTTTTTTTTTTTTACTTCTGTCTATCATGTAACACTAAAAATAATGATTTAATTTTAATTTAAAACAAAAATTAATTCATAGTATTTCAATTTAATTTTCTTTAATGTGTATTAGTGTAATTAGTGGAATATACTCACTAACAATTTTTTTAATCAGCATATACACTAGAAACTATATAATATTTATATTGAATTGTAAACACTCACAAATCAACATATATCTTAAAATAAAAAAAGGGTTTTATGCTAAAACAACACTGGGTGTAATACATTTATCTTTTTACACAGGAAAGAGAAGTAGNTGGAATATACTCACTAACAATTTTTTTAATCAGCATATACACTAGAAACTATATAATATTTATATTGAATTGTAAACACTCACAAATCAACATATATCTTAAAATAAAAAAAGGGTTTTATGCTAAAACAACACTGGGTGTAATACATTTATCTTTTTACACAGGAAAGAGAAGTAGTGTCACCTTCAGCAGGAAAGTTTACACAAGTTGGATATATATTAAGTTTAGGTGTTAATAAGGCTTATAGACGCAATGGGATTGCTTCTTTATTGTTGGATAGCTTAGTATCACACCTCATGTCAGCAGAATCTCAAAATTGTAAAGCAATTTTTCTTCATGTGCTCTCTAGTAATTCATCTGCAATTTCATTTTATGAAAGAAAAAATTTCAGGTAATTTAAAAAAAAATTATATAATAAAATCTTTATAATTAATTATAAAAACTATTAAAAAAAGAGAACATAATAAAATCTATGTTAAAATTTAGTCATAAAACCTAAAATTTGATCTAATTAAAAAAATTAATTTTATAAAAAAACATAAATTCTTAATCTCATTAATTGGTACTGATAACTATAACACTTTTTCTGTCTCTTTGTCACAGATAAGAAACCATAGGTAAAATTAAGATAGACTAGAGAGTGATTAACCCTTCCTCAACTTATGGTTTCTGACCTGCTAGAATGAGAGAGTAAAAAGTAATGACTGGAATGATAATTGGCAATTTTTTTAATTTGATTTTATACTAATAGTTACTATGAAGTTCATTATAAAACCGTTATATTGATTTTTTTGTCATTTTTAAACATTAAAAATGATTAACTTCTTTTTTATTGTCTATATTTTTCTTTTAAAATTCTTATCACTTTGAATTATTCTTTATGAAATAATTTTAGGCTGCATTCATTTCATCCATATTATTATATGATAAATGGAATCAATAAAGATGGATTTGCTTATGTATTATACATAAATGGTGGCCATCAACAATGGATGATATTATATCCTTTTTATACAATTAATAAAGTAAAACCATTTTTGAAAATAAAATGTATTATCGTAATATAAATGGAATAATTTTCTTGATTTAGTTGAAGTAATTATTTCAGCCTTTGCGACTGTATTAACCCATTAAAGTCTCTCACCTCAGAAGAAGTTTTGTTATTGTTTATACCCCGAGATAATGGTAACTCTAACTATAGAGATGATATCTTATTCATAAAACTAAGCCACCCATGACAAGTTTTAAACCAATCACAGCACATATGACACTTTTGTCTTATAGAATTGGTCTCAAAATCTTTCTTTTTTTATAATTTTAAATTATTTTTTTTAAAGTTATAAAATTGCCTTTAACCCAATAGTATCATAAAAATTTACTTTTTAAAATTTAGTAGGATGAGAAACTTTTCTTAACTACTAAATACTGACGTTTTAAAGTATATTTATACAACAATTTGTGAATTAAGAGTTGTGAAATGGACAATGAATAAGGCTCGGAAAGCCACTAGACGATTTTGGCCAAGACTCAGACGTATAGCATCTCAGAATACAAGTACTATTATGATTGATTGTAGCTGAAATGTATACTTCATGTATAATTATCTTAAAAATTGTTATTTTCTGGATTGCATTTCTAGACTAACATTTTCCTCTATTATACACCTGTGACTGAGGTTTAAATCATCAATATAAATAAATATAAAAAATATTTCTTGAAATACAAAATAAATAATTTTTTTTTAATGTTTAAAATTTTAGATTCAAGTTACAGGCATATTCTTAAAATAATTAAAAGTTTAATGGCATCCTTCTATAATTGTTTGTATAAGTTGGCAAAAATTGTTAGATTATTATTAATTGTAAAAATATTTTGCCAATATGCCAAAATACTGTAATTATATTAGTGATTTTTTCTTAATAATATGTCTTCTTTCCAACAATAATTTTTAAGATTATTCAATTATTTTTTCATATTATCTTTTATACTGCCTTTATTTGTATTACATGACATTATGGTTTGGGTCTTTTTTCTTTATTATTATTATTATTTATTGAAGAGTTATCAATGTTAGATACTTAATTAATATATAATTAATCATAAAATATAATAACTACATATAATTACTTAATTAAATAAATATAACAATAATATTAGTAGTATTGATATGGTTGGGTTTAAGTTACTTTAAATTTTTTTTGTAAATGAACAAAATTTGTGCTGATATAAGCTAATTATTTCTAGTCACTTCATTAAATAATGTTGATTCATTTTTATATTTTAACTTTTAAACCATAAATATTTTTTTCCATTGTTATTATTTATTAATTTAATTTAAAAGTGGATAATTGTTAGTTAAATTACACACTTTTTGTAAGCTATTTTTAAACATTTATGATTATGAATTAATTATAATTCCCAAATTCTTTCATTAAATAATTTAGTAAATAAATAAAAAATTGTATTATTAATTTTCAAAATTTATAATATTTTTGTTTGTCTTAATTTATTATTTAGTCCTGACAATAATACAGAACAAAGAATGATCTAATTATATTTATTTATTACTCTTTTTTTGTATTGCTACAAAATTTATATTAATTTTAAGTATTATAGATTTTTGTTTCCATTTTATTATAATATTAAATATATTTTATTTCATTTAAATTTAATAATTTTCTTTTTCATTTCACAATATAAATATTTGATATTGTTATTAGTTCTTGTTAAAATATATATGTAAATACATGTAGGTAAATAAACTACTTAAGCCTTGCTAGATAATTAGTGGTTTTTAAATACATATAAAAAGTAAACTTAATAGGCAAATTTTTTTAACAGTATATTAGATTTAGGTAATACAAGACTTCCATAAATAAAACTATACGAGTGTGCACTGATCAGAATATTTTAACACTATTTTGGTATAGCATACTCCTTTAGCTAATTTACATTTGTTAAATACAAGGCAACTCAATATTTGTATGATTAAGCAATAAATATAATTTTTTTTCTTTATAAGCATAAATACAATTTCAACAAATGTTTAAAGACTCATTTTATGTAATTTCTTTCTCTCTCAAAATTAGATTTATATATGTAATTGTATTGAAATTTTATGTTTATTTTTGAAATTGGAGGGCTAGGTTTCTCTAAGCTTTATTATATTAAAACCTATATTAAAAACCCAGCACAGGGGGGTCGCGGCACAGTGGTGACGTGGCATAGTTGGATCAAGTATAATGATATCTGACAGTGATTAAAATCACTATCAAAATAAAACGCTTCGATGCAAATCTTTAGATAGTGTTTAATTAAAAAAAATGGGTGGATTATTCCAAAATCTACATAATCTGCTAGTTCCTTATTAATATCCTGATTAACATAAAGTATGTCGAATGAAAAAGGGATTATTAAAAAATATTATTTCTCATAAAAAAATTGTGTTGATCCATTCACTTTTCAATAAGTTATAGCATTAGAAAGTTAAAAACCCAGAACAGGGAGGTCGCGGCACAGTGGTGACGTGGCATAGTTGGATCAAGTATAATGATATCTGACAGTGATTAAAATCACTATAAAAAAAAAACGCTTCGATGCAAATCTTTAGATAGTCTTTAATTTTAAAAAATTGGTGTATTATTCCAAAAGCTACATGATCTGCTAGTTCCTTATTAATATCCTGATTAACATAAAGTATGTCGAATGAAAAAGGGATTATTAAAAAATATTATTTCTCATAAAAAAATTGTATTGATCCATATATTTTTCAAAAAGTTATAGCATAATAAAGTTAAAAATGTAAAAAATAATATCGAGATTTTTCACACAAAAATAGCATTCGGTAGCCATTTTCACCACGAAGACAAGTCTAGAAGACAATTTTTTTTTTTCAAATTAAAGTATATTACATAAGCTTTAATTTAAGATGTATATAAAAGTGTCAGACCTTCCGGAACATTTTCAAAAGTTAATTTTTTGTAAAAAAGTTGTCATTTTAAATCCTCCCCCTGGCCAGGTTAAGTGTTAGAATTACAAAAAATATATACCGAATGATAGATAAAGACATCAAGCATCTATAAAAAAACAAATTATATTGAAATATTCATTTTTAAAAAAGTTACGGCAGTTTTTAGTAAAAAAAAAACCCAGCACAGTGGGGTCGTGGCATAGTTTGGTCCAGTATAGATGATATTTGACAGTGATTAAAATCACTATCATAAAAAATGCTTCGATGCAAATCTGTAGATAGTGTTTAATTTAAAAAAAAAAAAATTTGTTAAAATAGCATATTTTTGAATACGGTAGCCATTTGGGCATAGAAGATAGGTCGTCGGGACAAATTTTTTTTTTATTTTATAGTACATAAAATAAGCTTTAATTTGACATATGTTTAAAGGACGCAGTATTTCCGGAAAATTTTCAAAAGTTCAGTTGAAAAAGATCTATGTTTTTTATAATATTTTAAGTTTTGAACGCCCCCTATATAAGGGGAAATTGTCCAATTTTAATAAAAAGTATGTCAAATGAAAGATGTACTTATAATGTATTTAGAAAAAAAAAATTTATGCTGATATATACATTTTTCAAAAAGTTATAGCATTTTTAAGTTGAAAATTTAAAATCGAAAATTTTAACAAAAAATAGTGTTTTTTTAACTATGGCAGCCGTTTAAATGTAGAAGATAAAGTGTCGGGACAAATTTTTTTTTTTCATTTTATAGTACATAAAATAAGCTTTAATTTGATATATATTTAAGGACGCAGTATTTCCGGAAAATTTTCAAAAATTAAGTTGAAAAGGTTAGTTTTTGTAAAAAAGTTGCTATTTTAAATGCCCCCTGTGAGTAGAATAAGTGTTAGATTTTCAAAAAAAATGATATCAAATGAAAGGAAAATATCTAAGGTTTTAGTATAAAAAAAAATTATGTTGATTTGTTTATTTTTGAAAAAGTTATGGAAGTTTTAAGAAAAAAAAGTGAAAAAATGACAAAATTTACCGATTTTTAAATTTGTAATTTTTTTGGATATTTCCCCCATTTTCGGGGAACGAGGGAATTTTTTTCAACAGACACAAAAAAAAAATAAAAAATAAACACATCTTAGTAAAAACAATACCTTCTCAGCTTCGCATCGAAGCTAAAAAATTTATTTTAATAACATAAATCATAAAATATAGCATCTCTAAAAAAAAAAATCTGAATTCACCATTAATTGCATAATTATAAATTATTTTTTATTCATGTCTAAAATTAATAAATATATAAAAGTAAATAATGACTATAACAACAATTAAGTTATTACAAAAATAATTAAATAGTTGTTCTTTTTAAATTATACTTTAAGACTTCAACCACAAATATTTCATAATATTTAACTACTTAACATATAATAATAACTTGTACAAGTAAAAAAAAATACTTTGATAAAAGTATATTTTAAAGATACGCACGCTTAACCATAAATTATAATTCACCTTCCTTTAACCATTTTAAAATTTCAGGAGTATAATAAGAGACAATAACATCTGCACCTAAATAAATATTTATTTTTTAAATGTTTTCATAATTTAATAAACTATAAGGTACATACCTGCCCTTCTCATGCTTTGTAAAATTTCAATTAAACCATTTCTCAAAGTAAAAACTCCAGCTTGAGCAGCATGATAAATCATACTATATTCTCCAGAAACCTTTATTTAAATAAATCAAAGATCATGTAAATAGTGATGATTAAAATAAATATTAATAAATTCATAAATAATTAATAATTACTTGGTATATAAATAAGGGTATGTGAGGATATTTGTTTTTGACATTTTTAATAATATCTAAGTACATCATTCCGGGTTTTACCATAATCATATCACAGCATTCTGATACATCTCTATCCTAATAATAGACAATTGAGTAGTTAATATATTTTTATTTAGCCAAAAATTAAAATAGAATGTTTGTCAAGTTTTCTTGTTCTTTCTTATAGAAGAATGAAGTTATAGTTGAATCACTTAATTGAGAAACGACAAAGTCCAAAATTTTTAATTTGTAGAAAACAATAAATTATTGTTTTTAGACTACAATTAACATGTTGCATTGAAACTGAAATGACTAAATGAAAGTATTCAATGAAATATGTCAAGAAAACACAAAACAATAAAAAATGATCTTATTTTAATTTCAGATGACACGTTTAAAAGCTCTGGACTTCAGTCAATTCTACAATAAATGATTTTCTGTGTTATACATATTCACAAATTCAGTTATTAATTACTTTTTAGCATTATCCCTTAAAACTTATAGGGGTTTCAACTTTAAATTTTTTAAATGGCAAAATATGTATTTTATTAACTATTATTTATTCTAATAAAATATGTATGTTGCCATTCAAAAAAATAAAGCCGTCGATTTTATTAGATATAAGGTATGATATTAAAAAGTTATTAATAACAGAAAAATAAAAAATATATGTAACTAAAAAAACAACATTTTTTTTCGATATTGTATTATTTTATAAGTAATTATGTGCGTTACGATAAACGAATATCATCCTGTAAATTTAGTGTTTATATTTTTCCATTTTTAAATATATTGTTTAGTTATAAAATATAAACAATAAATGAAAAATTTTAATTTAAAACTAAAAAAATATTTAACTCATTAAGCCACAAAAATTACTAAATTATTGTAAATATGTATTTCAGGAACAATGTTACCATTATCAATACTATAAACATATTTTTTTACGTTAATGTTTGGATAGATATAGAATCAAATCTCAAAAATAAATAATTTAATTATTTAAATATATATATATATTCATGATCTATCACAAAAAAGAGGTAAAGGCATTTTTAAGAATTTTTCATGAACTTAAATTTTTTTTTAAGAAAATTAATGTAAATAAATTTTTTTAAGAATTAAAAATTAGTATATTTTAGAACAGTATAGTTTTCTATACTTATTCAATACTTTAACTTATTATTTTCTAATATCTTTTTTGTGCGCTAGACCATCAATATTATATATTAATTTAAAAAAGCTACCACTACTCTCTCAGCTAAATTATAACTTCCAACAGGTAATTGATATGAAGCTCGATTACTGAAACTTGGTGCACAATTAGCTGCATCTCTAAAAGGCCCATAAAATGTTGAACAAAACTTGGCAGAATATGACAGAACAGCTACTCTACTAATTAAGCCCCCTTCCATTAAATGTTGTTTTATTGATTTTACATGACCATCCATCATGCATGATGGTGCAACAATATGAGCTCCTAGAAAATTAATTTACAAGATATTTAACATTTCTCAAAAGATCATTCATACTTTTTCATTAAAACTATTTATGGTTGAAATAATACATTTTTTTATTTACAGTTACAATTCATGTTAATCCTCTTAATTTAAGTTATGATATACTGTTTTTTAAAGACCATAATACTTAATATTTACCAAACCTAGTGTCTCAAGACCTTACTGAATAGATTTCTCATATAAAAATTATAATTTTTTTTTTTAATTTAAGACTTATTCAAAAAATTAGAATTATATACAACATTATACAGTAAACTAAATTTGTAAATACCAGCTAAAGCATATGCTAATGCAATTTCTCCTAAACGCTTTATACTTTTGGTATTATCTATTAACTGATTTTCAATTATCCCACAATGACCGTGTGATGTATAAGCACAAAGACAAACCTGTAAATAAAGTTAAAGATTTTAAGAACATAATAATATTACAAAAAAGTACAATTTTAATTCTATTAATTTGAATTACATATTTTCTTACATCACATGCTATTGTGAGATCAGGATACCATTGTTTTAATAGTGGTAAAGCTACTATAACAGGATTTTGAACAGAATCGGCATGAAATCCATAAGAATCCTATAAAAAAAAAATTATTGATATTTGGCTTAAAAATTATTTAATAACAATTGTAATACTTTGGGTAGTTTGTTTATAACACCAAATAGAAGTACAGATTTTAAACCTAATTTTACTAATGGATCAAGTAAATTTCTCAAATGATTTATACCTTGCCGATAGACTCCTGGCATTGATTTTATTTCTTCTTTCATATCCTCATCTCTAAAATAGTATACAGATTTAAAAATTACAATTTTTCAACAATTGTATTATACAATGTAAATTGTAAATAAAAAACCATCTAACTAATTTGGCAAAATATATATTTTTAAAATTAAACAAACAAATTATTTAATATGAATATAAAAAAAATATATTACATAGATGAAGCAATTTATTAATTTATTTGTTTCATTCATGAACAATAACTGAGTTAAACTTTTTTAAATTAAGTTGTAACCTTCTAAAAATTTTTAATTTATTACTAAAATACACAAAACTCATAAAAATACAGGGTTTTAAAAAATTATGATTAAGGATTAAATCTGAATTCAGAGTAAAATAATGATGTTATTTTATCAACTGTCCAAAAGTTAAATAATACTAATATTTATATAAGATATAATAAATTTAATTTTTTTTTTAGTAATATTTATTGCATTTATGTAAATATAAAAATAAAATCTTAATATTACTACTTTCTACGCATAATAAAAATATTAATTAGGTTTAGCTGAAATAATGGGAAAACAATTATACAAAAATAATCAAATTATTTAATAATTATCTATTCTTAAACTATTAAAATATAGTATAACTTAAAAATATATAACTTTGATTATCAGTAATTTTAAATGTTAAAAACAATAATATATGTAGAAGTTTTCGCCATTTATTCAACTTACAAAATAAAAATTGGATACATCAAGTTAGCAGATTTTATTACACTATTTTGACATTGCCATTCTCTTAAAGTTTCATTGAAATAATTACAGTGAATAATACTATTAACTGAACTCATTTTAAAATTATAATAATTTCCAAATAATATTTTTTAGTGAATTGATTCAACATAAATTTATATACAATCATATCATTAATATTATCATATTGATGATCATATTCTAGAAATCTATATACCACATGTTACATAATCTTCAAGGAGACATTTAAAATATTATTATCAACAAAACTAAATACTTGTTTAGAATATTTATTAATTGCTGATAATGATGTACAAGTTACTGTTATAAATGCAACAAGAATCAAAAATGTTAAGAATAGCAGGGACATATTTTAGAAGGGCTATCACCAACCCCTTCCCCCATAGATATAGTCATTAATATTCTACTGTGGAAAAGTACTTTCAGAACTAACTTTACTTTGCGCTGATGGGGTTATCATACACAAATTTACTAACTTATGGCTTATTATAAAAATATAATGAGTAAAAAAAAAATCTTGCTAGTTTGTAAATTGTCTACTAGGCAAAAGTGGTAAAAATTGCCAACTATATTAAATTAAACATTTACTATGAGTAATGTTCCGTTCTTATATACCCAAAATCTGGTCGTTTGAGAGGACTAAATATTGTACGAATTGAACTAATTTAAATGTCAAAAATTAAATTTTAATTTATTGAATAGTTCATTTTGTAAAATTGAGAACTTCGCAATTGTTTAATTCAGGAAAGTATTATCATAAAACTATTTTTAATTAAGTACTTTATTGAAAATATTTTACAAGTTTTTATAAATATTTAATAAAAGTAATAAATTTATTTAGAACAATATGATAACACAAGACATATTTTAATAGTAAATAAAAAATTCAATAGCTTCGCATCAAAACTAAAAATGTTAACTTTAAAATTTTCTTTTATAATATAAAAACTTTAATAATTAAATTTTAAAAATACACCATTGTATTAAACGCAAAATTTACAGATGACTAAAAATTTTTTTTTTTAATCACGAAAAAATCTTTAAAAAAAACTAAACATTTCTATGTTAATTAAACAATTATTTTTTCGTTTTACTATATTTATTCTGCTATTGAAAAAAATGTGTATCTAATTTAGGCGTCTACCTAACTCAGGCCGTAATGCATCATGTCTCGGTCCGTAAATAATGGTGTTAGATTTTGTTTCACTAGGCTACATGGTTTTTTCTGTCCTCTTTGAAATAAGCAATAACTTTTAAGAAAATAAGTAAATAAATAATAATATCATAAAATAATTTTTTAATTTTTGTTTTTTCAATAAATGAAAAAAATTGAAATTTTTTTTTATGAAAATTGTGAATAATTTATTCTTTAAAAGATAGTCAAGTAAATATCAACGAAGTCGGACTAACAAATTTTACTGAATCACATTTATATCGTCTTGATTATTAGCCCAAAAATTGTTGATTATCGATGTTTTAGGTCTTAATCGCGGGTGCATTCCATTTATTATGGAGAATTAATCTGATACACAGATGAAATGTGTCATTGACATTTATTGACGGAAATAGGGATGCTAATCAATCTATCCTAAAGATAAAATAGAAGATAGGCCGTCGTAACTTTCTTAAAAATCTCGACTTTTTTAATATTTAATAACCTATAAATACTTTAATATGCTAGTAATCATGAGTTTTACAAATAAAACAAATATTTAATGGAAATCACAAAGATGAATCATTCTCATTTTTTAAGAAATCTATGTTGTAAATTTTTATTTAACCAACCATATAGATAGCATTATGTTAGTTACATAACTGTGTTGGATTTAATTATGCTAAAATTTAGCGTAATTAAACTAACGGCTAAATGGTAATGTCGTATAATAAAACTTTTGATAAATTATAAGTTAGTCGTTATAAGTTAATAATTATTAAGTATAATTATTTGGTCATTAAACAATCTATATAAATCGATAATCTTTGATACCTATATTTGCCTACCATAACAGTGAACAATAGTTGAATACTGTTTAAGAAAAACAAAATATACAGTATGTCCAATTGTTAAATGTATTTTTTCTAACTCGGTTATTTGATTTGAGTAAATTGTAGCAATGTTGAAAAAGTGTAGGCAGCTCTAAAGTAACATTACTCTGTGTGCTACGGTCTAATATCACAAATGTTAGTAATTTTGACATCTGGTGCATGTCCAACTTAAAATATATTTTTTCATTACTAACCATACAGAGCTCATCTATGCTGTTCACTGCTGAATAGCTCCTAAAATCAGTTTATTGTTTTTCGCCGATGGACTTGAGTGAATAGGATTACGTTCTTACCTTAAAGTGATCAGTGATTGTTTATTGGAATAATTAAGCAATTTTTTTTTGACAATTTTTAATTTTCATCCTTAGAACTATACATTTATATAATAATTTAATTACTCTTATAAAAATAAAGTAAAATGAATCGAACTAATTATAATCAAAGTTATAAATTAGTAGTAGTAGGAGGAGGTGGTGTTGGAAAATCTGCTATAACAATTCAATTCATACAGGTAAGTTTAAACAAAATTACTAAGTTAAAAAATAACTAATTGGAAAAATCTTATATAATATAATTTTATTTATTCATTAATATGTAATGTTCAAATAGTAATTACCAAAATATTAATTTTTCTTTCAAATTTTTATTGGTTTGAGATAGCTGTTGTTGCTGCTCTATGTGATATAATTTATTTTTATGTTAACTATTTTTGAATTTTGTTATATAAACCCGAAAATATATTTTATTTATGGTTTCCAATATATGTTTTATTGTAATATTTGAATTGTAAGATTTACAAAAATTCATAAAATAATTTCCACAAATATATTCAATAGTTTCAAAAGAAAATATTTAATTTTTTTGTAGAATAATGTAATAATTTTCTGTATGCTAACTACACAATATGAGTAGGTGTAACATATCTCTTTTGCCTATGGGTCTCATTCAAGGTAGTTTTTATACCTACACTCATAGATACACCTCCTAATATGGAATTGTTTCTAAGATTAAAAATTATATATGTATTTTTTTAGATTTGTTTGTATAGTATGAAATTTTCATTTTAATGTTTATAATTGTATATACTGGTGTCTCAGAAGTATCTGACAATATTTATAACTTGATACAATTATCATTTTAGAAAATTTTTTTTTTTTTTAATAATGTTTGCCTTCTTAGACTGCATTTAAAGTATATTTTTTATTATTAATCATTATAAAAAAAATTACAATTTTTTTTTAAATTTCAAAACAGTTATTTGGCTATATTTAAGCTAATATTTTATATTCTAATGAAAACTTTTGATGAGTTTATGATAAATTTAGTATAAGTACTTATCAAGTTACAAACATTTTAATATATGAAGTGGGTATAAAACGTGGGAAAAGTATACATACACTAGTATGAGCTGTACCCATGTGCACTATGTATCAATTTTATTAATTCCAATAGTGTAACTTGATAAGTAATTGTCTTAAAGTTATCAATTCATAAAATTATTTTACAAAAAGAAGTGCTAAAAAATGTCATTTCAAAATTAAATAAAAAATAAAAACATTTATATTATTATTGTTACTTTTTATTATGATTAATAATAAAAAATATGCTTTAAATGCAGTCTAAGAAGTATGGATGTAGCTTGAAAAATTGTCTATGGTCTCATTTTTTATTTCATAACTCGGATAAAAAACATCTCTGAAAATCTTCTCTGCCAAATTACAAATGATTCTATGTAGATTCTATTCTACTCAATACAAACTATGCTAATGATAAAAAGGCAATACTAATTAAAAAAATTAATTTCAACTAAATAATAAATATAGTTTAACTGTTATTAAAATATAATAACAAAAAATATTTTTAATTGTGATAGAACCAAAATATATTCATTAACAAATAATTAACCCTATATAATAATAATTATTATTATTAATAATAATATTAGAATACCATTTTGAACAGATTGTGTATATATTAATAAAGAGTATATATATATTGAAATTATTATGACAAAAATTGAAAATTATAATTTTTTTTTACAATTCTTAAAAGAAACGTATAATGTTTCTTATATATTCTTTACTGGTCAGAATTTTATAAACTTAAATGTATTAATTCAATAAGTGTTTAATTAAACAAGTAACAACTGTTACTTCACCCCTAATGATGTCCTCCTCAAACTAAACAGTCTGAAAAATATATTTTCTATAGGACCCGATGAAATACTTGGTGATTTTCTCTACAAAACAAGGCACATTATTTTTTATCCTCTCTGGTCCTTATTCCGAAGATCCCTTGACGAAAGTACTTTTTCGGACATGTGGAAAATCAGTTCTATTATTCCCATTTTAAAATCAGGTAAACCCTTGTTAGTTACCAATTATAGACCTATTTCAATTCTTCGACACATTTTTAAAATTTTCGAGTTCTTAGTTTTAGATTGTATTCAGCCTTCGGTTAACTTGATTTTAGCCAATGAACAACATGGTTTTCGCCCAAGCAGATCTACGGTTACTTGTAACCTCTTTTTCTCCAACTATTTACATGGTTCTTTTAAAGAAGGATTACAAGTTGATGTCATCTACACCGACTTTGCTAAGGTGTTTGATTTGGTAAATCATGTGGTTCTTATTTCTATTCTTCATGCTTCAGGATTTGGTGATCCTATCCTATCTTGGTTCAGTTCATTTTTATGTAACAGATCTCAATGGGTCAATATGTTCAACACAAAATTTCATATGTTTATACCTACCTCTGGTGTCCCACAAGGTGGACATTATCTCCACTTCTTTACTCACTGTTTGTCAATAGCGCTTGCTCCTCCCTCAAGCATAATCAACTTCTCTGTTTTGCGGATGACATGAAAATTTTCTAAAATATTTTCTCTGTTGATGATTGTCACAAACTCCAGGATGAACTTAATTGGTTCTGGTCTGATGCTCTTGGTCTTATATTAAATATTAATAAATGCCCGTCAATGGTATTTTTTAGAAGTCACTCTCCTATAACTTATACCTATACATTGAATGGCTCCAAATTAATTACTATCGATTCTAGCATTTGTGACCTTGATTTTACTCTTTCTTCCTCCCTAAGTTCACGAGCTCATATTGATAAGATTACATGCAAAGTTCTTAAGGCACTGGGTTTTGTCAAAAGGATATGTAGTGAATTTAAACTCACTAGGTCTCTTACATCCATTTACTATGCGCTTGTACGACCAATTCTGGAATATGGCTCAGTTGTTTGGGATCCTCAAACAGTGGACAATTCTCCCCTTCCTTTTCTTCTTAACTTATCCTCCCTAACTGACTGCCGCCATTCTTATAATCTTACTTTCCTTAATAAGCTCTTAACAGGCTCTATCGACTCACCTTCCCTTCTTGCTAAAATCAACTTTAAAGTTCCTGTAAGGTACACTCGCAACTCACATACTTTCTTTATTCTACATTGCCCTACTAATTATTTAATAAACGAGCCTATCAACCGTATGATGAAGTTAGCCAATAAGGATCTGTCATTTCTTCAATAAAATTATGTACTTCTTAACCTATTTTGTTAAATGTTGTTTTTCTTATATATTACACCGTAAATGGTAACCTGGGCTCATGCCCGTTATAATCTTAAATAAATAATTTAATATTATTATTTTTTTAATTATATGTTATGTCAAAATGAGTTAAAAAATTTTAATTGATAATTTTCTGTTATAGAAATATTTTGTAACAGATTATGATCCAACAATTGAAGACTCTTATACAAAACAATGTGTAGTGGATGATGTTCCTGCAAAATTAGATAGTAATCATTTTAAGTTAATATAATGTATTGATTTTTATTAAATAAATTATTTTATTTTATTTATAGTTTTGGACACAGCTGGCCAAGAAGAATTTAGTGCTATGAGAGAACAATATATGAGGTCTGGGGAAGGTTTTTTACTTGTATTTTCAGTTGCAGATAGAACGAGCTTCAATGAAATAGAGAAGTTTCACAGACAAATTCTTCGAGTGAAAGATAGAGATGAATTTCCCATGTTAATGGTCGGAAATAAAGCAGATTTAGGAAGCCAAAGAATGGTACTTAAAAAAAATTATATGCTATAATAAAAAAAAACTTTTACATGATTTATTAAGATAACTCTATCATCATTATTTATACTGTATTTATAATAAAATTTAGGTTTCTGTACAAGAAGCACAAAATATGGCTACGGAACTTAAAATACCTTACATTGAATGTAGTGCAAAAGCAAGCATAAATATAGATCAATCTTTTCATGAACTTGTCCGTATTGTTAGACGATTTCAACTTTCTGAAAGACCCCCAATTAAAGTGCTGCCCCAAAAAAACATAAAAAAATGTCTCATACTCTAGCAGATAATAGTAATTATTTTTTATACCCTACCATGTTCATATTTGAATTTTTCTATACTAAGAACTTAAATGATTGTGTTCCAAGTATTGTCAATATTGACCATTTACATTATTAACATCATTAGGCAGTATTAAACTTAAAAATCTAGTCTCATATAAACAATAATTTGACAAGTTTTTGCACATAGTTAACTTAAAACTAACATTTATTTTAAGCATAACATTTAATTTGGTAAGTAATTATAATATAGTGAGTCACAAATCAGGTTGTTAAAATTGTTAAACTATTCATGTAGTTTTTTTTACTTCTATACTACTCCTATATTGTTTATAAATTGTTGATGAAAACAAGATTTTTTCATTAAAGATCTTTATATTTTTATGAAATCATTAAAAAATTTATTTTGTTAAAAATTTATTCACTTTTTAGTAGTTTCCCGCATTATTTTAATTATGTTCTCAGGTTATTGGAGTTTATATTTTTTAATTGATTTATGTTATTTTTAAGGATATAATACAAAACTTTAAGTTGTTTACCTGTAAAAAATAATTTTGTGCTGTTAAACATTTAGTGTTTGTTTTTTATTTGTATAACAATGAGTTTTTATTAACGAAGTACTGAATTATATTTAAAAGCACAACAAATTATTTATATGTTACCTTAATTTTTTATATTATAAAAAAGAAATTAACTCATGATTATATTTGTATTGTATAAGAAATATACTAAGATTCCATATTCATAACAAATTTAATATGAAATATTTATTTTTATTATAAAATTGTTAATATTTTCTAAAAACTATGATCTAATTAATTAAACACGTAATATCAATAATTTAACTTTTTTTTTTTTATTGAACTCGATTATCAATAAAGCTAACCTATATTTTCCTATTTTTTATTTAAATGAAATTTTTGGTTTTTTTTACTAAAAATTAAAACTGAAACTAGAGAAAATTTCAATTAAATAAATATCTAATCATAGTAAGTTATTGAACTGAATAAAATAATTTTACATCAAATTTTCATAAATACCATTTATCCTAATCATTTTTAACTACAACAATATTTCATTATTGGTTTAATAGTATAATCAAATTTAAGTTATTATTATTTTGCTTGATTTTACTTTGAGTACATTTTTTAATTTTTTCTCTCCTAACGTTTTACAAATTTAATAAATTAGCCTTTTAATCACTTTCAAACACTGTTGATGGATTACAGCATTTGCATATTTTTTTTATGTTCATGTACGAATAGGCCATCTAAAAACAATGTTGTTAAAGAACATGTTTTAAGGGTAACAATTCCTGGTATTGATTTTTTGGAAAACAACTTACCTTGTCCCAAAGGAAGAAGAACCTGAACTAATTCATTATTATAGGAATACATGTATTGTTACATCACCAGCTACAAGTATTGTTCTATTAATGATACTAGGTCACTAGTTAAACCACAGACAAGTTTTATTTTATTTAGTTATATAATTACACTAAAAACATTAATGCTTTAGTGGACATTCTACCTAATCTGTACAAATTTATCTAATTATTACTGCCATTTAAATTGTAGTATTAGTACAAATGGAATAAAAAATTTTTTACCTCTTATTTTATTTATATTAGGAGACAAAGTGAAAAATGTTTTCACAGTATTAAAGTTTTAAATGAACAATTTTTTCTGATGGTATGACCAAACCCGTCACGTGAATTAAGATAAAAACTAAGAATTTGAACATTTTGTTCAGAAATTATTTTTTTAGTATAAAAACAATTTAGGCTATACTATTTTCATTTAAAATAGTAACTTAAATGATAATCTAAAATCTACATAATTTTTCTTATTTTACTGATACAACTAAGATGATTTAGCTTTTATTTTATAAACTGATAACTTCTAAAGAAAATTAGAAAAATTAAATTTGTAAGGGGCAAAATTAAATTGACAAAAAACATTTTCTTGTGCCTATGATCTACACAAATGTCACAACAAATATTGTTCAACATGTATAAAAAGACCAGTAATTACATAAAGTCAAAGGAACAAAATTAGAAAATATTCTTTTGATAATATCCCCAAAAATAAAAATGAAATTTTCATCTACACAGTTTACCTAATGCCAAATACAGACTGTACTAGTTTAAAACCAGTAATTTTAAAAATAACTTTTTTTTAATATTATATCTATGTTTTCAAATAAACTAATTGTACAAAAGTTTTATTACTTGGATTAGTTTAATAAAATAAAAATAAAAGTTAGATAATAAAAAAAAAATTTATTTCCATAGCAAGAAATACTTGAAATTTAATTATAATTATACAGCAAGTAATTCTCTTTGGACTTTTCTCCAGTTGTCCAATGGTCCGTGGTCTGGGCGGAATTTAACATTGGCACCATCAGGTGCTAATCTTCCTTCATCTTTCAATGTTTCATATTCTTCACGATCATACTTGGTAAATCCCCATTTTTTGCTCACATAGATCTAAACATTGTTATTCATGTTATATAATTATACTTAACATACTTTCAATCCCATTATTATTATGGTCGTAGACATAAAATTGTGCTGATAATAGTTACTTTTTGTCATCTTTTCATGGAACAATTACCATATGATATAGTTCAAAATTGATTTAGCGATTATTAACTCCATAAAATTTATATTGCAGCGTTTGCAGAATTTTACAAATAACTAATATGATTTTCTAATAGGATGTGTCACCATTACCAGCACATTTACAAGTCTACCCCTAAAGTTCAATTTTAACTATACTAAGAAACTTATTTTCACATTAATCAAAAAAAGTCATCATTTTGAATCCTTAGTAGGATAGTAGGTTACTTAGTAGGTTACTCAGCAGGTAAAAGGTTAGATTTATAAAAAAAAAACTAAATGATAGGTAAAAACATGCATCAAAAAAAAAAAAAAATTATACTGATTTGATCATTTTTGATAAAGTCATAACAGTTAACAAAGTTATAAGTTTTATACACTGGACTATAAGGAACTTTCATCAGAAACAAAAATATACTATTCTAAATCAACATTTCGCGATGTTTTAAAATGTGCAATTAGACTTTTTCTATCACTTCTAAGTTTTAATATTATTGAAAAATAGTATTTACATATAAAAAAAAATAATTAATAAGTTTTCTTTTATTACATGTTTTTAAATTAGTAGCTGTTAAGTAACAAATAATACTAGTAAAACATTTTAAGAGAATCTCTATCAGTTAAAATATCAATAGAATGTTATAATTATTTAACATGACTATCCACAATAATTATACATATTTTATCTAAAGAAATAATTTAAATATTTTTTTTTTGTTTTTGTTTTATTATGACAATAAATTTAAATTTAGAGTTATAAAAGTTAACTAAATTAAAACTAAAATATAAATAATAAACTAAGAATAAACAAAACCATATAATATTCAAAAATTAATATTATATAAAATTAATATTATATATGCTGCGATTATAAAATTGAAACAAACTGATTAACTATACGGAAAGGAGAATCACAAAAAAAGTTCATCCATAATTTTATTTTTTAAGAAAATGTATTCAAGTAGTTTGATTGTTTTTAGCTGAATTTAAATAGAATTTAACTAAAATGTATTACCTTTTGACGCCCAGGAAACTTGAACTTGGCTCGACGCAATGCTTCAATTACAGCAGCCTTGTATCTATCAGAGGAGCGTACACTCATAATAGGTTGACCAATATGAACTCGAGCTACAGTACCTTGTGGTTTACCAAAAGCTCCTCTCATTCCAGTTTGAAGCCTTTAAAGTCGATAAATTTAAATTAAAAATTTTGTGAACCTTTTTTTTTTTGATAGTGATAATGTATAACAAACACAATATATCAATTAATATATCATATTATCAAGATGTTAGTGTAATAGCTCAAAAAAATTGGTTTTGATATAATTGATTTTTAAGATTTAAATAACCTACTTTATTTATATTAAAATACACTAGAGCATCACATAAAATATAATTTACACTATAAGAAAACATGTATAACTCAAACTGATATTTTCTTATACCAACACCTTGATGGGATAACATAAAGATTAGCAGACAGTAATAATTTCCATAGACTGTTTAAAAGTAAAACAGGTTAAAGTTACATAACATACAATTTTCAGAATATTATGAACATTAAATTTCTATGTGTATATTAATTTGAAGAACAAATTCCCAATTTAATGATAACTATATAACAAGGATGTCATATAGTTGAAGAAAATACTAATACTATAGCCTTTGAAAAATTAATAGGTTATGTTTTTTAATACAGAAGTTTTATAATTATATAACTACATAATTAACTTTTAACTTGTTAAAACCAATACAAATAAAGAAATTTTAAATTCAAAACTCCATCAATCCTATCATATATTATCTAAATTTACAATCAGAGAGACAACTAATCAAGTTTTTTTTTAAATAAAATGAAAACTAATACATTTTTTTGAAAAAATTCTTCAATTACTAAATAAGTTTTGCTAGGTGTCAAAATTATATTTAATACAAATTGGTAATGAATGATTTTAATATCCATAAGAGTTATCATAGGACATTTATTATAATTAAAATGAAAATTAATTTAAAAAAAAAATATACTTTGTACAATACTTTGGAATGCATCAGTGAATATTACACATACCTATCAGCTCCAGCGCATGACAACATTTTATTGATACGAATAACATGGAATGGATGAAGTCTCATACGAATATGAAACTGATCTTTACCACAGTGTTTAACCAAGTATTTGTTAGCACAAATACGCCCTGCTTCTAAAGCTTCAGAAGATAGTTGTTCATATTCATCAGATACCTTAAAGTAAAGAGTTTGAACAATTATTCAAGAAGAACATAATAATCACTATACATACAAGATGCACACATAATGGGAAATCATCAACTCGGGCTTTTTTCTTTCCCAAGTCAAAAATTCTAATCTTTGGATCTGGCACACCACGACAGAACCGTGACTTAGGGTACGGTTTGTTTTTACAATAACGATAACTGAAATAATTATTAAATAATTTTTAAATTATTAACCATTTCCACTTACATTATAGTAAATATGAAATTTGAAAAAGATATTGATTTCAAAATTAAAACTTACCACCTAGCAGGACGGCGCCCCATTACTACGAAAAAATAATAAAATTCAATATAGTTAATACAGTTTTTCTACGGGATTTTACAATTAATAGAACATTTAATAAGATTGAAGAGGATAAAAATTACATACTTACTAATTTTCCAATGAATCACGAGCTTAAATCTTAGATCCTAACAGTTATCAAAGAGAAAGCATCAGATATGTTTAAAGCGATAGGCAAGGAGTAAATACTGATGACGTGAGATTCAATAAATGATAGTCATGGATAAAACAGTTAAGCCAAAGATGTTGTAATAATTCCATGGTACATTATTTGAAAAAATATTAAATAAGGTAAATTACTTACGTAACTAATTGAACATCTTAATATTAAGGTGTTTAATAAATTCCCGAAGAAACTAGTTTTTTTATAGGCATGGTTAATTATTTTTAATTATTTTAGTTAATCACCAATTCAATAAATTATTAGTGTTAACGAAAATGAATTTACAGAATTTTTAGAATTCATAGATAATAAATACACGTAATTATTAAACAATAATTAAACATAACATAAGCTTTAATTTGAAATAATTAGAGAAGGATGTTAGAATATTGTAACTAGGCAAAATATTACAAAATTAGCTAATTTTACCAAAAATTTTGTAGTTTCTGGCTTTAATTTCAAGTAACTATTAAATATCGTTAATTCAATAGTTTTTCTTTTTTCATAAATATATATATTGTATTAGCTTTAAGTTAATGTAGGTATAAAGAAAGTAGATATTTTTAAACATTATTAAAATTTGAAAGAAAAAAAAATATTATTACGAATTTTAAGCTTCCACAGAATTAATGTTAATGATTAGATTTTCAAAAAAATATTACTTCGGCAAGCAAATATTTGAAGTATTATCATTATAAGTATCACGAAATTCATCCAGTTTTCTGAAAGTTAATTTAATATAAAATGAAAACTTATAATATCAATATTGATTATATTATGAAACTGTAATTTTTTGGACATTTCTCTTCATGAATAAGGGAATTTTTCTAAATTATGGTGCCAATAGCTTCAAATAAATATGTTTTGTAATAGTATGAGAAGTGTTGTTGAACAAAAACGATTCAGTAGATGCGGTAATACTGGTATACCAGACATAAAAATAAAACACATCGAAGTAAAATCAATAGCTTTTCAACTGCGCATCCAATCTAAAAACATACCTATATGAAATAAATAATGTTAATGTAATAAATTTGATTAAAATTTAGTTATCGAGACTATAATAACAAGACTTTTTAAAAACTTTAGTTGAGATATTCAACGACAATTTACAAACTGAAATAAATGTTAATAATAAATTAGATTCAATTTCAGCATTTCTCAGAGATTTTTATTGATATTGATGCGATGCCATTATATTTTATAATATTTATTGTATAGAGTATTAGAATTTACAAGAATCTACTCTATAATAACTAAACAATTGTTATAGTTTAAAATTAATTTTTGAAACTAATATTTGTTGAATATATATATTAAATATAAAAATCTATTAAAGAAATTATATTTTGTTTCGGTCTAGTGTTTTCTTTCCCAGATTTAAACCTTAAAACTACTTCAGTGGTCCATAACAAAATATTTATAAAATAAATTTAAGAAAATATTCATCATAGTTGCAAACTCGAATTTTTATTTAAATATAATTTTTATGAATATTGTATGCGTTAAAAAAAGTCATGAATAATAATATGAAAAAATAGAAAAGGCTGACATAGTTAATTTTAAAACTAAAATGTAACATTTTATTTATTTATCAGTGTTCTTAGGTAATCACTAAACTTGTAACAAAATCTTGTCTTTTAACCTGAATTAAGTGTATAATGTCGTGCACAGATTTTAGTATTTTTTTTTTTAAGAAAATTTTATAATGGTATTTAATATATTTCTAAATATTTTTTTTTACCTACAACAAATTATAATTATCATGTTTTTTATTTGTAAATAAAATCCAAGAATGTAGTAGTTCATCTCTCAGTATTATCTGTATCATTAAGTGATGACACTTGATAATCTCAGGATTTCTGAATATTATCAACTTTTAATTTTCTTTTGTAAAATGTGGTGGGGTTTAAGAAAAGGGAGATTGTTGTTGGTCACGTTTTGGTGATAAAGTAGTTGCAGTACATAAACGGATTAGTCATGACAAAATAGATAGGTATGTCAGCAACTTTGTGATACGCAACCCACTCTTCACCCTATCTATAGCTGGTTCGCCTCATTTCATTGGCCGAATATTTGTATGGTCATTTTCCATAAATATAGTGATAATATTATCATTTATGCATTAATATTTAATATTGTGCAAAAATAATTTGTAACGTATAGAGGAACAATGGAAAATTATGTATATAATATACTTAATACTTAGAAATGCTTTCATTGAATTAATTAATATATAATTTGCTTCACATTAGTGTTACTTTCTTTTTTATAAAGCCAAGAGGTTGGTTTGTTAGCACAGTACTTTAAGGCGAACTGGCCTAATGTTACTTGGTAATTTAATTTTACTTATTACATACATTTATTTATTAAGTAAATTTTTGTTTCTTTAATTTTTGACAAATTAACTGATTATTTAAATTATTTAGCCTTATATAAGTTCTTGTTCTAACTAAACATTCTACCACTTCTTTGGGTATATTATACTCTCCATTATTTAACATTAATTTGTTTGTTAATGTTGTAAAAATTTTAGGAGCTTTTGACAGATTGTCACCATGCAGACTTCTGAAATATATTTTTTATGAAGAATAAGTTGAATCTGAGTTGGTATAAAGAATTGTGATAAAATATCACTACAGTGATTTTCAAAACGATGATCTTCCAAATTAATGAAATTATTGTAACATTTAAGTTTATTTATTACAGCAATATAATTTGTTTTTAAAACAAAATTTTTAAATATTTGTTTTCATAATCCTCACACTTGTTTTGTAATCTAATTATTTAAAATATAAAAATTTTTAGTATAATTATACTGTTAATTGAGTAGAATATAAATAAACAGTGCCGGATAAACCGTCGGTACAATGCACCACTTGTACCGGGGCCCAGACTCTTTGAAAATGTATATTTTGTTTTTTCAAATGGTGTATGGAATTTTACTTTGAAAGTTTATTTAATTTATTCCCAATGATAGTGAATGGTAATTGTAAATGTTTGATTGATATTCGATTGTTTAGTATTTATCTTTCTAGTATATCAATTTTAAGTATAGAAAAGGAAAGAACTAAAACTCTAAATATTGAAATAATAATTAACAATTTTGCCAATGCAAAGTCAAGGAAAAAATTTTTCTTAAAATAGAACATCTAAACATTTTACTTTTTACTATTATATTGAAGGCTTTCTTTATTCTGTAGATAATAATATACTATTAATTTTATTATACTTTGTACTCTATAATTTTGTAACTATAGAGTTATCATAGTTGTATACTTGTGACTTTTTTCATAACATTTTTAAATTAGAGGCCCCTAAATTTTTTAGAGTTCAACATCCGGCACTGTAAATATACTATAAATGTGTGTATTACTCTTGGAATAATATATTATTTTCTATTTCACTCTTTAAACTCTCTTCGAGAGGTTTAACTTCAAGGTCTTTAAAAAGGTTAAATTTGTATTTTTCTGTACACTTAACAACAAGATCACATGATTTTTCTCTAAAAAGTCAATTTTGTAATATAAAAAATTGCACTTCATTGATGAATGATTAAAAAATAAATGATATTTAAATAATATTATATTATGGAATAGCATTTTATTTTAAAACTTTCCTATACTTATTATTAGAATGAATTGCATAATTATCATTTGTAAAATGCAATGAACAAACAACAGCTAAATGAAATTAAACAAGCTCATAATAAACAGCTAAATATAAATATAACGATGAAATAATAGTGTAATTTATTTAGGATTCTGAAAAAATATGATAATGTTAATTAAGAGTTACTTGTTTTTACCAGAATCAAAATTTATTGGTTTTTTAGTTATTTGACCTAATCTTATTTGTTTTTCTCAGAATTTTCTTAAGACTGGATCTTTTGGAAATCGATTCAAGGTTACTTTTTTATTTTTTACCAATGATTTTTTTTTACTACCACTAATACAATCAAAAAACTCACAAACAGGCATTTTGTCATAAAAATATAAATTTAAGTAGAATTATGTAAGTATGTCAAGTTAAAATAAACGCTGTTCATTTTATTCAATATACCCGGCATAATCATTTCATATCAAATAATTTGCAAATTGATCATATTTGTTTATATTGTAGTATAGATATCACAATAGATTGATATCAATCAATAATAGTAAAAGGTATCATAAAAAACAATACAAAATATTAAAGTTGCTGTCAAGTATTTGATTTAAAGAATTGTATTTTGGCGGGCAAACCTACGGCCAATGAAATAAGGCGAACCACTACTATGTGTGAGAAGGGCGAGATGCGTTAAACGGTCCAAAACTCGTTTATTGCTGACATACCTATCTATTTTGTCATGGGATTAGTCTTGGGAAATATGAGCTATGCAGGTCCTGTTAAAGATGTTTTGAGAATATTTGTTAAATTATATAGATGCAAAACTTATGTAAAATATTCGTCCAATTAATTAAGTGGTGAGTGTTTAATTAAATAATCATTTAACAATTTTCTATTAACAATCACATTATTAAATATTATATATATGATCTCAGCACTCTGCAGAAGAATATTAATAAAACTCATTTTGTTTTTTTTTAAATGTTTTAATGTTAACAATTCGGAGTCATATTTAATTTTTAGTCTGTTGGTATAAACTTGTAATTGGATTTTTTTTTTTAGTTTTCAGTTTTATTTTTCAAAATGGTAAAACTAGTAGGTTATTGATACTTAATTAATAATTTTAAAAAATAGGTATCTCCATTAGTTAAAAAATGTTAACATTGTACACCATAGTAAATTAAGAAAATTATAAATTGATCCTAGTTTAAAATGTGTATTTAATATATTATAAAACAAAATCAATAATAATTATAATTAGGTATAACAAATATATTTCATCAAGTTTAAATTTAAATGTACATAAAAAAAAATTACATTGGATACAATTTTTTTAATATAAGCATTAACAGATGTTACTTTAGAGTTAAATTAGGATTAGTATTGATTTATAAATAGCTCATGTTGTTTTACGTGATCTTCTACTTTTCATTGAAGTAATACATTGTGGACAATACCATTTACCTTTAGGTGGATCTGTAATTCCAACACATTCACAGTGATACCATTCATAAGGGCACTAAAAAAAATGAGATATAATAATTTTATACAAAAAATATGAATTTTAAAAAAAATATTACTTTTATTTTGTATAAAACGTTAAATTTTTATGTATATTTTTTAAATATTTTAATATTATAATAAATGAGACAGGAGATTGCTAATTTTTCACATATTGTCTCATACATTACATAAAAATTCAATAAATCTTGAAGAATTATTTCTCTTACTCCTTTATTGTCGCAAGCAACCATTGTCCCATATGCAACTTGATTACATATACAATAACGAGGTTCATTTGGATCAATTGGTTCATCTGGGTCTTCTTCATTTGATAAATGTTGTGCTCCACCTCGTCTATATTGAGAAATAATTGAATTATATACCAAGACACATAAAAAATTTTTTTTTATAAAAACATATACCTTCTATGTTTTCTTGTTCCATCTATATTAGGGTTAACTAAATGAGCAACACCAGCTAATTCTTTACCTATGTGTAATTCAGAAGACAAGACATTCGGCGAAGAAGTTATTTGTCCTGTTAAAGGTGCGCCAGAATTTATTGCTTCTAAAGATGCTTTTAAACTAGCTGTTCTACGTCCCTGTGATAACTAAGGACATGTTTGAATTAAATTTTGAATTAAATTTCAAATAAAAAATTGTACCTGTTGAGTAGCTACAATAGCTTGAGAAGCTGCAGCAGCTATTGCTGGACTACCAGCGCCCATATGCCCCAGAGTGTAAGCTAAAGAACTAGACACGATTCTTGAGTTTGCTGGACTAGTATCACGATTAGATGGTGAAGCAACATCTCCGCTACTAGCAGAGTTTGATGTTATAGATGTAGATTTTTGTTTTGAGTTACTTACATTATTATGCATTTCTTGTTTTTCTAAAAGCAAATTTAATGATGTGTTAATACATAAATTTGAATTGTTTTTTTTTTAGTTCTATTTTCTCTAAATTTTTAATCATAAAGTATTTTTTATGTTTATACTATATACCTTACAAGGGTGTCAACTATATTTTTTCAAATACATTAGATAATGATCTAATTAAGAAAATTACTGGTTGATAACAACTTTTAGCCCATTATTTTTGATGTTATTAACAATTTAAAATAATCACTGGATATAAAAGTGCTTCTATTTTTAGAATTTTTATTTTAAAGTTTGTTAAATAATCCAAATTGCCATAAGTAAAATTTACCGAATTGTCAAGTTTTTCAAACAGTTAAAAAAATATTTCTACTTGGTTTCAATGGCAAAGGTATATATTATTTCTATGAGGATGGAAGAATCAATACAGCTAATACAGATTAATACAGCTAATCCCAGTAATTTTTATTGAATTTTAAAAAATGTTCATTTTAAAATTGTTTGCATCATTTGAAAAAAATTAAAGCTTATGATTCAATTCAAAAACATATTATTATTTTTTAATTATTGAATATATTTTAGTAATCTTGCATAAAAAATGATTAATGAGTTAAAAAGATGTTGAGTTCTGTTTTTTCTTCACTCTGTATTATTACTCTTTTGGTCACTACTAACTTTAAAAAATATTTTTTTAATTGAACTTTTTTGTTAGCTGCAGGTATGTTTTTACATATATACTAACACTACCTAAAGAAGATATAAGTATATGTAAATCTTAATTTATAGTTGTAAGTCAAAACGTAATTATATCAAAATTTAGGTATTTTTTAGGTCTTTCCTCCTTGGAAGTAGTTTAAGCCATAAATATACCTAAAAAAATAATAAAGACGAATATAATACTGTTCTATTAAATCATATTTTAATTTAAAATTAAATTCATTTTTATGTAATTATTTTATATTTAAATCAAATTAATCTTTGAAAATAGTGGCATATTTAGAGAGGCATGCCTTTTTACTTATTGAAGATGATCTTATGATAACATGAAAATATTTGTAGACCTTTTTTTTTATTTAAACTGCTCAAAATGATTAAAAACATTTATTAGTTTCTATAGTAGCTTGACAATTGAAAGTTTATTTTGTGCACCTTCTCACTTTTATGTATTTTTAAATATATTTGTAAATCAAATCTCATTAGAATTTAACTAGTATAAGTGATTTAGTTCAAACAAATTTCATATTTAGCATATACGTAAAAAGCAGGTAATTTCCACTGTAATGAAAACCTTTTTTTTATCATATAAGTAATATAACTTGATTACTTAGCTATATTGGGTAATTTTTAAGTAGTTTAATATAATTACCAAAAAATAAATAGATTTGTTAACACTGATATCAATAACTAAATTAAATATCATATCAGACAATCCATTGTAAACTAGCGTATGAAGATCAGAAGAGTTAAAGTTTTATTAAAATCATCTTAAGTCTTAAGATTCATATACCGTAGTAGTAAAAATTATATTTAGAATTATGACTATGTTATAAATAAAATGAAAACAACATTATGTAATCAAAATTTAGTTACAACATATTCTATAATATTACTGACTTCTCCAAAAATTTTACTACATGAATGTCCACAAAAGCATTGCCCAGGTTAGGGTTAACTTACCTTATGATAAAATTAATTATTTGTTGAAGATACTTTTTAATGTGAAAGGGGATGATTACAAAATATAAAACCGAGCCCTTTAAGATAATTTCTGTAACACACAGTTATGTTCAGAAAATATTGCAAAATGTACAACAAAACTGTTTGTACTCCATATACCTATTTATAATTAAAGAGTACAAGTAGAATTTATTTAAAAACTGTTTAGAAAAAGTTACAGTTAAGTTATTTATTTATTTTTTTTTTAAAAAAAATTCATTTGATTTAGTAAAAAATAAAAATTTATTACACCATGTTAATTTTAACAAAATGCTCATACAACGAAGTGGTCAATTAATTTTTACTAAAAATGAAACAGAACTAGACAAAATTAGTTCCATATTTAATAAAAACTTAATTATATTTTAAAATTAAAATTTTTTTTTTTTAATAATATACTTTGTTATAAATGGGATTTAATTTTTCAAAATTATTTAATTTGGTCATTAGTATAGGCTTTTATCAGTTTTTTTTTTTTTTATAAAAATATAGTTTAAATTGTGTTTTTAGCTTTGCTGTTATTTCGTTAAAAATGAAGTAACCATTTTTTAATATAACATTATTGTTAAATAGGAAGATATAATTTATTTTTAGTTTTGGTTAGAACCAAACGAGTTTATATAAAAATATGTTTTTTATCTATGACAAAAGTAAAAATAAAATTTTGTTTATAAATTTTATTAAATACTACTTAGTTATCTTGAGTAATAAATAAAGTTACACCCTAAATAATTAAATAAGATCAAACAATCAATTATTCATCTTGTACTATAAAATAGTACAGTGTAAAATAGCTAAAGATAGTATTACAGATAGCATGTAAGCCTATAAAAAAAATATATTTGCAATATGAAGTAAATATTTAAAAAAATTAGATTAAATCATAAATTTGTTTTAATGACTCTTTAAAATAATTGAATTATTAATTATTTTTCTGTTACAAGCCAGATTTATAAGCTTTAAAACAAGATCCTAACACTATTAGAATTATTTAAGTTTCTATTATTTCATAAACTGTCATGTTATTTTATAATTGTATTAATAGCTGATATATTTTTAAAATATAATAAACTATAAATTTATATATATAAATATAGAAAAAAAAGAAGACATTTCATTACACTTTATCCTACACTAATGAAAAACAATAGTTAAGGTAATTTTTAATATTAATAAAGAATCCTAATAATAATCTCGGATATTTTAAATTAGCTATCCATAAATGTGTATTGATATAAATACCAATGCTGTAAACTTAATAATAAGAAGATTAACAGTGTTTCTAAAAGTAAATCATAAAGCAAATAGTATTTTACAGATTTTTATAATTAAAACAAATTTAATATAATAATGTGATAATAGGAACTTTAGACCTTACTTCACAGTTCTAAATTAAAATTATTTAACAATATTTTCTACAAATAAAATCAGAAAGCACCAAAAATAAAAAATGTATTTATCACAAGCACATGCATATTATATACTTAACCTACCTCCAAAAAGACATCTGTTAAGTTGAAATTTGTTTTCTTTTTGATTAGAAACACTATTTTGTTCAGAATCTAAACTTCCTAAACAGATAAAAAATATTTTTTTAAACATTAAATAAAAAAAATTAATTAAATAATTGTATTGATAATTAACATTATTTAGTGGAATACATTTTAATTATTAACACAAAAAAGATGAAGTGTAAGACTACATTTTGTCTTGATAAATGAAAAATTGCCTGATAATGAAGATAATCCAACTAGATGAATTATCCATAATATTTATGGGTAGTAGTAAAAACACCAATAAGATTAAGAAAAATACTTTGTTTCAGTTTAAATGTGATTTTAGTTAACATTTTTGTATTATGGAAAAAAAACCATCACAGTGGAGATACAACATAGTAGAGACAAGTTAAGATTATGTCTGATAGTTATTATATCTTAATAATAAATACTTTGACCCAAATTTGTAAATTTTGTATACTTTTTAGAAAGAATTATGTATTATTTCAAAAGCAACATGTAGTCCTAATTTTTTAATTATATCCTTATAACTAATTTTATAATTTATGATATGTACAATATATGAATAAATATTTATTATAATTAGACTGGAGGTTTATGCAGTAATAACTTTTCACTAGATTATAATAATTAATAAATATCTAAAAGTTTTTTTAGTGTCTAATTCATTTATTAACTACATATAAAAATATGCAAAACCATGCGAAAATGTAAAGTTGATATTGTAAACGTAGTTCAAACAAATCTACTTTTGACTGTTTATTTTTGAATCATTCGTTCATGAATGTATCCATTCAGATTTTATTTTATATAGGTTTATATGGCAAACATTGTTCATAAACACATTCATATTGTATAAAATATCGAACAGATGACTGTTTAGAAGAATAGAAAACATTCGTTCACAACAGATTTTAGGAATTATTTGATAGTGAATAATTGATTGAATAGACGAGTCATTTATAACAATAAAAAGGTTTGACTATTATACTTATCTTTTAAATAAACATATTATACATAAATATATGTTTTATGCAAAATATGCAGATATATGTTTTTACATAAATTTTAGCAGTCTAATTATAATAAATTATTTAGTATGAAATTGTTATTTTTATAGAAAAATCATAATAAGTTATTAAGTAATGTATTTCATTTTTACTATGGCAAATGTGTAATAAAATTGTAAATATGGGTTTATCAAAAAAAAAAAAATTAACTTTCTTAATTCAGTTACTTGGACTTTCATTAATTAATTATTATCTCAGTCATGATGAAATTGAATTTGTATTTTATCATAAACCATTAGTAGCTAAAACATTTTATTTAAAAAGGACAGCTCCCTTTTTTAAGATTCTTATTGGATAGACATTAAAAACCACAAAAATCCTTCCTAAAATATTTATAATTAACAATTGAATTTTTATTACTATTTTTTTTTGTATATTATATAAAATTTATTCAAAATATGTTGAAGTAGATAAATTTGTATTCTTTAACTCATTAAAGACTTATTATTTTATAATAGAGTATTTAATATAGTATATATACTTTTATTATAGTATTGTAGCTTACTTTTTTCAATAAGACCAGTTATTCCACTATTATCAGCCTCTAATTCCATTTTAAATTTATGCAATTCATGATCTAAACGTCTCATGTATTTAGTCATAAGTTCATGCATATGGTTAGCTAACTGAACTTTTTCTTCTAAAAATAATAATTTAATAAAATATTTTACTCAAAAATGTTTATTCAGAAGACATGTAGATAAAAATTACTAGAGAATAATAAAGCTATTTCTACCTTTAATCTTCATTAAAGGTAGCATACTCGTTTCTATGCAAATCCTAACTATATTTCATTTTACTCATAGAATATTGATTTCAATAAAAATTGAATAAAGAAACTTGATGATATAACTCCATTAAAAAATCAAACATATATTTGTTTTTTAGTCTAATAACCAGATTAAAAATCATCTATATTTTAAGAGGCAAAAAAAAAAAATGTTTTCAACAAAGAATTTTTTGCCATTCTAAATATATTGATATAAAAAATATGATAGACATCAAAATATTATAAACTTCTGATGTTGATTAAATAGTTTTTTTTTAATTTAATAAATAACAATATAATAAAATCATTAGTGTTTTGATATATACACACAAGTATACAGTATATACTCACTGAGTATTACTCAGTTTGGACTTAGAAAATTAATGCATATCCTGTAAAAATACTAGAAATAAACGAGTATTATCTTTTTTATGTTTTTTAATCTTTAAATAAGTAAAAAAATTATTACTGCCACATCATTTTTATATATATAATGTATTTAAAATATAGAAATCAAATTAAAATAATCATAAGTATTTCAATTTAATACTTTAATTTTAAAAAATTTCAGAAGGAGAAAATTTGAGACCCTTTTAAATAAGTAATTGATGTCAAAATATATAGATTTTTTGAGAATTAGGGATGTTATAAAAAGGTAGGATGCCATTCCTGAAACTACAAGTTTTTAATTTTTGAAACAAAAAATTTTTACCAGACTGCTCAACAGATTTCTCTCCTTCTTTTAAAATTGCTTTAAAATTTGTACTTAATTCATCTGGATTCATATTATCTGCCTTTGAAAACAACGTTTCTATATTTTTTTTAATACAGTCCATTGAATCTACAGATATATATTGTATAAATTTAATATTACAATAAATTAACTTATTCCAATATACATATGATAAAAATTGATCACTTGTGACTAATTAATTAAGTAAAATTAAAACTATATTAAAAATATTATTAATTTAAAAAAACTAAAAATATTAAACTCAAAGCCACAAAAAATTAATAAAAAGTCGCGGATACGTATTTCGGAAACAATGTTACCATTATCAACGCTAAACACATACTGTTAATGTTAAGTATGTGTACATACTTAAATACGTATCCGTGACTTTTCATTAATTTTTTGTGGCTTTGAGTTTAATATTTTTAGTTTTTTTAAATTAATAATATTTTTAATATAGTTTTAATTCTAATATACAATTAAGAATATACTCAGATTTAGATTTTAAGTGAAAAAAAAGTTATTCCACTTGAAAATTATCAAGTAAATCATTTTTCTAGAACAAATAAAAGATATTCCATAACTTTACAACATTATATTTAGTAAATTATAAACCTTTAGACAATACAATTATTAATAGAAAAAATTATCCAGGAATAATAAAATAAATATAAATTTTTAGACTCAATTTCATACATTAGTAAAATTGTAATGAATAATATGAATATCTATATAATAGCTAACTAATTACTTTCAACTTGTAAATCCATTTCTCTCATTTCAGTAAAACGATTTCTCATTTCTTGAGGTAAGTGTTCAATGTCTGAAAATTAAAAAAAAAACATTATCGATTAAACGCGTTTTGAAAATTTAAAATAAATATTTTCTTATATTAAAACATACTCTCCAAATAATCTTCTAAGTAAAGCATCTTTATGATTTAGATAATTAAAATCGAGCAAATGTTTTATCATCAAATATATTGCCTTAAGTTATGGTTCTAGTAAATATAAAAATTAATAAAATCTGTTATTTTAATCAGAGACACTCAACATAATATGTTATTTTAAATTAGAAATTATCTGATTAAAAAACACTATTAACATTTTATCGCTCATAACTTATCATAAAAGTATTGCTTACAATTTTGAAGTTGTAAACAAACGTTTATTTTATATACGTTTAATATTGATAAAAGTGCATTATAAAAATAGACATATCCACACATTGAGAGTGATAATATTTATAGTCATAAATTTGAACGAACAATAGCGTGGCAGGCAAATTCTACAATGCTGCTGTATCTTTCCACAAAACAATTCTCCTGTTTCTTCTAGCTTCCGTATTTCTGTTGAAATAGATTTATTAAATATTATGCATAATCAGATTCTAGTAGCTTTAAACGCTCTAAAAAAATTAGTCCTAATGTTAAGCTATATCAAAATGGAAGGTTTTCAAAGTTTTTTGTTGCTATTAGACTAACTTACTCTGATTTTTTTATTGCTCATAAAATCTGTATATTTTGCAGAATTAAAAAAGAAAAAAATGATATCAACGATAACCTGACTGAAAAAAAGGTAAAATTTCAATTAAGATGAAATTTAATTTAGTGTGCCAAAACTTAAAAAAATGAATACAACTATGATAAAATTATTATTATCTTTTAAGTAAGTCAGTATCTGCATAAAATTGGTATTAAAAATCATTAGTTATTACATGAGACATAGTTGAGTGCATAATACGATTATCAGTTTCACTGATAATGTATCACATTTCATTGTAAACCCAAATAGTTCAATATTTTTCTAGTCATATAGTAACACTTTCACAGCCAACATGAAATTAAATAACATTTTGTGTATGTTATTGTAAAAACCAATTTAACTAATGGTAATTAACTAAAAAAGTAACATTTTGGTAATAGTAAAATTTTTTTTAACGTTTTACTATTTTTTTAATTTAAGTTAACCTCACGAATTTTTTTTTAAAAAAAATTTTATAATTAAAATTATCATCTCTTTATACTATCCTAAACAGTTTCCATTGATGATCTAAGGAAATAGTATGAAAATTTTCATCTTTCCATCATATGCTGAAATAACATAATTTAGGATTTAATCATTTTTATTCAAGTAAACTTGATGATTTTTGTTTTTTATTCATTAAAAAAGTAAAGTTTAAAGTTAAAATGAATTTTATATAACCCTTTATGTAACATGTATATATATATATCAAATATTTATATTATTTTAACAAAAATTTGTTGTATTTTTATTTATAATAAAAGTAATATTGTTACAACAAATTATTTCTTATGCTCTTAATATAAAAAATTTCGATGTGACAAAATATTACATCTGTCCCTTGAATGTTTTTATATTGTCAGTTGAAGCATAAAGTTATAACATTATGCCTTAATGACTTTGATAGCCATTTCTGTTAAAGTATATTGTACCTTTTATGATTAAATATGTTTAAATATATATAAACATGTTATTTTAATAATTTTTTTTTTTTTGAGGTTGCTATGATAGATTTTAAAGTTCCTTCTAGCCCCCTAAATTGCAACTATGTATACTATGTTTATTATTACATTACATAATTTTCAAATCTATAAATAATAGTTCATGTTGTTAAAGATAGGATAGATAAAGTGAACACATAAAAATTTGAATTTTTAAATTTTTTAACTCAATAAATACTTAATCACATGTTTGAATTATCATTCTAGCCCTAAGATATTTAATGTGTGCTAAAGAGTTTAAATTTGCATCTTCTTTATCTGAATATTTGGTTATAATTGAATTGGCATTTTCTTGGATCATAGAACGGCATCTACCTTTTATAGTTTGTAAATACTCTAATAAAATATCAAAATGTTCCTTAGTGATCTGAAAATAAAAAAAAAATGTTATTTAAATCAATATATATCAGTAAAAAATACAGATTAATGTGATTATCAGGGTTTGTAAAGAAAAAACCAATCCAAAAAACCAAATGGGTTTTCCTGGGATATATCCTGATAAATTTTTCAAAAACCCGGTTTATTATTTTTTTTTTTGCAAGTTTTCTTTAGACAAAGAAACATTTGTGTTCATAATATTTTATTTGAAACAAAAAGTTATTTATTTCCTTTTTATTGTAATTAATGTTTAAAAAATTTAAAAAACCAATATTTTAATTCTAATACTATCAGTGTTATCAGATGTTTATTTTTAGTATTTGACAATATAAAAAATTATAGAGGCTTTAATTAAAGCCTCTAAAAATCCGTAAAAATTACGGATAAAACTGTGTCGGGCAATCAATTAATTCAAAACCCAGTGAGTTTTTTTTTTTATAATATCATAAAAAGTCCTGGCATCTAAGGTTTTTCAAATGTTTACGTTTTTAAACCTAAACCTGATAAGTATACATAATTTATTTTGTTTATCTATATTTATATGAAAATAATTTAGAAAATATTATCTAGAAAATGTTACTTTCAATATCACCTTTTAAGAAACAAATAATACCAAAAAACTCTCCCTTGATAATTTACATATGTTAAATAATGATTTTAAAATTTACTCACAATTACATACAATATAGATATTTAAAAATTATGCAAATCACACAATTCATAAGCTTAGTTTTTTTTACCTTAATAGAATCATACATGTTTTTAATCAACCACACTTGAAAAATTTTCTTGAATTTCCAAATATTTCTGTCATTTTTCCATTCTAATAAATACTCAATAGCTCGTTCTTGCCTGGAAGAACTTGCAGCTCCATCTTCTTCTTGCTTCTTAGCATTTTTTTCTTTCTTTTTTTTTAATTTTAACTTTTTTAAATAATTTAATTTTTTTCGTTTATTTAAGCTCAAAGGTTTTATATTTCCTGCAGTACATTTTTCATTATCATTTTTTACATCCGAAGCAAAAGTTACTTTTTTCTTCTTCAATGTATGATCTGCATTACTGTCATTTTCCACCATATTACATTTTGATTTAGTATTATTTTCATTAATGTTTAACTTTATACCAGATTCAGTACAGTTGTAGACTGAATCCGTAATAGAAGTTTCAGGATCAATTTTTAAATAATTTTCAGTCCATTTGGAAGTAGTGTTTGCATTGGTGCTTTTTTTTCTTGATGAAGTAAATGACTTATTTGGTTTATGTTTCTTTAGTTTACTTTTTAAAATAGATTTAACAGACATTATGAATATAATTAATAATTAATAACAAATGTATCTCATGGATTTACAGTAATCTTTCTATATGACTTAAGCAAAATATTCAAATGTAGCAAAAATTAAGAAATATAAAAAAAAATTAATAATTGATATGACGATGTAAAATTTAAGGTATACTTTAATAGCATAATTATAAAATTAATTATTAGCATTAAATAGAGCTGGAATAAATATTCGGTTATATTTTTAATCAATGTAAACAAAATTATGAAATACTTGATAACAACATCTACAGAAATGAAGTATGTTCCATTATGGAGTAATAATAATAGGTACATAATTAAGTTTGTTAATCATCGCTGAGGTGGACATTTTTTTTGGAATAAAGGGGAGATATCATTTTTTGTAACCATAATTCATTATACTTTTTCATTTCTTAATTAAAATATTCAAAGATTTTGGATAGCAGTTACACTACGATTTTTAATTTTCATGATAATATGATAAGATAAACCCTGATGATGCACTTTTTGACTTACTCATAACTGGAACAATAGTAAAATGAATAAGAAGTATTCCCGATCATAGTCCGCATTTTCGTTGTACTACGCGCATATGCATCACTTGTGTTTTTGTTAATTCGTATACGATAGGGTGAAATACGACCGCCAACAAATGCACTTTAAAATCACTCATTTTTAAATTGATAATTCCGATATAATATCAATGATAGACATAATTTTTAAGTAATAATTACATTAATAACTTTAAGACAATGCATTGTAATATTATATTTTAATAAGTTTAATTGTAGATACTTATTTTAGATTTTATGTATACTTTTTTGTAACTTTAATATTTTAATGAAAAATTACGATTGTATACCTTGTTAATTCAACGTGACTTATATTAACTAGTGGACAGACTTCTTTTTTCATTTTCTAACATTGAATTAACACCACTTTAACATGCTAATAGTTCTTATTATTTGCATGAAATTGTGGTATTTTATTCTTTTCTCTTCTTTGTGACTCATAGTAGAGATTTGTAACTTTTTAGTCTATATTTGAGTATTTTAATTTCGATGCGAAGCTGAGAAGGTATTAGTTTTACTATGATGTGTTTTTTTTTTAATTTTTTTAGTGTCTGTAATTACTTTTTCTCAGCTCTCACCGAACCGATTTCTTTCAACGATACGTCAAAATATCACAAATCGTATCTAGTCGAAGACATTACCTTCAAAAATTGAAAAAAAATTCTCTCGTTCCCCTTAAATAGGAGAAATCTCCAAAAATATTACAAATTTAAAATTCGCTAATTTTCAACATTTTTTCAATTGTTTTTACTTAAAACTGCCATAACTTTTTTAAAAATTACTAAATCAATATAATTTTTTTTTCTACATAACGATGTCTTTACCTATCATTTGATATATTCTTTTTATAAATCTGAACCTATACCTGCTCACAAGGGAATTCAAAATGTCACATTTTAATTTAACTTTTGAAAGTTTTCCGGAAAGTGACACTTTTATATATATCTTAAAATAAGGCTAATGTAATATACTTTATTATGTCTTCACGGTGAAAATAGTTTTTATATTTTACATTTTTAACTTTATAATGCTATAGCTTATTGAAAACTGTATGGATCAATACAATTTTTCTATGAGAAATAATATTTATATCCCTCTTTCATTCGACATACTTTATCTTAATTATGATATAAATACGGAAATAAGAAATCATGTAGCTTTTAGAATAATCAACCAATTTTTTAAAATTATACACTATCTAAAGATTTGCATCGAAGCGTTTTTTATGATAGTGATTTTAATCACTGTCAGATATCATTATACTTGACCCAAATATGCTACGTCACCTTTGTGCCGCGATCCCTTTATGCTGGATTTTCTTGTTTGATGCTGTTTAATAAAAGTTTTTCAAATCGACTTTGTGTATAGTGATTATAAACAATGTCTGTTTAAAAAATTATAAATAAGTGTCAATTATGTCAATTGACACATATTTTTAATTTTTTTTATATTTTGCAAAAATGCCTACTTCTCACAGTTTATAAGTGCATCGGTTCTGGTGGTAAGATTCATTGTCAGCTTTTGGTGTCAATTTATAATATAAATTAATCTGCAGTATTGCTATGTATTATTATATTTAAATTAATTAATAAAAGGATTGTTGCTATGTATGTAGAAGATGCATAATAAAAGTTTACTATGTCTACCATCAAGTGTAATACAACTCATTAGTAAATAAAACTTTGGTGCAATTTTATATTAATAAACGAGTAGTATTGATTTGGTAAAAATCTATACTTAAATCATAAACTATTTTACTTTATAAAATACCAAAATGATCTATAAGGGATCTGCAATTATTGTAATAGTATTTTCCTAGAGTAACAGAATAAAATTTAAATTGTTTACACAATTTCAATAAAATTAGTCATTCTTATAACTTGAAAATATAATTATTATTTATATAATTATTTTAATAATTTTTATTTTAACTTCGGTGGTTGTTTATATATAGAAGACAATTCGTCAGGATAAATTTTTTTTGTCAACTTATAGTATATTATATAATCTTTAATTAATATGTGTTTAATGGCACAACATTTCTGGAAAATTGTCAAAACTTAAGTTGAAAAAGTTCCACTTTTTTTCATGTATACTTCAAGTGTTGAATCCTCTGTATAAGGTGAAATAGTCTAATTTAAAAAAGTAATGTTTGATGAAAGAGATATGTATAAAGTATTTATAAAAAAAATATATATTTTTCAAAAAGTTAAAAATATGTAGAAAAAAAAAACAAAAATTTAACATTTGTTTAAATAGTTAAAAAATTTAAGTTCAAAAGTTGTTATTTTGAATCCTCCTATAGGAGAAGGTAAAGGGTCAGATTTTTAAGAAAATATAGATCTAATGAAAGGAAACACCCAAGGTATTTAAAAAAACAGGTTAAAAAAATGTCAACATTTATCGAAATCTAAAATTGTAATTTTTTTGGCGATTTCTCCAATTTACAGGGAATGAGGGAAATTTTTTTAATAAAAAATAAAATGTCATCAACTGGATAAAATTTGTCAACTTTTGACATATAATTCATAAAAATCAACCTGAGAGCTGAGAAAAAGTGGCGACAGAATAAACGAAATTAATACCTACTTAGCTTCGCATAAAAGCTTAATGCTATATAATGATACTAGTGATAACATCATACAGATAAGATGAAATTAAATACTAAAAGTTATTAAGAGAAAAATTGTGATATCACTAATTAACTAAAATAAAATATTGACACTGTAATATCGATATTTTTCTTCAAATTTTAATAAATCGATATTTAGAATTTTTTTTGTTATTCCTATCTGTGGAACAATGTTTATTTATTTTTAGGAAGTCTCCTATCATTACTTTTATATTTTATTCGGTGAATTTCTTACTTTAAGTTCTCTATGTAAATTACCCTATTTATGAAAATGATTTCGAAGTACTCAATTTTATTACCAACGTATAATGAAAAAGAAAATTTACCTGTAATTGTTTATTTAATTCACAAATATTTAGAACACTGGTAAATATAATGTATTAATTTTTAATTATTACTGTTAGGTATTTAAAGTAATTTATTAATTTAGTCATATAATAGTGTATTATAAAATGTATTTATCTGACTAATAATTCTTTCCTATTGAATAAAGAAATGTTTTACTATCAATAGCAAATATGGTTTTAAATTTTAATAGTTATATTAATTTATTATGGTTAGTTGGTTAATAACTTTTAATAATAACAAAGATAATAATTTTATTTATCATTAATATCTTGCTTTAAAAACTCATCAAACTTTTTAGTTGTAACTATTTCATACACTAACTTTGATATTAGCTCTTTATTTTAAAAGATGGATTATTCATTGTCTCTGTTTTACTTTGATATTTGTTTTAGCTAAATAATTTAAATTGAAGAAATTAAAAAATAAATAGTGTGAGCACTTTATTTTTTATATAGTTCAACAATTAACAATAACCTGTTAAATATAAAAAATTTTTGAAAAATAAACGAAGTATTTTTTATAGGTATTTACAAAGGTAAATCATTTATCATGAACCACGTATTTAATAAAAAAACAATAATTTTGACAATTTTAGGTACATATTTTTCTCAATTTTTTTTTATGTTCATTTCTTATATCTTATAAGGAGGTCAAGTTTATTTTTCAAATGGCAATATACATAATTAACTAGTTTGTTTATTATAATAATAATAGATCTTATTATGAAAATGACTGGTTGATAATAAATTTCAGATCAGTATTACAGAAATTATTAAGATTTAAAGTGATAGCTGGAGGTAAATGGCAGTTCTGTGATGCAAAAGGAAATAATAAAGAGCCCTGGGGGTACTAAAATTATATTATGCTCAAAAACCTATGTTGGCTCTGCATCTACATTCCTTAGTATCATTCCTTAAATTATTACTTACTAGTCATGATAAATGAATTAGCTTGTTTAACTATATTATGTAAATAATATAAGTATACATTTAAAAAAAATGTATATAATTTTTAATTAAATGAGTTCTAAAATTTTTTTTATTTTAAAATTATAATTAAAAAATTTTTAGAATACAAGAGAATTTATCTTATCACCCAAGTTGTTTGGTGAAAATTTTTTATATTTTCCAATAGTAACTCAGTTGTATTATTTATCAATAATTTATAAGCAATATATTAATAATATTAAAATAATCAAAATAGTAAGTTTTATTTTTTATTAATAATGTGTTTTTTAAACTTAATTTAAATAAATGTTTAAGTTAGAAGTTTATTATCTACATTTTTTATCCTTAAATAATCCTAACTAAGTATTCCTATTTTCAGTGGTGTAATGTAACATGTGTATCACAAAAAGTTTAGTTTTTAACTACTTTTCTGATGATAATCAAATAAAATTTCTTTAGTCAAAATGGATCCTGAGAAAAGTAAAATTCTTAATAAAATAATTCCTCTTTTCCCATCTTTGTCAAACCAAAATAGCTCAATTTCTTCAGAAGTAAATGAATTATATTATTCAGATTCAGAAGGATCAAAGCTACATATAATGCCTCAGTACAACAGTTTTCTCTCTAATTCAAACTTGAAACATTTTCAATCTAAAGATCTATTAGCTACAAGTAGTCCTATAACCAATAAAATTTCTTTAAAAACTAATAAACTCAATTATAAATCATTTCATACAACAAATAATGATTACCTATCTTTTTCTATAAATTCTAATATAAAGAATATTTCTAGTAGTAAATCCCCTAAAAAAAACTCAAAATTATTTGTTCAAAATAATAAGTGCTCATTGTCAACAATTTCTTTGGTACCATCTATGAGTCAAGAAAATATCATTCAAAATAACTTACAGCCTTCTCTTTGTCAAGTGATAAAAAAAAATCCTCAAATTGAACATTTTACTCAGTTGAAGAACTGTAATGTATCAGATGATTTATCTAAATGTAATCTAATTAAAACTTTAGATGATATTAAAATAAATAAACTTGGAAATGAAATATGTCATAAAGAAGCTTGTATAACTGAACCAAAAAGAAATTTTGAAGGAATATTGAATAAAATTTTTGAATTACCTGATAATATATCTAAAGAAGATCTGGCAAACATATCTGGATATAATGATTTGTATAGTGCTTTGAGTAACACTATTAATATCAATCTTGAACAAAAACAATACAGTACCTCAGCTTTTTCAGTGAACAGTGATGTACCTCATAATATTTCTACTGAAAGTTCTAATTATTTTCATCTTGCAAAGAATTTAAAACAAGAAGCTATTTCATGTTCTAAATTCAAAACATTAAATTATGACATTATGGATGAAAATGAGTGTGCTGAATTAATACAATATGAAATAGATCTAAAAATGTTTAGTAGTAATATTATTCCGTATATGAATAGTTTGAAATTTGATATCCTGTTTTTGAAAAATAAACAAAATTTTATCCCTTCAAAAAAAGTTTTGAGAGGTGTAGCTTGTACAAATGATACTTTGAAAAGTATAAAAAATTGTTTGTCATTATACAGTTTAGACAACAATAACATAGATACAGATTTTGTAAATAATACTTTTTTAGATGCAGTTAAAAGTACATCGGACAATACAAATATTTTTGAACTTAATGACATAAGTAATAAAATTAAATATGTTGAAAAACTTAAAGAACAATTGAAATTTTATTTTGGTTTTGAAATGTCCAATAATCATAGTAAAATAACAATTAATACTCCTGATGAATTATCAAAACATTCTACAGAAATTTTAAATTGTTCATCACAAGTATCTAGCATATTAATGAGAAATTCTAATAATAAAGAAGAGCTACAAATTTTACAAAACAATTCTATTGAGGCTAAAGATTTATCATACCTATTACCTGTAAATTATGATAACATTTCCAATCAATCCCCAGAACTTCCAAGCAAAGAAAATTCTATCTTAATAGAATTTGATAGGGTTAATATTAATGATAATCAAAGCTTAAGTACTGTGAAAAATAGTAGTAGTAATAATGTTTCAAAAAGAAAAATAAGTTTTCTTTCTAATGATGAAAATGAGAATAAAAAGCGCTATTCATTAAGAAGTTTTCCTAAGCAGACCAATCGTTTTATTGAAGAAATTAAAACTATTACTATAAAAAAAAGGAAAAAAAAATTTAAAAATAAAGATAAGTTAATCATCATAAAAGGAATTGGAAAAAATCAAAAATTAATTCATTATAGAGCTTATTCCACTTTAAACCAAAAAGATATCAATATTAAAATTAATAACAAAAATGCTAATAATTCTCTTGATATAATAAATAAGAATTCTAAACTTTGTTGTTGTGGTATTTATAAATCTCAAATTCCTTGTTCCTGGTCTAAACAATTACATGCTGAAATACATGATAATTTACAAAAAATTTTGTGTAAAGATATATCTCTTAAAAATGCTAATCAAGTAAGCATAAATGGATCTATTTACTTTATAGTAAAAATTTGTAATAGTAACTTAAATGACAAAAATATAATAAAAACTGTAAGTAATGTTAGACAATTTATAAGTTTAGAATTAGATAATACTAAAAAAAAGAGAACTTTTTCTAAATCAAACTATGCAATATATTTGGCTGTGCATCCTAACTTGACTGTTGTTGGATATTTGGAAGTAGAAAAGTTAACTAAAGCTTGTACTCTTATTAATGGTAAATTTACAAATGATTTAGTTTCTGTGAAATTTGGAGTTACAAAATTATGGGTAATGGTAAGTTTTAGAAGAAATGGAATTGCTACTAAATTGCTCCAACAGTTTCAAAAGGATGAACAACTAAATTTAAAAGACATTGCATTTACTTATGATGGACTTAATGGTCTTAATTTTATCAAGAAATATTTTTCTAATGAATCTATACAAGTTTATTAATGTTTTTTTTTTTAAATAAATTTTTGTAAAATTTCTACTTTTTATTTATTTTAACACAATCGCTTGTTTGTATTTTATTTTATTATGCATAAAATGTCAATAAGTTTATATACAAATAAATGTATTTACTTTTATCATTGCAGAGACTTAAGTTTAATCAGAATTTAAAATATTCAATCGAAATTCATAAGTAAATTATTTATGTGAACTAATTTTTTTTTTTAATATTTGAAAAAATGTATAGTTATAAAATTATTAAAATCACATGGTACAAAAAAAGTTTTCAATTTTTAATTAATAGAATTCAGTCAACTTTATTTTCCTTAGACATTTTATTGAATTATCTCATAAAAGGACATATCTCATGTCCTACCTTATTTTAGCACTCACTCAATTACAAAATTTAGCCTCCATGTATGATAAGTTGATTTAACTTCCTATTTTTAATCCAGTATAAAAATATTTGTATTTATAAAAACAAATAGTTTAAATTCAGGCATATTTTAATTTATATTATTGAATCTTTTTTTACATCCAAATCAATATCAATTAAAAACAGAACTTTGATTGTAGTGCGATTGATTATGAAATTATCATAATAGATGATGGTAGCCCAGATGGGACATTAGAAATTGCCAAACAATTAGAAACTATTTATGGCAAGAAGAAAATTGTGAGTTATTAATCTTTTTTTCATATAGTTTATAATTATATTATTTTTGATAATTTTTTTTTTATTTAGATATTGAGACCACGTGAAAAGAAACTTGGATTAGGCACAGCATACATACATGGTATTAAACATGCTACAGGAAACTTTATTATTATAATGGATGCTGACTTATCACACCATGTAAATTAAATCATTTTATGTAGTTAAGAATTTTTTTTATGTTAAAATTAAAAAATGACATAAAATTAGAAAAATAGTATGCATCTATTAATATTATGTTCGAATTTATAGCCTAAGTTCATTCTTGATTTTATAAAGAAACAAGCTGAAAAAAATTATGATGTAGTGACTGGATCTAGATACATTGGAAATGGTGGAGTATATGGTTGGGATTTTAAAAGAAAGTTAGTAAGTCGTGGAGCTAACTTTGTCACCCAGTTATTATTGAGACCAAAAGTATCTGATCTCACTGGGAGTTTTAGGTAATCAAACATTTTATAATGTGGTAGTTATTAAAAAAATTATGTGCTACATGAAGAGTACAGAAGTAGTATACTTTTGTAAATTTTACATTTATAGGAGAACAAAAAAAAGTCATAAACTCCTATCTATTTAATAATAATACACTTTAATATCAACAAAATAAAAACATTTTTCATCAAATGGTAACCATTACTTAATACTACTGCTAATTGGCTATCAAATTTAAACCACAAAATAAAAAAAAATTAACTACTGCCATTTTTTCCTTGTACCCTTCATATGATAATCAATATTTTAGTTTTTTATTTAACAGCATGTCTTTATTTTTGAACATCTTTAATATAAGAATCAGATAATGTATTTAAAAAATTATTTATATTGATCCAGTTATTTTTTATTTTTGCTTAATTTTTTTAAATAAAATATCAATTTGTACCTAAGATTATTTTTTTGTACAAAAATATATAAATAGGTGGTATAACTGCATATTGTGAAAACATTTCTTATGTTGTACTATATATATATATATATATATATTTATATAAAAGGTTTCATTGATGAATTACAATAACTCTACGAAATAATTTCAAAGTTAAAAATCAATCTTCTAGAATTCTTAAAAACAAATTTTAAACATGAAATAGAAAAATTTATCTGTTAAAAATATAATAAGATAATGCTATAATAAAAATGATTTGTTGAACATTTAAAAGAATTTGACTATAACAGGAAAAATAACTTTTAATGAGTGACAAAAAAAGTTACCTTACTATGGTATTTAGATTTACTATAGTATGCTGTTTTCTTAATTTAATTCAGTAAAAATATTTTGATTTTTGTAGACTGTATAAAAAATCAGTTCTAGAAGAGTTAATTCAATCATGTGTATCCAAAGGTTATGTATTTCAAATGGAAATGATAATACGGGCAAGACAATTAAATTTTACAATAGGTGAAGTTCCAATAACATTTGTTGATCGTGTGTATGGTGAATCAAAATTAGGTGGATCAGAAATTATTCAATTTGTTAAGGCTTTATTACATTTATTTGCTACTACTTAGCTTACTATTTTATAATTAATTTTAACTATGATGATGTTTTTAATAATGTTAAAGAAAATATTTACACAAAAGTTAAATGAAAGTCGGAAAATTTAAAAAGGTTTATAATTGCAATCATTATACAATTTTTAGATAATATTTCTTTTTTTATAATTCAAAAAGAATTTAATGTATTTAATATTAAAAATAATGTTTTTTTACAGTTTCATTGATTAAATTTTTATTTTACTGATTGATTGTTAGCCTGGAGGCCAGCTTAATTGTCGGCCCCCAAGTACATGAAGATGTAGATGATAAACTGATTGAGCTCCATCCTTTCCATTATTAACAACTAAACGAAAACCATTACCTAAACCTTGTTCTTTTGCCAATTTGCTAGCAACTAACATTAAATGTCCAAGCAACTAAAATTCATACAAATTATATATATTATGAACTACTTAAGATAAATAAGGATGTTGTTCAACTTACTGATTCATCTGAGCTATTCGCTGAAGACAACATTTCTATAGGTTTTCTGGGTATAACCAAAAAATGAACAGGAGCTTGAGCATTAATATCATGAAATGCTACACACTAAAATTATAGAATAGTAATTATTAAACATAATTAATTGATTTTTTTTTAAGTAAGGCTTTTTAAATTTGTAGTATTTGCTTTCAAGTAAGTGATACTTGCATTTAAAAACATTTGCCGCTTAGTACAAAATCATAGTTAATACTTTTTATTAACCTTTTTTTTGCTTATTATATTATTTAAAAACAGAATAACAGCCATTTTCTTGTTTACAATTTTTATATGATTTCTCAATGGAATTTTTAAAATGATTCAGAATATAGTTTTATATTTTTATTAACGCATTTTGTTTTAGGGATAATTAATAATTAGTAATTAATTGAGAATTAAACTATAAGGTTATCATATAAAATATAATAGTAATAAATAAAAATAATTTATTAAATAATAAAGTATAAAAACATTTTTAGAAAAAAAAAAGTACATCTTTAAGAAATTATTCAAGGACAAGATAGCACCTCTCCATTTTTACACAGTTATACAATAACTTATCATACAAAATACCTAAATAAATCATTGTATTTATCATTAAAATATATATAAGATTGTATTATATCTATGCTTTAATTACTTCAAAATAAAACAATAATGAAAAGTATATATATATATATAAACAATATATGTTTCGTATTATCGAGATTTTCTTGTATTTTTTGTAATACCAGCAATTTTTTAGCTTTATACTAACTAAAAATACACAAAATTAATAATTTTAAATTCCTTATACAATTTTATATTTGCAGTTTAAAGTTTCTTGGTTATAAGTAAAACAAAAAAAAAAGTTATACTCAAAAGTAAAGCTTTTATTTCATAATAAAATTTTCAGCTATAAAAAAACTTAAAATTGGTTAAAGATTATGGAATAACCCCAAATTTTGCATGTTTTTTGTAAAACATTAAATCATTTTAGAAAAGATAAAAAAATATTTTATTGTGATTTTACATTGTAATCATTGCTTAACTATTTCAAAAACTAGGTGTAATAGGAAAAATATGAAGCTAGATTTGGAATCAACGTCAAAATTCTTTTCAGAAATAATACAAAAATTTTAAATAATTTACAGGTAAAAATTATCATATACCATTTTTTTTTATTCTTTTAAGTAATAATGATAAATACTATATGAGAACTTATGATATAAAAACCCAGCACAGGGGGGTCGCGGCACAGTGTTGACATAGCATAGTTGGATCAAGTATAATGATATCTGACGGTGATTAAAATCACTATAAAAAAAAAAACACTTCGATGCAAATCTTTAGATAGTGTATAATTTTAAAAAATTGGTGGATTATTCCAAAAGCTACATGATCTGCTAGTTCCTTATTAATATTCTGATTAAGTTAAAGTATGTCGAATGAAAAAGGGATCATTAAAAAATATTATTTCTCTTAAAAAAAATTGTGTTGATCTATACACTTTTCAATAAGTTATAGCATTATAAAGTTAAAAATGTAAAAAATAAAATCGAGAATTTTCATACGAAAATAGCATTCAGTAGCTATTTTCACCGTGAAGACTAAATAATCTGAAATTTTTTTTTATCATAATAAAGTATATTACATTATCTTTAATTTAAGATATATATACACATCATAGTAAAACCAATTCCTTTTCAGCTTCGCATCAAAGCTAAAATGTATGTTGTTTTTATTAAATTGAAAAAATTTAATTTTGTAAAAGTAATTATCAATAAAAATTTTTATAAAGAGTGGATTATACTTTTATCATACTGCATAGAATTCAAACATGTATATCAATTGAAGAAATTGATGCAAAAAAGTTTGCTCCACTTTTAAGATATTTAAATAACATGTTCCAAAAAAGATAATTCTATAATGTAGTATTAGAAAAAAATTGTACACATGTATATTTTTATCGAGTAATCTAAAATATAATATTTATTATAAATATCATTAAATTATGCAACTAAAATAAAAATAATTAATATTTTCTTAAAACTAGAAAAAATAAAATTACTTACTAAATAAATTTTAGTTTTATATGAAGTTGAGAATGTATTAATTTTACTATGATGTAATAATTTTTTTTTATGTCTGTCTTCAGTTATTTTTCAATATACACTGAGTCAATCTTTTTCAATGATATATCAAAAGATGACAAATTGTATCTAGTTGAAAACATTACAGGAGGGAGCAATAACACCCCCTTATAAAAATAAAAAAAAATGTAAGTTTTAGTTATAAATAAGAGTTTATGTTACTTTTAAAATAATCAAGCAGTTTCTTGGAATGGAAACATTGTATGAAACAAAAATTTTGCCTTTCGTTTTATAAAATTATTATGATCATGTGTAGAACAGATTTTTCATTGATTATTTTTTTACGGTACTGCTTAATTTTTCATTGATAATATTGAGATACTTTTAAGTAATTTAAATTGTTAAATATAATAAACAATTTAACAAATAAGGTAGGATAGGTCATATTGTAACAGCGGTTGTTACAAATCAATTTTTAGATTTAACAGTACTTATCATAGTAATTAATAATTATATCTATCTATCTTAATAATTTTATCTAAATACTTACACGATCATCTTCGTAAATGAAATCGCATGGGATTTCTTTTCGAAGAATTTTACCGAAAATAGTATCTCCACCTGGTTCAGCAGTCTTAGCTTTAATTACTTCATCCGACATTTTTTGAAATGTCGGATTTGCAAATCTAAATACACTGAAACTTTTTGATTTATAGTAGGTTTTGTTTGAAAAATTGGATAATTTAACAATATGTACTAAGGATATGATACCAAACAGCTTTCCTTTACCAGCCGAAAACATTTGTAAAATTATAATTTGATGCTGTTATCAAGCGAAAAAGTGGTAATAGCTCAGATCTTATCTGTGGTAATATGTTGATTTCGATAATTTTAATAAAATCCAATGAAACACAGACTCTAACAATAATAAGATAAGGTAATGTGTAGTAGTTATAATCATGAATACCTAGACGGTATTTATAATAATGGTTGTAATTAAATGTATAGTGTAATGGTAAATTAATTCTAGATAATTTAAATATTTTTCAAAAAGGATATCTTTTTAAAATAATTTTTTTATATTTTGTCAAAAATTTCTGCTAAAAAGGTCTTTTAAAATACGCTGATTCTTTAATTAAATATTGTAAAAGTCCCTGAGTAGTATTCATATAGTGTATATAAGGAAATTGAGACACTTTTTAAGAGGAACAAAACAGATCGAGCCTATCGTAAAATTTTAAATGTAGTGGGAAATAACAAACAATCTGATAAAACTATAAAGAACAAAGATGGAAAATCGCTAATTGATGACGCTCAGATAACAAATAGATGGAAAGAATACTTCGAAGAACTATATGATGGAGAAAATCTAGAGACCTTGGAAATAAGAGGTTCGACAACGATGAGTATATTAAGATCAGAATTTGATACTGCACTGAGTGAACTCAAACCGAAAAAAGCACCGGGAATTGATTACATACCGGCGGAGTTGCTCCAAAACAGCAATTAAATAGTAAAAGATGCTTTATACGATCTCACTCAAGACATATACTTTAAGGGAGAAATTCCAGATAACTATTGCAATAGCATAATTGTGATTATCTCAAAAAAACCAAAAAGTAAATACGTGTGACCAATTTAGAATACTGAGCTTACTCACGCATGCATCAAAAATTCCAAAAAAATTGTTAATAGACGTATGGAGAAGAAAATAGAATTCTTTTTAAAAAATGATCAATATGAGTCAGGAAGCAAAAAGGTACAAGAGAACCAATTTTTGGACTTCAAGTGCTCATAGGAAAACAAATCGAAAGGAACAAAGTCACATATATGGCATTCCTAAGTCTAAGAAAGGCGTTTGATGATGTTAACTGGAATATATTGTTTCATACGCTGCAAGAAGTAGGAGTGGAATAACAAGACCTGAAAATACTGCACTCCTTGTACAAATAACAGACAGCTGAAAGTAAAAAGTTAACAGTGTAAAGATAAAAAAAAAGAGTGAGACAAAAATTCACTAAGACAAATCACCACCCTTATTCAACTATTACGTAGAAAAAATAATTAATATAAATTATTATTACTCTGTAAGTAATTGAGTGGATTATGATAAAAAAATCACTCTGTATATAAGTATATAGAGAATACAGAATATGGTCGTTCGACTACAGTCAGAAAATAGGAATGTCATTAACATAGGCTCTTATTGTTAGGTCCCATATAAGCAGTCGTGGTTTAGTCATGTCCCTGTAAACACTTATAGTATCCTACATGTTCATTCTGTTTTATTTCTCAGTCCGTATTTTTCTAGTACGTGTAATTTTTGTATTTATACATTATTCAATTTTATTTTTAAGTTAAGTGCTATAAAAATATACAATTTTTCACCAGTAACTTATACATCCGTGTTTTTTTATTATTTTTTACACCTCCCAGCAGCTGGCCCGCATAACAATATAAATCCTAGACAGTGCCGGCACAAGGTGAGGGCAATTGCCCCGGGCCCTACACATTACAGTGACACAGTTAGGATTTTGTTTTTTATAATAAAGATAAAATTTTTTTATTACTTTCTTCAAAAAATATGTTTTTACTGTGTAATCATTTTTACTAGGGAAAACTATCTTACATCAACCCCTCTTCCCTCTTGGTAAAACCTCGTGTCAGTACTGGTCCTATTATATTTGCCTAAATTGATATTGATAAACTCAAAAGAATTTGTTAAAATAAACTATGATAGTACACATTTAGGTTTTAATATAACACTCATTAAAGCTATTTAGTGCATTATGATAATTTATGGAATTATGAATAGAAATATTTAATATAAGTATTCGCTCAATATTAAATGTTAAAATTTTACTTGTTATACTCATAAAGTAATTTATCTTTTTTTTTAATTACGAAAAAAATAAAAAGGGTATCAACTTGTAAGTGGAAGCTTTCACTTATATGGAGACTGGGACGCCTCTTTCAGAAAGTTTACTATCTTGACCTTCTTCCTAGATTTAAAAGGCTCTGAAAACATTTTTGGGGAATATCGATCAATTTTTAGTTATTTCAATTTTATTCTACTTATTCTCATATTATTTTAAGTAAACCTAGGAATATATTTACCGTTTATAGGTACATAAAATGTTTTATCCCAAAAAGCATTAAGTTCAAATTAATTTGAAACATATTAATCATGGATACGCTCATTCAAGGGGTGTTTTTAGTTTTCTTAAAATGAGTAATAAATAAAGATTACGAAAACAAATTTAGCTCCTAAGTCGGTAATCGGAATTTTTATCATAATTTGACTAAGAGTTCGGCTACAGTATTGATTATGTACCAGGAGGGTTGGGGTTGAAATAGGATAGATTTCCCCAGTAAAATATTTATATGGTGAAGATAATATTTGTTACAGTTTGGGGGGGATAATAAAAACTTATCTTAGGTATATCTCCTTAAAAAACAAAACCCTAACTACTATACTGTTATATGCGGCGGGACCACGACACGTGCCATGCTCTCCCTGACCTTGTGCCGGCATTGCACCAAATCAATAGTATTAATATCAAAAAACATCGTTTATTTATTTGACTTCATGAACCCTAGACTTTGGCTTGCAAAATCACAGAACATAGTAATAATTAAAAACAAATAGATGACCCACAATTAAGAAGATACAATGACAAACAATTGAAAACACTGGTACAAAAATCAGATACGATCATCATTTTTTAAAATAAATATTTTAAAATTATTTTACTGGATGTAAAAGCTTGATTGATGGATAGATGCAAATAATAGTCATATCCAATAATTTATTATCAACATTTTTTTATTAATTTCAATTAATTAAAAATTCAGATTTTTAATGTAAAACAAATTCGTTTTATGTATCCCCAGAAGTTTTTTAAAATTGGACGTATTTAACTTTTGTACCAGTGTAGGTATATAGACCGTTTATATAACCGTGAAACAGTACTGCAATCGCAATCAGTAAAAATAATCGATACTGTTATATGTAGTACGATTTACAAGAATTTGATTTTGATTATTTTGAAAAATTATTTTGATCACCAAATGTTCCGTCATGGGAATCACAGGTGTATGAAATGATCTCCCTTCCGCATTGTAATCAGGAATTGTCCTCGTTCTCAATCAAACACCGGTCTGACGTCAGATCATGGAACATAACGATAATGACCTTTATTTTTATTTGTATCAGTTATTACTTTTCCGAGTCCCATAAAACTAAGTCTTTTATGAAATAAAAACTTTTGCGATTTGTATAGTTTTTGATAAAAAAATTTTTTATAGAATAACAACAAATGAATAATAAAAATTAATTAAATGTTTAATATATTTTTCTTCCATGGGATAGTGATGAGCGCTTTGACTATTGGCCGTATGCGATCGCTAGTATGAGTAGTACGCACACAGGCGGCTCCTCTGGTTACTGGTTAAGTTTACAGGTTATTTACTATACACACGGCCGAAACATATTATTAAAATAACTAATATAAAGTGTAACTAAGACATTCCTGTGACTACCAAATTAATTAAATTTTTTCATTTTTAAACATTATTTATCAGTTCGTGTTTCTATTACTTTATTTGTTATTGTTTATTATTTATATATGTGTATTAAAATCATCAATGGAACTATCTTGCCGCGATTCTTTGTAAGTCAATTACGGATATAATAGTTATGTATTTGGCAACGACCCGGGATATTCCTTGTAAAGAGAGTGGTATTAAAATAATATATGCGTTTTTCATTCTGGTATATGGATATTCCGTATTTGCAAGAGCTTCGTTTGCCGGGAATCCTACGGGAATGTATACAAGAAGTCTACTATATTTTTATTTTGTAGCGCGGGTGAAACAGCTAACCTTGTAGTTTAACCATGTGATAATTTTTTCGCACATATAAACATTAAAATTTTGTTTTTTTTTTTACAGTTAATATTATAAAATAAATTTTATACTTTTTAAGTTTGAAACTATTATATCAATTAAATTTTAATCTGTTGTGTTTCTTTTTAAATTTCTGCAATATATCGATAAAATCTGGAATAAATAACTATATTTTTATAATTTTATAAAAAAAACTTTCAATAATATAAAAGAATAATTATATTTTTTATTATGAACTTCATTGATTAGTGATATGTGTTAGTAATATTATAATTATTTGATTAGTGTTTTTTTTTATTTTCATATTTGTTCAAAGTATATAGAAAAACTTAACTATTTTACTTAATAAAGCATGAATGTTGTTATTCACTTTAGTGAAAATATATTTACAGATATAAATCTGTGTTTCACCATGAGACTACTCAAATATTCACGTGTAAACTTCACAAATAATTATTAGAATAAATTTTATTGTTTTTGTTATCTTTATAAATATATTCTCAATTAATGTACTTGAAAAACTAAATTTTATATTTTTTAGTTTTTGATGAATTTAAATAATGCATTGGAATGATGCCGGCTGCAAGCAAACAAATTGGTTCAGCTTTATTTCAGTCTCTTTCTAATCAAGTTAATGGACGGACTCATCATTCAACAGTGACTGATGATCGTTCTTGTTACTTATACATTGCATCAAGTAGAATTTTAGATAAAACAATTGAATTTGAAATGTTGGATCATAAACCATCTATGCTATCTCAAATGAAAAATAGTTGCATAATGTTATTACAAAATGGTTGCAATAAAAAAGATATTAAAAAATCAGAACAAATAAATGGCGAGAATAATAAAGTATCTCGTTTACCTAAACCAAAAGTTGTACTGTATCCCCCTGAATGTGTACAGCTTGGATGGCAAAATAAAAAAATGTCAGTTGGTTCTGGATTGGAAAATCCAGGTGTAATATGCTACATCAATTCTACTTTACAAGTAAAAAATTAGTTTATAAAATTTATCTTATACTGAGAGTCTAAAAATGTAAAATAAATTGTATCGTTTAGCAATAAAAAAAAGGTCATTTCAATTTATCTTTAAGTTTTTAAGTTATAATTTGAAATTAAGTTTTTGATTCATGAGTTACAATTAATTGGGAATTTATTTAATAAAATTTTTAATTTTTGATATTTCATTTTAAATGAAACCAATATGTTTTCATAAATATACGTTTTTGTATGCATATATTATTTATAGTTTGATTAAATATTTGTTGTTAAAAAAAAAAAAAAATGAAAAAAATAATACAGAAAATTTAGTATTTTTTATTTCTGTAATGTTACACTGAAAACAAACTTTGATCACAATTTTCTAGAAATTAAAAAGAAATCACCTAGATCCCTTGAATTTTAAATGCCTAATATGTATAATCTTTATTCATAATAATGCTATAAGAAAACTTTATGATACAATTATTAGTAAATGATGATGACTTGAGAAGAACTTGAGACTTGAGAGTAGTATTGAAAACATTACTTCCAAAGATTGTCTTAATTTAAATAAAATATTTTTATACTAAATATGAATAGTTTTAATTTAAAATATTATTTTAAAAACATTTAAGTACTATCAGAATTCAGTGTTATGAGGTTGAGGATTGTTTTTTAAATAAGTATTGTCTGATATTTGAGAGTGACTAAAATAATTGTTATAAAATGCTTATCTATATTATGTGTGACAAATAAAAAAACTATTTAAAAACTAATACCAAATTTAAGATCATTTCAACAATCCTATTTTTGCCTTTATAAGGCAAAAATTTTGCCTGAATAAGCCAAATAATTATAGAAAAGAAATCATTGCAACATATTTTTTTAAATTGTGTACTGTACAAACAACCTTCAATTGTATTAGTTTTGAATGGTGTAAATTTTCCGTTGCTATGCAGAAAAACAACTAAATTGGCCTTTTTTTTTATTAAAAATTGTAAATAATTACCTGTTAACTCCTAGATATTAAGCTTTCGAATAGTTTTTATTTTTTCATCTTAAAATATTACATTACCTTTAATAATTAAATAATACAAAGCCTTCTTTAAACCTATATTAAATTAATTATTGTAGGTTTAAAGAAATCAATTTTTTGGTACACTATAAAAAATTGAAAAGAAAAAAAATTTGTTACAATTTAGAGCTCTTTCTCTCAACAGTTCTTTGCTTAACAATTGGGTTTTTAGAAAAAACATACATTGGCGAGGCATATTTAAAGTATTATCAACAAATATTTTGCTATTATTTGTACAGTTTTCAAAAAGTTATCTCATTACAAAGTGAAAATTATGAATAACAACATTGAATGTTCTGAGACTGTGATTGAGGAGAATTTTTCATAATCATGTCGCTAATAGCTTCAACTAGATACTTTTTATAATCATTTTACGTATTGTTGAGCAAAATCATTCCAGTAAGAGTAGAGTAATCATGTCCAGTAACACAAATAAACTATTGAGAGTAAAACCAATAGCTTTTTATCTATGTATCAAAGCTAAAAAAAATTTAAAAATGTTGATGGTAGAGATAAAATGTAGGCTGAACAAATGTTATGCGATTGAATAATATTTGTTTTATTTAACATGTTTAACTTAAGTTAATTCATCATTCACTTCTAGTTTATTCCAGTTAAAAGAGTATTATTTAGTTAAGATTTTATTTATATTTATTGTTATTAGGATTTTTTATGTGTATTTAATTTTAATTTTTGTTAATATCGCAGGCTTTGTTTCACATTCCTGCATTTACAAATTGGTTAATTAGTGATGAGCAACATCAAAAAAAATGTCAACAGAAAAGTAAGTTAGATATTATTAAAACATAAATAAACTAAATATTTTTAATTTAGTTTAATATTACATGTTGTCTTGCATAGGAAACACCTATGCAAAATTGAAATAATATGCTTTTGGTATTTTTGGATATAAAAAAAAAAATCATCTGTTATGAATAAACTCCTATTTATTATCTTAAATAAATGATAAATAAAATGGTTGCTTTAAAAATTAGTTTTATATAATTTTTTTTTTTAGAAAAATTGTACTTTTACACATAAAAGATATTTTTATTGTGAACATTACCATACTTAAAACTTGATTTTATTAAAAAAAATTAACTTCAGTAGTTTAAACAAAGAAATTCTTGTTTAATATTTATAAAATTAATATTTTTATTAGTTTTATTTTAATTTATAAAGTAAAAAGAGCATTATTTGAAATAGTTACAATTAAAAAAATTACAATACAATAATAACTAAATTGTATAATGAATATAATTTAAATTGAATAATTATAGATATTATATATAAAATATTAATTATTAATAAAAATATTTTTAGAAATGCACATAATTTTAAATTATATTTTTTCAATTTATTCATTGTTATTTTTATAGCTGGTTTTCAAAAAGATTGCATAGTTTGCATGGTATGTGATACATTTGTGCTATCTCAAAAACATACAGGTTCCAGTTTTAAAGCATCTAGTATTACAAGTCGTTTATCATGTATGTAATATTAATTACTATGAGAAATACAAAAATATTTAATTCTAAAAATTAAAAAATTTGTTATCATTTTTAATTTTGTTTAGAAAAACACATAAATACAGTATTTAATAGGATCTAATAAATGTTTGATATTCTTACTAATTTTTCTCCTTTGCTACAAAAATAATGTTTTTATGAAACTAAAATTTTTTTTATCAATTTTAGTAATATGCAAACATTTGTCGACTTATCGACAAGAGGATGCTCATGAGTTTCTTCGATATCTCATTGAAAGTATGGAACGATGTTATTTGTCAGTATTAGGAGTAGTAGCAAAATCGTAAGTATTTATTACATATTAAAATCTAAATATTGATTAAACTAATAACAAGAGGCTATTTAATTTTAGATTGGATAGTTATTCTAAAGAAACCACACCTATCAACCAAATTTTTGGTGGTTACATTCGAACTGAAGGTAAATTTTTAGATAATCAATGCTTGAAATTTGCAAATTAAAATTCATTTAAATAAATCATTCTTGTATTATTTTAATTAAATAGTCACTTGTGGAAAATGTAAACACATTTCAACAACATTTCAACATTTTCAAGATCTCATACTTGACATTCGACAATCTGATACTGTAAATGATGCTTTAGATAATTATTTTGAAAAAGAACCTTTAGATGAATCTTACGTTTGTGAGCGATGCCGAAGACAAGTAGCAGCTGATAAAAAGTTTTCAATTGAAAAAGCACCTAATGTATTGTGCGTTCAATTAAAAAGGTATTGTAATACTGAACAGTTTAGCTTTAATTATTAGATAATATACTTTAATGAAAGTGATAATTAACAAACTTAATGTTGACCTAATTTGATTTGATTTTTAATATTATTATATATTATTAATAAAACAATTTTAGGTATAGTGTTGGACTGCATGGTTTTAGTGGTAATAAAAATAGTAAAGCTATACAAATAAATGAACGAATAGATTTATCCAATTATCAGTTTCACCAACAAAGATATCAAAATGGTGCTCGTCCATTAAGATATCGTTTAGTATCAATGGTTATTCATTATGGTTCTAGCTTGAACAGTGGTCATTACACAGCCCTAGGTTTAACTTCATCAGGATCATATTATTATTTTAATGATTCAAGTGTAAGTTAAACCAAAGCTATTATCATTAATTTTATAGTACTAATGCTTTATTATTATTTTTACAGGTAAGTCAAGCAAATTTCAAAAATTACTCTACGAGTCATGACTCTTATATAATATTTTATGAGTTGGAACCTTCAGAAACAACAAGAATTTCTAGTTTAGAATTAAAAAATTCTACTATTACATCCTCAAATGGTCAAAATTATAAATCTCCTCTATTTTTTTCTAGTAAGTATCATTTTATTTTAGTGATATGTTTAAAATCCATTAGTATTCATCTCAAATAAAAATAATAATTTTTTAGGCTTATACTATTAGGAATTATTTTACTGGTCTGATCCTGTATTTTTCTTAAAATCACGTCTGTATATATATATTCAATTACATTATCTTTTATCAGATTAGATGATATCTGATCCAGTTTTTATTTTTTTATTTTTTTTTTTTTGTCTGATACATTTTTGACAAATTTATTATAAAGTTATGATTTTTTTATGAACTTATTATATAATGATGGACCTTCCATTTTCTTATTTCTCTCTTTAGTAAGTCTGAAATAATTGTACAGAAAATGACGCGCCCCTTACTTAATTTCTATCTTTCCAAAAATTTTTCATTTGCTAAAGAGAGCAAGAAAATAATTCTAGAAGATCTGCCAATGATAATATACCAGGTCTAATCCATTCTATTTATAATTTGGATAATTTTTTACAAATTTACATATATCTATATATCTAATGTATAAATTTCTTAGACCTAAGTGACAATCAGTTTGGTCTAAGAGATTTGCCTATAACTTTTGATATAATTATTATTTTGAAATTTTTAAAAATTATTTATAACCTGTTTTGATTCCTTTTACAATATATTTGCATTGTTTACCATTAATAAATGATAATTAAAATTAAAGAGATTGCTGACTTTGCAGTATAATGCCTCAATTAGACCAGTAAGAATTTCACCCACAGTCAATATATACTCATTCTATGTATTAAAATGATTGTAACTCAATTAGTACTTGTATTAAAATTTGTTATCGACTTATCAAAGTTTTTTGTATTAAAAATTCTATAAAATAGACATTTTAGAAATAATAAAATTTATTATTTTTTATATGTAGCCTAAGAAGGTAGTAATTATTTAGAAAAAAATGTTCAGCATAATTATAAAAAATTATTAAAAGTTTTAAGTGTTGTCAGTTAGGTTTGAGACACCGTATAAGGAAAGAATGCAGATTTGATTGGGACTAATTGGACCTTTCACACGAACATGGTATGCAATTGACAACATCACTTTTTAAAGCAATTGCATATTTTACTATGATAACACATTTTGTAGCTGTAATTAACAAATGTTAGTCTGCTGACATTTTATAATTGCCTGATGTGGTGTAAATGAGAGAATTCAGCTGTGATAAGAGCCTTTTTGACTATTTAGAAAACTGATATATATATTTTTTTACATTTCAACTGAATGTTATCTTTTTGCAATGCGGTCAAATTTATATACTTACACCAGTGATTACAAAACTTCTAGATGTAAGATTCCAATATTAATTTTTGGCACTGATTGGACTTACAAGGTAGATTCCCACAAAGTATTGCTATTTATCTTAACATCTCTAATCAACATATGTTGCATATGCATCACCCAACAAAGTGACCAACTAACAAAGATGTGAATATCCAGTTTTATGATTATATGACCTTTTCAGGGCTTAATTTGGCATTTACAAATGCAAAACTTTTGTGTTTAAATTTTAACGCATTGCACATAATATAACATTACAAATATGAAATAGTATTGTTTTAAGTAAGATTGTGTAATTGATATTGTTTTTCCATGTTAATTATATTTTACTCTTGTCTATTAAATTTTAATTAAAAATTTTTTTTTAATATAGATAAAACCCATTGTAATGGTATTACTAAAGCAGTAAATGGAATAAGCAATATCAAGGCTTTTAATATTAAAGAGAAAAAACTACAATTCAATGATAAATGGGATACACAAAATAAAATGTAAGTGGTAAATTTAACTTATTAATTTTCAAAAATAAGAATTGTTAATAATTAAAAAAATCGCATCTTTTGATATATAGTTTTTTAAAATAATAAGTAATTATTCATCTATTCTTAAAATCTAAGATGAATACTTTATGAATTAAAAAAATGTTTGACTCTAAATAAAAAAAAAAGTATAAAATTTTATAATTTAAGTCCAGTTTTCATTTTTAAAAATGTTTTTATGCAACAAAACTAAAAAATTCTATCGTTAATGACTTCAATGAAGTATAAAATCCATGTAATGTAATTAATTTTGAAAAAAAAATTAAATTAAAATTAAATCTAGTATAGTATACTTTTATTTATAAATAAATTAGTTTTACATATTTAATTCTCATGAGAATATATAATAATTTAGGTGTCAACAAGGATATCAAAAAGATAAATTTCAAGCAAAGGATACAATTTTTTCAAATAATAAATCTGTAACAGAACCTCTGACTAAAGGTGTTACACATAATACATTATTTAATAGCTTAGTACCATATATTGATTCTGATAAAGATGATAGTGATGTTGAAAGTAGTTTATCTAATGAAGACATATCTAGTACAATAAAATCAGAAAAATTAAAATGTGTAACAGATCAAAAGGTCTTTGATAAAAAACCTTTAATTTCAAAACTCAAAGATGAGTTATCTGATCAAGATAATCCAACAAAAAAATGTTTAGTATTAAAACCTAAACAGGAGGATTTGCCTCCAAATGTTGAACATAATGGACTCTTATCTGTTAGAAAATGTTTGGTGTTAAAACCAAAAGATGATGATTCATTGGATATTGAAGAAGGCCCTGAACCTGTAAAAAAATGTTTTGTACTTATGCCAAAAAATTATAATGAATCAAATGATACTAAAATAATTAATTCAATTGATGGAAAAGAATATGAAAAAAAAGATAAACATAAAGAGAATGGTTTTAATGATTTAAGTAGCCGTAAATCTAAACCTAAAGTTGAATATAATGGCTTTAATGGGTAAGTTTTTTTGTTAAAAAGCCTTAAAAAAAACTATAATAAAAGTTTCATAAAATTTATATTCATTTTATGTTTATTTAAACTATATAAACTTTTATTTTTATACTTTTTTAGGGTGAAATCACCATCTGATATTAGTAAAACAAATGATAAAAAAATATCAAATGGAAACCATTCTGGAGAAGATAAAATTAGGTAAACTAGAATTAATGAACAAATCTCATCATTTAGTTACTTGTTCAGATGATATTTAGATATATCATAAAATTAAAACTTAGTTAGATTATCATACTCTTTTTTCATATTAAAACTTCTTCTCAATATAGGATCATTTGTAATGTGAGTGGTTAAATTTTTTTTTTTTATATGTCTAAATTCCCATAAAAAGTTAATTAAATGCCATTTATTTATCAGGACTGTTTGATTTTTTCCTGGACTCTGTCCAAAAGTGGACAAAATTAATATAATTCTAAATTTAAAACTAAAAATTAAAATTCAGGGTTGCCATAAATTTAAAAAAATAATAAATTGGTGAAGTTTTTTTTAATTAGGGAATCTATAGAATATCATGGAATTCTGTTGGTATTGTTAAACGTTGTAGTGCAGAGTTAGATAGTTAGGCCAATGTCCTAGAAGACATAATAATTGTAGTGGCCTAGATCGTTTCAAAAAATATTTCTATGTATGAAATTGTTGTAAGTATTAGTATTTTGTAAGTGTGGGTGAAATTCATACTAATATAATTGAGGCATCGCACGGCAAAATCAGCAATGTCTCTTTTTATGTTCATGTTTTATTTTTAAGTTTTATAATTTTAAAATACAACAATAATCATTTTAATATACAAAAAAAAAATTAGCTTTTAATATCAAATTAATGTATTATTTCTTTTAGAAAATTATGAATTATTTAAATTGAAAATTTGTTTTTCATAGTACATAATAAAATGTATAGGTGTATTTAAAAAATTGTTGAATTATGCACCACAATGCCTCAATTATACTCTGTTTAAGTTACATAGCCACTCTTTGCATTAAAATGCTTGTAATTCAATGAGTACTGTTTCTAAAATTTTTATAAACCTAAAAAAAAATATTCTTTAAATATAGTCTAAGATGGCGATGGTTAATTTAAAAAAACGTTTTAACAAAATGATAGTTTTATCAAAAGTTAAAAGCATTTTCAGTTATGTTAGAGACATTGTACATTTCAAACTCTGAGCTTGAATGAGGATAGATTAAAAGGTTTTGTTTTTAAGGTTGAACTAGGTCTATTTCCAAAATTTCAATTGGTAAACATAGAACAATAAATATAAAGGGAGGTTGATGAATCAGACACCCTTCACATAACAATGCAACACATGTCTTCACTTCTTAAGTCAAGTATAGAATTTTTTAAAGATTGACTAAAAAATCATAGAAAAGTCAGAAACATTAAATTTCTTATATTTATAACAACCATGAATAAGTGTATGGTCCTACTTTATTCTACCACTATTAATCATGGTACTAAATTGCATTATTAGATAGAAGGCCTATTTAAGGTTTTTTATTTTTGTATTGCCTCCCTCCTGGAAAATATTTGTAAAAACGGAATTTTAAAACTAAAAAGTTATGGTGACCTTGATTAATAAATGAACTCAATTCATTATTTCTCTTTTTAGAAAAACAATTAAATTGCTTGAAGTGCTTGAGGATATATTCATGTTTGCAGTTGAGTTCTAACGTTTCGGACTCAACTGCAAACATGGATATATCCTCAAGCACTTCAAGCAACAAGACAATCTATTAAAGCTTTAACACATTCATAACAATTAAATTGTTTTTAATTTGTTTTAAAGTACTTGAATTTCTTTTCTCTTTGGGTTAGGTTTAAAAACTAATTCACCTTATGAAAAACTTTGTGATAGATTTGTTGCTTATCCTTAACTATAAATATGATTAACCCAGAAAACATTACTAATTTGTTAAGGTAAAAATATTTGATCTATTTCTATGCCCATTAAAAATCAAATTGAAACAGTTATTATTAAAAATTTAAATCTACGGGTTTTAATTTAGCTGAACTGGATAATTTTAAAGTACCCAAGAGATATTGTTCTCAATTAAAAATTAGTCCTTTAATCTTGTAATTTCCATAAAACTAAATTTCAGAAAAATATTTATAAAAATAATAACATAATAAATAAATATTTATCTGTTTAGAAACAAATTATTGAATGGATTTAACTATAAACATTCTAATGGAATAAAGAACTGGTAAATATTTTTATTTTTTACTATAAATAGTAAAATATTTATATATTAATACTTAAAAAAATAAAAATTGTTTTGTGTTCACTGTTTTCATGATTTTTAGTCATTAAAAAAATTTAATTTATAGGCCAAAGTTTAATGAATTTTCAACCAATAGTTGTAACAGGAATAGCTTTAAAGAATCTTTAAAACATAGAACTCATCTAGGATTTGGAGGAGAAGGTATAAAATATTTATTATTTATAATAAAATACATAATACATAATAAAATGTTTTTAATTTTTCTTTATCTCCTAGTAAAAACTTGGAATGGTGATAAAAGCTATATAGATAAAGAATCTGAGCAGGAAAAAATTAATGGAACAAAACGTTCTTTTGATGATGAATATAATGATGATTTTGACAAAGGAGTTGTAAGTATATTAAAATAAAATTTTGATCTTCGGCCTTTGCATTAAATCTTAGATTAGTTTGGAAAATTTTGTTTTTAAGTAGACTAAAAATAGTTTTTTTGGTGATAAATGTTTTTCAATATTTTGCAGAATCCATAAATTATACTTTTAAATTAATTCTAAAATATAAAAACTAAATTATTATTAATACATTTTTGAATGAATGTAAAATAAATTAATATGAATTATTTTAAAAGTAAGATATTTCTTCTAATTTCAAATTAAAAAAAAAGAAAAAATATAAATCTTTTCAAACAAAAGTGACTTTCAATTATTTTTTGCAATATTTCAAAAATTATTTTCCAATGTGAAAAACTGAACTAAAAAATATAAAAGATTTAGAAGGTGCCCCTCATAGCTCTATCAAAAAACATGTATTATATTTTACAATTATAATTTTTTCAGGTAAAAAAAAAGAAATTTGATAAAAATTATTATTCAAAAGAAAATGGAACAAATACATTACAGTTACTACATAATCAATTAAACCAGTTTAATGGTAAAATGGGACGCAGTAAAATAACTTGGATGAATCGGTCTAAACATTATAGATCGTTTAATAATAACAATCATTATCGCCACAATGGTGGATTCAAGAAACCCAGGTATAATAATAATCGAAGACATTGGTCAAAACAACGTTAGGTATATCAGTATAATGCAACATTTTGTGATAAAATCTTGAAAAAAATGTTGTATTTAAAAGAAAATAAGTGTAAATATTGTATTTATGTTATACTTAAATGAAGCTGAAGTGTAAAAATTAAACATTTAATTCATTTATATCTTAACTAGGTTTATCTAAAATTTGTAAATAAAAGATAACTTATTTAATATTATTTGACAACTTTAACAAATTGTACACAGTAACTGTTTTAGTCAATTAAATTGTTTTAAATTTAAATTAATGTTTGATAAAATAGTTGGTTTTCCAAATTTTTACCTTTAAATATGAAAAAAAAAACTAAAAATAACCTAACTTAATAATGGTTTGTTTTTTATACTGTAACATTTATATATTAGAATCAATCTAAAAATTTTACCAATAACAAATTCTGAAGTTTATTTTTCATTAGACTTTTTAACATTTTTATTATTAATTAAATATTTATTGATTACTTTAGAAAAATGAAATCAATAAATGGCTGAACTCTTTGGATAAAATTTAAAGAGCAAATATATTGATTACTAAAAAAAAGTATTTCCTCTACTTGTAACTTAAAAACTTTTTTACTGGTATCAAAAATCTTAATTAGGAGATATAACTTAATTAATATTTTTATTTTTCATTATTATTGTCTTTTATAATTCTTTTTTTTTTTTATTAAAATTCTTAATATTTTGTAATTAATAAAATTATGGTTATTAAAACTAGAATGCTCGGAGGATTTAAATTTATATTTTAATTTCTATTACTTTTAACAGAAAATGGAATTGATAAATTCCTAAACCCAGTCAGTGAACTCTAATTCATACTTTTTTTATATTCTTTAATGTAATTTTTAAGTATTCATTAAAATAAGTACTTCTAATTAATGTTTTAATTCGGGTTTAGCTGTATTTAAGTTTAATTATTATATACAAATGTATAAGTCTGAATTTGCTAGATAAATTAAAAATTCATATTGAAAAATAGTTTAAGTATACTTTAAAACCATTGCTACTTCTTCATTTGAGTACTAAAATTAAATTTTTAGAGCATTTACTATAGTATGTAACTATTTAAATGCTTCATCAATAACAAGTAATTTTTATGTTTCTAAGTTTGTAGGCACTGAGTGTTGTTGCCTGAGGACTGTTTTGTATGTATGTATTCAAATTTACACGGTTTGTTCCTATCACATCAAAGAGTCCAGGCTTCATATATATTATATTTATATCAAAAAAACCATATTTAATAAAGTAAATATTAATGGTATTTTTTTTTATTGGTATTGTAAAAACTGATTGTTAATATAAATATAAATTGCTTGTAAAAATACATTGGTTTAATCTTTGAACATATTTTAATCAACAAATTCAGAATTATTTTTAAATTCTCAAAAAATTATTTAAATAAAATAGAAATATAATCTATATTATATAATAAATATCTTAGGATAGGTGTTCATTAATGGAAGTGAATGTATATATTTGTTGTTAATTATATAATGTATGTGTATATATATTAAAAATAAATTTTGTAAACTAAAATTTTAATTGTACAGTTCAATAAAACATATATTAATTGTAAATTATAAAATATAAAAGAATTATAAACATGCATTTTAAATATTAAACTCACACATATATAGGTGATTGCTTTATTATATACCACTTGTTTACTCTCAAAATATTGACAATATTGAGAATAAAATTTTTAATAACGTATATTTTTTTATTTATTAGATAATAATTACTATTTAGAATCATTTTTTATGACTTAACGGGGTATCAATTAAAAGCGTTCTCATTTTTAGACCTTGGCGTGGAGGTAAATACAGTCGCGAAATAACTAGTGACGAAAATAGTAGCAACACTCTTCACCTTTAGTCATTACTTTAAATTGTTAATAACTTCTGAATAAAAATAAAAATTACTTTATTTTATGAGCTAGTTAAAAATGTATGTTGCAATTTAAAAAAATCTATTTAACAGCCCTTTGAATTATAAAGGATGATTCTAAAAGGCAATTATTAGTTGATAGATCAAGGGAAATATGTAACTAAAAGAATTCAATTTTTTTGTTTACAGTATTGTTTTTATTCTGCGAGTAATCGAGTGATTTATGATATGCCGATCATTTTGTATATACAGGGTGTTCAGTAAGTCAGGAAACGGGTTTCTATTGTTCTCATTGTTTGTAACAATGAGAACAATAGATACCCGTTTCCTGACTTACTGAACACCCTGTATATATATATATATGTATTTGGTAAGACACTCAATTTTTCAGAAACTATTGAAAACTTTAAATTTTTGTAAAGAGAAAAAATTTTAAGTTTAAAAAACTACAATAATACGTAGTTAAATGATTCATCATTTCAGAGATGAAAATTCTTGAATTAAATTTTTTTTAAAAATTTAATTTTCTTAAATAGGATATTTTTTAATTTTAGAATATTAAAAAAGAATTAAAAACAATTTTGTTTGCAATTTAAGATTGTTGAACGATATAGATTTAAGTAAAAATTTATCATTGATTATATCGGTTTTGTATTACCAGTAGCAGCAATAATCTGTTTTGGTAGTCCATAAATTATTTATTATAGTACGTATCAAGAATACTTGTCATCTTGACATTCTATTCTGCTATCTTATTTGCCAATAAAAATTGGTTTATGTGACAGCATAGAAAAATGAAGACTACTGTATTTGAAAGAGTAAAGTAACAATGGAATTTTGAATTTAATTCATTTAATTATAACATGTTGTATATGATACAGTTGATAAAAAAAAATGGCAAAAACTGAATTGTCTGTAATATTTTTTCTATTAACAAGTTAGAAATAGGGATTTCCATTTAAGAAAATTAAATTTTAAGTTTTTTTAACCCTGAATGAATAATAAAAGTTTTTTTTACCACATCTTAATTAATTAATTAATCAGCATTTTGAACCAAAAAAAAAAATTTCATTCGTTTTCTTAAAGAATGAGTGTCTTACTAGATTTTGAATACCTGCATATAATGTGATTTCTTTAAGAATGCTGCTTTTTGAGTTAGTATAACTTTAAGGTATACGCGAGATAGTTTTGTAACGTAATCAAATTCTTAGATGTGGGTTATATTAAAAATGTGCGTCACTATATACAACCCCGCTTCCTAATTTATCCAAATATATAATCGCTAATATATTAAAGAGTAATGTTATAAAACTGGCTATCGAACAGTTAAATTTCATTTATATCTTTAATATAAAAATAATTACAGGTTCCTATTTAATTTTTAAAAATCTCCTAAATATTATCATTAGAATAAATTTTTTTAACTACTAACTCATAGGTGTAAGAAGGACAAAATATTTTAGGAGCTAAATTTTAATTTTTCTCATTTAAAAAATAACTTTTATAACAATGTGTATAAATTGCTTAATTTTCGAAGAAAAACTATGCTTTAGCACAATCTTGATATTTATTATGGTTATTAAAATAAATAATTTACTATTCATTTAAAATTTTTATGGAAAAATCATTTAACAAAAAAGTTAGAAGTATTCTAATAAATCACACTATACAAATTAATTGTTTTATCAACAGTGAAGCAACTTGGGGTCATTCCTTGTCTTTAGTAACTACTCTGAATATTAAAACCTATAAAATAAAATTTATTTGTTTTTCCTATTACAATTTTTTTTTATATTGTATTATATTTACATTATGCTACTATTATAGCAAATAAAATCATTATTTCGAGTATACTAGGACGCTACCGATTAACCACAATCGTTGGTGTGGTCATACAGGTATCTATAAACCGCCATCATTAATACAGCTATCTATAGTAGCTTTCACACGACTGTGTAAACCTTACACAATTTTAGCACCCTCTAATTTTTTATCTAGTTACGCCACTGTTTATCAAAAACTAAAAGGAACATAATCAAATTGAAAAAATATGTTTTTAAAGATGATGTACATTATAAGTTTTTTACCAATAAATCGATTTCCTTTATAATTATTATAAAATAATCTGTTATAATGTATAATATACACTAAGCATAGGATACTTCACATATATTATTTTAACCTTTAAGAATTCTTGACCTGATACTCTTACTTACCATCAAAATGTATAATGATTAAAATAATTATTCATATGATCCACAGCAAAATAATTTAATGACTAAACTATATTAGCAATATTCGTTATTCATTAAATTTAATTGCTATTGATAAGTAATTTTTACACAAAAATAAAATAATTTTGAATACGGCAGTCATTTTGCTTCAAAAACAAAATTTTTCAAACAAATATATAATCCAAGCTCTAATTTAATAACTATTTAATGAATGTAAGTTATCCAGATTGTTTTCAAAATTTAGATTTTCAAGTCATCTGATTTTGTTAATATTTTAATTTTAAATTTGCTTCTTGAAGTAAGTAAGTAATTAAGAGTCGATTTTAAGAAAAGTATTTCCAGGAAAAATTTTGTTTAGATTAATTGTTTTATCAAAAAATTATAGTTATTTATTTTTAATATAAATTTAAAATTAAACTAAAAGTATTAAAATTTATTGATTCTAATAAAAATGATTTTTTAGAGACTTTACCTTTAGAATTAGGAGATATCTTATAATTATCATTGCTATCAATGGGGGCCTGTTTTCCTTACCCCCTCCCTAGCTACGCTATAGACTATGGCTGTTCTATTACATTATCGAATAGTTTCTTAGGTTTCATACGAACAGTAAAGAATACTCTCTTTTAGTAAACGACTTAACATGAATTAACATTTATAAAATAAATAATGTAAAAATAAATTAATGACATGTTAGTTATAATTTTATTCACAGTTGAGCTTTAAATATTTTTACTCTAATTTGCGCATTAAAAATTACTAACAGTAATTTATTTAAATACATATATCAATTATTTATTAATAAATCAAGAATTGTTCATTAATATATTTAAAAAAATGTAAAAAAATTAGCTTTAACATTTTATTGAAATGAGTAACTAGATTTTTGTCAATGTTTATTGAATGAAATTAAATATTATGTTATGTAAACAGTGTAGCGTAAAGTATTAAACTTTTTAAGTATTAAATAAATTGAAAAATCTAAATACGTGTTTTTGTTGTGGTCAAATTAAATTATTAAGCCATTGAATCAATGATAATCTCAAAACACATTATTATCGCCGGATTTGAATTATTGTTATGTGCGTATAAAAAAAACGGGTTATCAAATAATAAATCATTTTATGATAAACAATATCCGGTAACATAAATTCGGGTTACGGACGTACGTAGTTTCCTTTGTAATGTCATCGATATTTTTTTAGTTTTTTGTGCACGAATATTGGTTAATTGTTTAAAGTTTCAAACTGAATGTCACACCAATAAATTTAGTGCTGATAATGGTCAATTGCTAACAAATAATTGTTCATGTTCTAATAATAATTACTGAGTGCATAATGAAGCTATTTAAGAAGTAAGTCTCATTAGGTACAAGGGGTGACTCTATAAATAGATTTTTAATGTTGTAATTTGAATATAACCATTTATTTAATGATTAATTGAGCGTGGGTAAATTTTTACAAATAGTCTTAATTTAGTATATTAAGTAATAAAAACTATGTTGGAATGTAACGGGGATTCAAGTTATCCCTCTAATTAAAAAAAGACCGATTTTCCAATTAAAATGTTCTAAGAAATGAAGTCCTCACAAAAAATAATGAAATTTCAGAAATATATGTAATAAAATATATGATTCTACGAATTGTTTTTGCTCATTAACTAAAAGAATGCTTCCCAACCAGTTTAATCATATTCATAATAATGAGGTCAACATTTTTTGACAAGTTAAATTTAAGTTTTACCCCTCAAAAAATTAATTTTTATATAACAATGTATATCATTTTACTAAATTTCGGGGAGGGGTAGCTAAGACCCCTATCCTCCTACGTCAATGATTATATCATTAATTTCTTATAATGGAAATAATATTCCAGTGAAAAAAGGTATCTTTACTGAAGCGTTAAATCATCTGGAATTCTTATTTACAATAAATGAGGCAAGGTTATTTTTGAAATGATCAATAAATAAGCATTTCAAAATTGGTGTTATCATATAATGTAAATATAATATTTTGAAATAAAGCGTCTCATCATCAACTCTGGCGTACATGTATAATTTTATAATTTATTTGGCATATTTACATAGTTAAGGACTTTTTTTTTATTGTCGTTACATAATTTGAAAATATGGTTAATAGTATAGTAATAAAAGAAAAGTTTATCAACTGTTTAAGAAACATGCCATAACCCTCTTTAGTGCTACAATAGTAGAAAAGTAAACATTTTATTAAATAAACACGTTATCTTATAATATCTATAGGCACTATTGTGTTGCTTTTAGATATTTTAAAATACGTCCATTTGGTATTAACTGGTGACCAGTGCAGAAACTAAGTTTTTCGGGACCCCTGTATTGGGAAGATGGATTGAAGGAGTGCGATCTCTCTGTAAAATTATTAAATACTTAAGACATAACTATTTTTTATTTAGAGAGGTAATGTATAATATTCTTAGTTTGTGCCCTCCTCAAAACAGAACCCTAACGCAGCCATTGTGCTCGTATTTTTATGTGTTTTTTTAGCGCGGGGCTCATGTCCCGTTTACCTCGTCCTCGAGACAATACTGTTAGTGACGTCCAATGAATATTTCGGATAATAAGCAATACATTTAGGGAATGTAAACAATTTTAAGTAGTAAGTACAAATTAAGAACACTCAATACTTTACAGAGGAGGACACAGACCAGCTATGCAGTGTGTAACATTATTCTATTACCAAGCCAGTGGCGACAATAGGGAGATGTGAAGATTGCGGCTACATTAAGGGGGCCTTTCTAACTATCCAGAATATCAATTTTTGTTTTATGTTCCAACCGAATTGTAAATGGGATTCCTATTTTTTTCCGCGTCGGGGTCAAATTCGTATATTTATGCCACTCTACTCGACTATTTTGATGACATTTTATTACTGTGTAGAATAACGTCCATCTTTGTATGAGAACTGGCATATTCAATCGTTTGAAAATTTCAATAAAGTCTACAAATTGGCATTCAAGAGAATAATACCAGTGTTGAATTCAGAATTTTTCCACGGGATTCTAAACTTTTTTGCGAGCAGATAAAAGTTTTTAAACTATGCCTAGACTCAACGCTGGGTAATACGAAACTGAGCTGCCTCCAAGTTGAATCTTCGCGTAAGCTTACAATTTGAACATGAACAATGAATTGCCGCTGTAACTTTGAAACCTAATCAACTATAATCGAGTTTCATAACGACAGTCACCGTCTATGAATATTTATATTACTCCTACCGTCGGCCGTTGCAATATTTAATTTGTGTATAACCTCTCTACATTTTTTGTGAACAAAAAACTTTTCGGTGTATTAATGTACAGGTGTATTGTCGTACAACACATGTCAATTATTGTTCGCGTGGAAATAATATAAACACAATGTAGTCGTCGTCAACTGAATTCGTTCCAATAATAGTCACTTCATCGATTCTCTGTAAAACTGCTTGCACACAGGTACTCTATTACTGACGACAACGTCGGCGTGTCCTTCGGCCGCACGAATTCCTAGTGAATGACTATCGTCTAAATTAACTAACACACATAAGTATGTCAGTATAAACCAGAAAGATTATTCAGAAAATGTAAATGCATCGTTAATTATTATTGTTACAGCCCGCCCACCTTACACCGCACAACTGGCGTTATACCTGCCCAGCATACCCGTTTAATGCAATTATTGAACATTTCAAGACGATGCTTTTGATTAACAGTATTCGGAAATACTTGCGTTATTTTTATATGTGTTTGCCGCGGTCGATATTCAGAATACCTTTAGTTGAAACAGATGTTCAATAAATTATGCACTGTATAAATGAGATTTTCACACGTTTCACTAACACCTTCACTGGCGCTACTGTTGCGTACACTTCATTGCCTTTGACGACAACTGAAATATAAATACGAAAGAGAGCTATCAATTGTTTTAGGCGTACTTAAGATACTTTTCATGAAGGCTGCTCCCCCACTAGTTCTTTTTGGTTCTTGTAAAAACAATACGTAATGTTTCTTAGAAATGAAAAAGAGCAGCCGTACCCTAAGCTACGTAAACAAGATTTTGGAATTATTTTTATTTTACTACCACCAATGGAATAATTGAATTTTATGATTTACTCAATTCATTTTTAATTTTTCCTCAAGTTAATTTCTTTTTCTTTTTTTAAAAAAGTATAAAAATGTTTTATAAAAAGAGTTTTTAATTTAATTAGCTTCAGAGTCGTATCCAGAATATTTTTTTCGTCAGGGAACCAAAATATATATGTGTATGTGTGTTGTAAAATAATTCGGGAGGGTAAGGGGGTCCAGACCCTTTAGACCTCCCTCGGATTTAATTAAAGTTAATATACACTTACTAAACGTTTGCGCTCTATAAAATATTTAGACTTCTTAAATACATTTAATTGTGTTTTGGATTAAAAATATGTACAAAATGATTTGATATAAATGGTGACATTTTTAAGCTTAAAATAGAGGTTTCATTGACTCGTATATTATTATTACAACAGTATAATACAAATAATTACTGAACTTGGAAAAAATTATGTTAAAAACACGTTATTTTGGTAATAATTTTTTTTTATATTAAACTATTGTATTTTATAGTAAAAATTAAAAAATTTCCTAAAATTTATATTATCAAAAAATATATCTAATAATCATTATATTCATTGTTATTTGTTGATATAAAAAAAAATTTTAAAAACTTCTTAGTATAGTTTAAAGTCGATAATAGTATATTTTTTCAGCGCACATGTCAATTATAACTTCTATATCTCTGTTTTTTAGGTAGCAATAGAAACTAATACTGCATTTTACTAAAGGTGCTACTTTTTCTTTTATTCTAAAAGATTTATTTATTCAAAAAATAAATCCTTGATAAGTCATACGCCGTCATAAATATTATATTTAATAAAACAATTTTTTTAAGTTTGTATTTTATAAATTTATTCGATATTAAGGGAGTATTGGAAGGAGCAAAAAACCTCTAAGATGTTTTAGAGTGAATACATCATAATTTAAGCAATTTTTTTTACACGTCATTTACCAAATCGAAGAAGAGCAAAAATAAATAAAATTTACCGTCCTAAAATAATAAAATTATCAAGAGCCGTAAAATCTTAAATATAGGCATTATCTTTACTGTAAACAAAATATTGTCATTTTACATCTTAAAATATAGGATAACTTTTTTACATTGTTTTCACGTTTATATTTCACTTGTAGTGTAATAGTTGTTAAAAAAAACTGTGACTCGGAATATTGTAAGATTCTATCCAAAAAATGTCAAGTATTTATGATAATTATTTATACAGTATGATCCGTTTATTATGGTAAACCACACAATTACTTACAATATAAAAATATGAGAATGTTTTTTTTTTAATTTTTTTATATATCTATTCTTCTTGATTGATCAATTATTAACTAATTTTTCGGTTCATTCCTTATCCTTCTCTAGAGTATTAATTTTTTTTTTTTAAGTAGTAACACGCATATTTAAAACTCGGCAAATAAAACAGAAAATGATCCAATAAAGAAAATGTCTAGTCGATAACAGCTTTTAGATGTAATTATGTTATTAATATTTTAATACTAAAAGTGGGGGAGGAGTGTGGCCGAGAAATGTCTAATGACAAAAATAGTTATACTTACGCCTCTTCACCAGCCTACATTTTAAAATCGTCATAACTCCCGAAATGATGTTCCAAAAGTTGTTATTGACCAGTCATTGTCTTAAATAGATTATTTTCTATTTTATATGCTAGTTAAATATGTACGTTGTTATAAAAAAAAAATACGTTGTCATCTTAAAAAGTGTAAGGGATGATCTGAATAAGTACTGAATAATATTGATATTCTCGGTAAATCAAGAAGTATATGTATCTAAAAATAAAAATAAAAAATTCCCGAAAATATTTTTAATTTGTAGGTAATTGGGTGGGTATACTCAATTTTTATTTTTATAAAAAATTATTAATATACTTTTAAATTTAGTGGGTTAGTGGGTAATACTTGAAGTATTTTTTACACAAAAACTATATAGAAAAGAATACTGATAAAATACTTTTGATAGGCACAAGAATGCTTGTTAACTCTAAAACGTTATGAGATAATTAAACAAAATTTTTGTATTTCATTTTTAAAATTATATTTCATTTTTTCTTTCCATACATTTTTTTTTCAGTTATTACATTTAATTTTTCATAGTTTTTGAATAAAAGTGTATATTTTACTTCAGTTAAAGTATTCCAATTGAGCTGTGTATACGCAAGGCCGTAGTTTTCAGGTCTCTAGGCAATTATCAAATCAAGACCCTTCTTTAGTGGTGTTTTTAAGAGTTTGTTATAGGTGTGTATATCTTTCCGAATGTAGTGCAAAAGCGTGCCCTTCTTTTATCATCCATAACATCATGATTTTATATCAATATTGAGGAAGGTTCGGACGCCACAATTTCGTTGTAAATTTGCCACTTCTCCCTTGGTATATATTAATAATAAAAAAAATTTCATTTAATTATTAAAAAATAAATATTAATAGCTAATGGAACAATATGGCTGAAATACGGCCCAACATATACATCCAAGTACCAAAAAATTAATTTTTAAATATTTGAAACCACAGTCATAGCTCATATCACAAATGCAATGTTGGCGATATTTTTGTATTTCTTAGAATATTTTAAAGTATCATTACGTTTATAATATTGGGTGTGGTTCTTAAAATATTTCTCTAAAATTAAGTCAAATTATCATTTTTTGACACTCTATTTTTAGTCTATATATATATTGGGTAAATATTATTCTAAAAAAAAGTTGGAAATTTAAATAAAAATTTAATAGTATTATTAGTTAAAATTCAAATGAAAAATTACCAGTCACGTTCCCAGAATAATATCAATAATGTTAAGTATTTTTAAATGTCAATAAACAGTATGTATAGCCCAACTTTTCAATAGAAAAATTCACAAGTGAAATGAATACATTGAAACCAACTCTAGTTTATTTTAATGAATATTTTTTAGTCAATTCGGTAACGACTTATTGAATAATGAAAAAAACTGTCATCTTTATTATTCAATTATGTCGATGTAATAAAATATTTAATTGCAAAATCATGTGATAGTAAATGATATATTATGCTTTTGTGACTGACACGACGGGCTTTGGCACTGCTATTGAAAAATTTACTTTTATTAAAAAGATTAACTTTATTTAAAACCATATACATTATAATAGCCTATTATTAGCAGTTTTTCATATTTGATCATTGATGCAACTACGAGTAAACTAATAAAGGTTGAAGTACTCTAAAGTTTCATGTTATTGTTATTGTTATGGTAATTATATCGTAAAATAGTCATATTTGAATAACTAATAAATGTTGGAAGGATAATAATGATTTATGGTTATCTCATGTTTAACGATAAAAAAACGTAAGGATATCTAATGTAATACATCATTTGAGCATTTTAATTGTAAACATTAGTGTATTTATCTAAAGGCTATGGGGACCATGGCCTGAGACGCTTCAAGTATTGCAGTTTTTAATATTCTTTATGCATTCTATCAACAGTCAACTAGAGAAGTACAATTGGGATTTTAGCACCCTCCAAAAAATTAGAACGCTTGGTTTGGTAGTAACAATATTGATATAATTAATATCGTAATTTTTAGCTTCGATGAGAAGATGAGAATTTTTATTTCATTGTTGTCAAAATTATAATTTTAGAATAATTCAGGAAAAAAAGTTGTATTTAGCTGGATAATCATAGACAACTAATAGATTTATATATGTATGCAGATAACGATAATAATAGCATTTTATTACTTTAATTTTTGTTTTCATTGATGTATGGTTCAGAGTGTTGGACAGTTGACGAGAAAGTAAAGAAGAGAATGAGGGTAGCAGAGATGAGAATGCTTAGATGTATGAATGAAGTGACTAGAGAATATAGGATAAATAACGAACATATAAAAGGGAGTATAGGTGTAACATCAATCGTAGATAAGATGAGAAAAAATAGACTTGGATGGCTTGGTCATGTTCTGAGGAGAGAGGAATTGGAAGCGGTAAGAATAGTTATAGAAATTAATGTTTAAGGAAAAAGAGGCAGAAGAAGACCAAAAAAGAGATGGAGGGATTGCTATTGAATGCGATTTGAGGACAGCTGATGTGAGCGTAAATGATGTAGGAGATCGTGTCAAGTGGAAGTTTAAGACTTGGCTGACCTCAAGTAGTTGGGATTAAGGCGAGGAAGAAGAAGAAGAATTTTTGTTTTCATTGAACATGGTTATGTTGTTAGTACTACTAATATAGGGGAAATAAAATAATTTTACACATTTTGGAAGTGATCAAGTGCAAATATAAATTATTTATTTGGTTGCAAACTTTTTAAAATTATTAAAAATATATTTTTTTATAAAAATAGTATTATTACTTAGTGATTTTTTACTATGTGGCGATAATAATGGGAAATAGGGTAAATTTTACTGGACCGGAGCTTTTCATCTTTAAATACGCCACTAATTGCAGGCATATGGTGTTAAATTTACCCAAATAAACAAAAAAAAAAAATACATTTTACAAACATTTTATGTAGCTTTATATCAGTTTTAAAATAATAAATTAATTGTTGCGCATAAGTAAAATTTTAATTGAATTTTATATGCCTTTTATAGTTTTCAATAACATGGTTGCTAAGAGTAGCAACATTTTTCAAAGCTTGACCTAAATATGTTTTTTAGTTATGTCTATGATCAATGAACATTAATAACTTGGCATTTTTCAAAGAGAGTTTTGCCTTCTCTTAGATCATACCATGTAATTTTTTACAATGTTATATATGTATGTGTATTGGATTTACAGAAAAAAAAATTATCAATATTATACGTGACATTTATCGTTAAAAGTTAATCGATAATATTTAAATAAGTTTATCCTCCTTTACAAAAAAATCTTTCATTATAATTAAATAAAAAATCATTATTTATCGAAACATTTAGAGGATAATATACTTAATAAATTACATTGTATTAGGAAGCAAAGATGAGTAAGCCAATGGAAATAATTAAATCAAGTTAAGTCGATAAATTAACAGTTAAAAGTTAATAAATTATAAATTTAATAAGCTAAGTAAAAAATAAGTTGAAGTTGTTTTTTATCTTAACTAGTTTAAAAAAAGTTTATATCATTTAAAATTAATTTTTCGGCTAAAATATCTTAAAATATTTTTTTAATGGTCGGTGATGGAAGAGAAAGCTAAGAATGAATTTTCAGCTTTTAAAACTGAATAGGAAAAAAATATTAATGAAAAAAAAATTGTATTTTTTCATTTTGTAAATTTTAATGTTGGTTGCACTGTTAGCTTCGATGCGAAGCTGAGAAGGTATTGGTTTTACTAAGATGTATTTTTTTTTGTTGTGTCTGTTACCACTTTTTCTCAGCTCTCACCGAACCGATTTCTTTCAATGAT